TACTTAACCTTAACTGACGCTGCCCTGGGAAAACAGAACCTGCTGTCTCGATTTGGTGGTAGCGCAACGGCCATGCCCTCTAGTGTTCATGGAAACAACCTCCAGATAACCCTCGAGGTTAGAAAGACCTCCGGAGAGCGAATTGAGAACTGTATCTTTGCCTCCTCCAACACAGAAGCTTTGAGCACATTCAAATCGATAGCTACGGAACGAGGAGAGCCCTGGAATCAGACACTGCGTCTTGCTCTGGCCCCTAACGAAGTCCCACAAGCTCATGTTGTCATGTTTGTTTCTGATATGCCCAACCCCCCATTTGCCATTGGTCACATGCCGTTGTGGGACCAGGGGGCATTCATAAGGGATGGTTTACACGGTCTGCTGCTTTACAAGATAGATGAGCATACCTCTACCGCACAACCTGGGCCAACTGGAAAAGGCGGATATCTGTCGCTCTCGTGGAGCCCGCAAGGCAAAGATGACCATCCTGTGGAAGTCACTGGCCCCCTTGCTGTGCTCCGTATCGATACCTATCTCTGCAGCACAAGGTTCTCACAGGACAGAGTGATCCTAGGACTCTTGAAGTGGCGAGATCTTCAGCGAGAGGAGGTTCCAGGTGTACTTAGGCAACTCATTTTTGTGCCTGAAATCGAAGTGGTCAAGCTGCTCAGCGATGTGCTTGATGGTCTATTCGGAATCCTCGTGGAGTACTCCGGAAGTCATGAATTTGAGGATCTTGTCTTCACTGCCTTGGTCAGAGTATTAGGCATTGTACATGACCGAAGATTCAACCTAGGCCCATTGGTTGATCAGTATGCCGAGAACCAATTCAATTATCCCTTTGCGACTCCATGTCTAATGCGATCTTTTACACGACTCCTTCAGAACCCAACAGAGCCCGAGACGGCCCGAAAGCTGCGTGCTACTTTCAAGGTTGTCAGGCACATCCTTAAATTTATCACACATGCTAGAACCCAGCAGAAGGAGAAAGAAGCTGGCATTGGTATCACATCCAACACCACCGGTTTTACACGCGAGCTCCGCGCCATCTTTAAGGCTCTTGACGCGATGATGCGCAACTCTGCCCCTGCACTTGTTGGAACCCAGACGCTCGCCGTCCAGCATTTCCACACATGGCTACCGGAACTTGCTGGGTTGCTGACCACAGAGGAAATATTGCATATTGCCATTGACTTTATGGACTCGTGCACAGACGTCAAGGGCAAACTTGTTCTGTATAAGCTTGTCCTGATTATCAATTATGGCAAGCTGGACTTATTTGCCCACCCTGACCAAAAATTAGCCCTCAGCACCAACACTGTTCGATGGATCACTCCTCACTGGGGTCATTCTGAAGAGGTGACCGACCAATGGAGAGACCAGATCCGTCTATGCTGTTCTATATTGGCGAGCCAGATCGACTATCTCGGCTCAGAAATTCCGGACCACATTCCGAAAATAATCGATTCTTACCTGGCGATTCTTGCTGCTCCCCGCACGCCGAAAGACCGCCTTTCTCTTCTTTTTCCATCGTCCTACCCTTTCCCTACTAAACCTGTTAATGAAGACCTTCAGTTCGATGAAGCCTTGGTCGAGCTTTCTGCTATTTTGTCCGCAATATCTAATTCACCCTCAGGCATGCAACTGGAGCTTGCCGAGGACGACTTGACTACTCTATTAGAGAATCTTCTTAGGGTACACATGAGCATACTGAAGGGAGAAGCATATCCCCTGGGCTGGTTGAGTGTACACATCCATCATCACAAATCGACTATGCGGACACTTGAGTATCTCGCTGGTACAATGCTAGAAGCTTTCCTTCCCGACCCAGAGGAAGCAGAGAGCTTTAATACTGAGCTATGGAAGCTCTTCTTTACCACACTCCTTAAACTCGTGGGCAGTACGTCTCTCGCGTTAGAGACGTTCCCTGAGCAGAAGCGAAGAGCAGTGTGGAAGATTGCGGGGGATGTTCGAGAACATGGTGCTGAGCTCCTTCGTCGCACTTGGGAGGCGATCGGATGGGAGACTACTCCTGATGAACGAAGCCGATACAATCTCTCAAAGATGGGAGGATATCAAGTTCAATATGTACCGGCACTCGTTGGTCCTATCGTCGAGTTGTGCCTCAGCGTGCATGAAGGTCTCCGAAGAATGGCTGTCGAAGTGCTACAGACTATGATTGTCAGCGAATGGACCTTGAGCGAGGATCTATCGATCATTCAGACAGAGACAATCGATCGATTGGATCTGTTCTTCAAGGAGAAGCCTTTGACTGAGAGCACCCTCCAGAAACTGTTTATACCCGAGCTACTTGAACGTTTTGAGCCCTTGGCAGAAATTCCCGACGAACCGTTGTACACAGCTCTACGTGAGTTCGTTGGAACTATAGATGAGTTTCTCGACCTCCTGGTTGCAGTTCACAGTAGTGAGGATACTGGCGAAGCAACACATCTCATTAATCGTTTGCGGCTTATGGAATTCCTTCGCGATATGCAAAAGGAGGAGATCTTTGTTCGCTATGTGCACCAGCTTGCAGACCTGCAAGCCGAATCGCGGAACCACACAGAAGCTGGTTTGGCCCTACGGCTGCATGCTGATCTGTATGAGTGGGATCCGGCTAGCCAGACCTCTGCTCTGCCCGACCCGGAATTTCCGGCACAGACTCAGTTTGAGCGAAAAGAGAGACTCTACTTCGACATGATCAAATACTTTGAAGAGGGAGAGTCATGGAGCCATGCTTTGGCAGCATATAAAGAACTACAAACACAGTACGAGACCAACATCTTCGATTTCTCCAAGCTGGCCAGGACTGAACGAGCGATCGCAACGATATATGAGACCATCTCCAAAACTGACAAACTCGTTCCTAAATACTTCAAGGTTGTCTACAAGGGACTTGGATTCCACGCTAACCTCAGAGACAAGGAGTATATATACGAGGGATCTCCAAGCGAACGCGCTTCCGCTTTTACAGACCGCATGCAAGAGCAGTATCCAGCTGCTCAAATTGTCACTGGGGGCGATGTTGATGATGTTGAAGGCCAGTTCCTGGTTATCTCAGCTGTCACTCCTCATCGCGACCTCAGCCATCATGTCTTCCAGCGCGCACGAGTGCCACAAGTAATTCGGGATTTTCTTTTATCATCCCATCCTCAGACCTTTTCTATCTCCACACGACGCAATACAAATGGCCCTGTTAAGGAGCACTCTGCCGAGAAACTAGTTTTCACAACTGCTGATGCGTTCCCTACTATACTTCGTCGCAGCGAAGTTGTTGACACGCAGGAAATTAGACTCAGCGCCCATGAGACAGCCTTGGAGCGGATTGTCCGCAAAACCCAAGAAATGACTGCCCTTGAGCATCGAGTTGCTGACGGTAACGGGGATCATGCTCAACTTCTTCTCGATGCAGTGAGCGTTTCTGTCAACCCAACTTCCGAAAGTAGTGTAGCCTGTTACCGCCAACTGCTGCCAGAGCCCAAGGAAGTTAACGATGATGCTGAAGAGGATGAGGACCAGGAAGCATCAGAGGTAGAACTGACACCCCAAGACAGCGCTATCAAGATGGCACTCGTCGACCATGCTATCATGATCAAGAGGTGCCTTGCCATGTTCGCCCGAAGTCCCAATGAAATTCTCAACAGTAGATATGAGGAGCTTCATAGGTGTAAGTTGGACTTTAACCACAGGCTGTTTCAGACAACTAATTTCTTATAGTCTTTGAGAGTACATTTGCATCGGAAATCGCACACTTCACGCCTCCTCAGCCTCAACGCGAAATGGTTGCAACACCTTCTCCTACTTGGAGACGATCGTCTCGTTCTTCTGAGGCCAGCCCCAAACATAAGAATATTGGGGTTTCGGTGAACGGCGTTACCACAGAGGAAGCTTCAGTCATTAGGCCCGTCTCAAAACGAGGCACAAGACTCAGTTTCCTTGGTGGCAGCAAGAAGAAGGAACCCGAGTTGCCAACTGAGCCTGAGGAGCCCGCTGTTGACATTGAAACAGCGAGCAACCTGAGCCGCTCCTTAAGCCGAAGTCAAAGCAAAGAACACAACCGTCGGCATAGCTTTTTCCGCACTCAATCTCATGACGAGAAGCATCCTGAGTCTCCGGGAGGGTTTAGCAGCCGAGGGAGCTTCGACCAGCAATTCGGTGGCGGCAACGAAAAGGCTGTCGAGAACAAGATCCCTAGCAAGAAGGGCAGTGTCCGCAAGAGATTCAGCATGCTAAAGCTTGGCCGCAAGGGCAGCAAAGGCAATGGCATGATGGGAAGTCTGGACGAGGAGTAGGACTACTTCCGGGCTTATTTTGGACGCTACAACGTAGGGTTCGACGATAAGGCGTCCCGGCACTGAGAGGACGAAGACTCTCCGAACACCGATATGAGACGGTGGAAATATGAACGGACCGACCTATACAGGTTCCTCTTATACCCTTCCTTTGTATTTCTGATTCTTTCATGAATGTTGTTCTACCCGAAAAGGGGGTTAGAGGGAAAGAAGATGTGTAATCACAACTAGAGCACCCAAGGTTGGATCACCTTGAGGACGGAGACGACGCGTGAACTAGGGAGAAAGGATGGATATACAATGTGCTGATACCTCGCCGCTCTCCTGACGACAAGCAGAGACGGGCTCTTTTCTTTTTTATACTTTGTTTTCTTCTGGCTTGTTTTCCCTCACTGATGTTGCCTGCTTCGCCACAAAAAGACCTCTTCGCATTCATTTGTTTCTTAACTTTTTTCGCAGACTATTTCCGTCATGTAAGCTTGGTGTTATGGATACCTAGGATATTATTTATGCCTAGTTATGGCAGGCCATAGGGAGCTGTGTGTGTGTGTGCTTGCAGCACACTTGTACAATTTACGTCTAGAGCCTGTGCGGCATCGAGACTTGATAATTCATTCTACTGTGTCTTGTGTGAACAGCCTGGGCCCCTGACTTGGGCTTATGTATAGAAAGTTTATCTTGATGGAATGATATCTTTATCGCAAGGACTCGTGCGAGGCACAACAATCAATGTCGTATTGGTTTCTTTGTTAAATACTAGGACACACATATCAGTTGCTCACACCAATCCTGTTATGGAGCCCAGTTTGTCTGCAAATAGACGACGTTAAGTTTCCCGGCCTGTAGCTGTCACCTTCCTATGTTTCCCAGGACATCTCTTGCCCCTTGCCATGAAGTAAACAGTCATGGGTTAGTCCCACGGTGTGCTGTCATTCCTAAACCATCAAGCATCACCTCTCATTCGAAGAAAGATAGTTAACCTTCTTCTGAGGACTTCAACGCAAACAAATGCGAAATAAGTGTTCAATACCCATCGTCTTGGCAAGCTCGTCGCTGCTCCTCCGAACCCCAAGCTACCAAGATCTGTTGCTTCCTAACAACGATAGGACTCCTGAGGGCATATCCTTGTCCGACCTGTCTCATATACAAAGCTGGTACTACGGTGCACATACTGTGCAGTTTGTGGTACAAGTCTTCTTCGGAAGCTGGAGGGTCAAGTTTCTGCAGGTTGAATCCCTTCCTATTCTGCAGTACGTTCTTGCAGTCAAGCCTCATGAATGAGTCAATGAACCTGGGCGTTAGATGGAGTTCTCAACCAACACTGGTAAGAAAGGAATTTATGTCCAGATAGAAGTGGTTGGTTGAGATTTGCAATTTTTCGTATAATCTGATGGCGGCATACACAACAAGGCCGGTAAGGTCTTGGTAGCAACTGTGAAGATTCTCCCCCTGGGAGAAAATCCCGAGGATGTCGGAAAGCTGTACGGCCATCTCCTTAGCTTGTCTTTGGCGAACTGGTTTAAACTGTGGACAGCTGAGAAGGGTGTTCAACAAGAGCATCGTAATCCTAGACTAACATTAGCAATTGTACACAAAGGTGTGTAGTTATTGGGAAACGGATCTCGTACCTGCCCAACCTCTTCGGGTGTCAGATCCTTGCGGTAGGGCTGGAGACCGAATATGTGGGACTGGGCATCGTTGAGTTGTTCTCTGAGTACACGGTTCTCCTCGGCCAGCTCTTTAGCCTTGCTCGCCAGGGCCATGTGGGAGCTCAATCTATGCTCCATGCTCATGAATTTCTTCGTAAGCCTGTCTGCCTTTTCATCAGCAATCTGTTTGTTCTCATTGAGTTCGGATAGCCTTTGCAGGAGATCTTCGACAAGATGATGAAGTTGAAGGTTTTCCTCTTAAGCGATGTTAGTGTGATGAGTGAAACTGTCGGTTTTTGAATCAACCAGTGAACCAAATGAGCCAACCTCCTCAGTCGTGAGTGATGGTTCAGCTCTTCTCAGCGACTGCGGCTGAGCCTCGCCAGAACTGCTGAAGAAATCGAAGATTTCTCTAGGGTGATGGAATTCCTTTAGAGCATGTCGAGTCGTGCCCTTTCGAGTTTCAATATCTCGCTCATAGTACTCATGAGTCTTGGTTGTGCTAGGGCTTTCAGCGTCCCAGCTGCCGGGCACGATCCCAGATGACATGTTTCGAAGTTCCTTCTCTGGTGAAAGTGGCATGCGTCGCCGTTCTCTCTGGCTGTGGTTTTGCGGAGTGGAAATTTCAGAGCCTGGATTGACCGGAGGCACGCAATCATTTCCTTCTTCGGTGCTTGTCTTGAGCCTGCTCGTTTCAATGAACTCGTTTGTAGGCACCAAAAGGGGAGAGTCAAGCTCAGAGTCAGGCGTTGGTAAGATGGTAAAGATAAGATGCTGTGTTGAATTGTAAATTTCTTATCAGAAGAATTGTAGGAGTCTAGCTACTAAGGATGCAAGGATCCATGGATGTAAGAAATAAGTAGAACAAAGCCATGAACAAGCCCAATTGAGGGGCGGCTGCTGGACGCGTACTACCTTATTACGGCAAGCAAACGTGCGGGAATGCAGTGTAGCAATGAACAAGCGAGGAAGTGTGGAAAGGCGAGGCGCTTCAGTTTTCGGGTGCTTGCACGAAGTCTGCTTGACTCCAGTAGATGCAACACAAGCCAGACCTCTACGATGGATGTTAATAGCCACAAACAATTTTCGGGCACAGTTAATCAGGGTGTCCGCATCTAATCTAACTGGCGTTGGTTGATTGCTCAACAGTTTCACAACCTGTGTTCATCTCCCTTGTTTCTAAATGAAAAACCTCAGTACAGTTAGTTGCCTGGAGTTTCATGAAAACGCCACTCTCCCCTCATTACATTATATATCTTTGGTGATGTCTTCAAGCACTTATGGATCCAAAGCGAGACAGTTGGTATGATGTCGATGCTCGTCACTGGCAGATGTCAGTCGGCATCTTAAGCTTTCATATTGCAAACACGGTCAGGAGTAGTAAGATTGTCGGATTCGATCTTATGCTATTTCGAGTCGCATGGAATTCTACATCGTATCGCCAAACGGGCATGGTCTGAGTGGTTCGTATTGGAAGTGGAGTGAGGTACAGAAGCTTTAAACCAACCCCCACAGAGTGATCAGCGAAACCCCTGTTACACCCCTGCTAAGTGTGGCACACCAAACGGATTCACACTCAGCCGCATCTGCATCTGATGGAACTAATGCTTTAGTGGCTGCTCTGTATTCACGTCCATGCACATCTGCCTCTTATCGTCCAGCATCATTCAGGTCAACGTAGCGTTCTAAGCATATTGTACTTTTGTTAGACTAGAAGCTGAGTTTATGGCCAGTTGTTCATCATGAGGATGGTTCAAGTACAGCCTTGACAAATTTAACAGCCCACTCATTCAGCATGCGAACAACTGTTTCTCATTACCAAATAAGGTATACATTGTGACCCAAGATCCTGCCATAGGAATTGGTCTAGACGGCAAACCGCCATGACTGAGATGCCGGAGTGTAAGATCCTTAAAGATACTGCCAGATATGAAATCGAAAGCCAGCAGCAAGAAAGCAGACTTGTATACCGCAGTAGGTAAGCAAGGGCAGGAAAGATGCTCGTTCAGGAACAAAAGATACCTTTTCCGATATACCATAGTAGACAGGAAAATCACCTTCCTCATAGGATCTACTACATTGGCATTCTGTGTGACACCGCGCAGCAGATCGATCTATGCCTGCCTCGGTATCACTGCCACCTTACCTTCTGCCTACTACCCTAAGGAGCAAGCGCTCCTCTCTATTGCATTTTTTTTTCCATGCTTCCATTTGAGAAACATCCACACTTTTTTCTTAACCCAAAGATCACCCTCCCTCCTCTTTTCCCTATCCATTTCACACTCGTGGCTCAGGTACCAGTCGAGGCGTATCGCTGCCCCGAGCCGTGAAACTCATCATATTTCTTTTCGTTTCATACCCCCCCTCGCCGCAGAAACCCTTTCGATGGAAGTGGGTAAGCCCCAAAAAGCCGATCGAAAGATCATCGTTGGCGTCGATTTTGGGACCACATACTCTGGTGTCGCTTGGGCTGAGAATCGCAACCCATCACGACGAACTTGTATCACGCAATGGCCAGTATCGAGTGCCAACAAGGAAGGACAATCTAGCGATAAAGTCCCTACAAGAATTCGATATAACGGAGACAAAATCGAATGGGGTTTCTCGGTCCCTGTGAATGCACCTCAGCATGAAGTTGTTGACTGGTTCAAGCTGTAAGTGTTCCAACCTACATAAACATTGGCAGCTGGATGGCTCATACCTTTGAAGGGACTTAGACCCATCCACACAGGCTGTTGGCTACAATCCAAGCACCGAGGGTGCACGAAGCGGCCGAAACGTCGACGAACTTGTTACCGACTTCATTTCGCAGCTCGTTGACCATCTAATGTACACCCTACGTGAGAAGCTCGGCAGTGGCCTTGTCGACAGCACTACTTTGCAATTTGTAATCACTGTACCTGCCATTTGGAGCGACTTAGCGAAGGAAAAGACCAAGAAAGCATGCGAACAAGCTATGATTTCCGTGTCCGAGCACCATGTCCATCTGGTTTCCGAACCCGAAGCAGCTGCCATTTATGCCCTTCATGACTTGGACCTGAACGGCCTTGACGCTGGAGACACCATCGTTGTGGTCGACGCAGGCGGTGGTACCGTCGACCTGATCTCGTACACAATCCTGAGCACGAAGCCTATTCTGGAGGTCCAGGAAGCGGCTCCTGGTTCAGGTGCACTTTGCGGCTCCACGTTTCTCAACATGCGCTTCTCAAAGTTTCTTCAGAGCAAACTCGGCAAGGAAGAGGGCTTCGATGACGAGGTCATGGCTGAGGCCCTGGATGTGTTTGAGAACAAGGTCAAGCGCCAGTTTGCTTTAGACGTTGAACCTGACGAGACTTTTAACATCCCTGTGGCAGGATTGGCAAACAATAAGTCGCTCGGCATCAGTCGTGGTCGTTTCGCCTTGAAGGCATCGGACGTCAATAAAATATTCGAGCCTGTGGTGCTTGAGGTCATCAGATTGGTAAAGGATCAGATCACAGCTAGTAACGTGCCTGTTCAAGCCATTCTTCTGGTTGGCGGCTTTGGGTCCTCAAATTACCTCAAGGAGCGACTTCGGGCTGCCATAGATGGCTCTGTGCGGATAATGCAGCCCCCCAACGCATGACAGGCCATTGTACAGGGAGCAGTGCTCAAAGGACTTGCTCGATCCTCCCCAGACTGCGCAGTGGTCAAGGTGGAAAACCGCAAGGCCCGAAAACACTATGGCACTGAATGGAGTGTCCGTTGGGACGAAAAGTCTCACGGAAATCTCAAGAGCGAAAGATATTGGTGCGGTCTTGACGGCTGCTACAAAGTCCGAGTCATGGAGTGGTTCATTACGAGAGTAGGTTGACAGACGTCATTTCACTTAGCAAATCCGACCAAACTGACATCACAGTAGGGCTCGACGGTGTCTGAAAACGACCCATATATCGCCGCATTTGTGTGGACAAATCCTGTCAGCAAAGGACGCATTCGAAAGGTCAAGATGACTATATACAACGACCATTTGTCTCGAGATGCTCCATTGTCCCGCAACGACAATGTCAAGATGCTCTCAATCGTTGAAGCGGACGTCATTCATATTCCGGAGAATCAACTACGTCGCAGAAAGGGCTGCGACGACCAATGGTACTACGAGCTGAACTATAAGATCGAGGCTGTATATACCTCCGCATCCACTAGTTATACTCTGATCTATCAAAGTAAGTTTCGTTGAGGCAATTTTGTAATGCTTTATACTAACTGTTCTGACAGACCAGCGCTTTAGTACTGTGACATGTGAATATGTTTAAAGTCATATGCATGCTCACGGTGATTCTTGTATCTGGGGGTTTCAAGGGGTAAGCAAGGTAATGATGTCCATATTTGGACGAAATCATGGTGGCTTTGGCACAGATTGCTGGGCAAAATCTACCATGCTAGTCTAGTTTGCATAGTTAAAGAAGAGTTATTATCAGTCGGTAACACGGTTCTCGTCATTGTGCTTGTGATCTACCGTACCTACTCAGTACCTACCTACCTACCTAGGTAGTTGATCGTACTTATACCGCCCCAGGGGGTGGGTGCATCGATCAAAGATGGCTTGGAGGAGGCGGGGCGGGCCACATGGAAGCCATGTTATAACCTTAATCGGGCACGCACATGGGCCGGGAACTAAGGGTCTAAGGATCGATGTGTCGAATTCGTGGTTGTGAATGGCTTCCATTGCCCTCCGAATAAGTCCAGCAGGTTACCTTCTGCTTTAGCCACCTGCAGGCTTCTCGGGCCAATGTTGTATATAGGGAATGGACCTCAGGTACACGATAAAGATGGCCTCCAGCTGCAGAACTGGCTTTAAAGACACCAGTTTAGCTTTCTTTCTTGCTTTCTTTGACGGTAGCCTTAAGATATCTCCTCTTGAACTTAATGTTAGCAGAGTATATCTAGTCTCCTACTGCCTTGAAATTGTTTCTATGAAAACTTCTGTAAACCATCACCAAACATCATACTTGCCTTGCCCACTCAACATTACCTACTAACCTAGGCAGGGCTGTGAAACCTCAGCTTATTCTTGGACGGGAGATCGGGTACCTGCTTCCTTTGCAAAATGCTATGCTTCAAGGGAAGCAAAGGCTACAAGGTGGTACCAAAAAAGAAGGAGGTCAAGGCAGCGACTTCAGCTTCAACTTCAACTTCGACTAATCAGACATCTGCACCGAGAACCAGAAATGGCACTGGCACTGGCACTGCCGCTGTGACTCAGCCCACGAATAGAGTGGCTGCAAAAAGTACCCGTCCTTCCCCTGATCGATCTAGGAATCCTCCATACTCAAATTCTCGCCCTTCTCCCTCTCGAAGACACAACACTGAGCAGGGCCCTCCTATTCAACCGCCTCGCCAACAGTCCAAAGTTGCGCGCACCAACAACATGGCCTCCCAAAATGGCATCTTCTATGGGCGAGCGGACTCAGCCATTACGAGTGGTTTTGGAGACGATGAGAGTGCTACTGCAGTGCAAAATCCAACGAGCAAATCTCAAGGCTCATCATCAAGCAACACGGCTCAGTCTCAAGCGTACGATACAACTCCTGCACCTTCAACACAAGCCCCTTTTCGCTATCAACGTCCTTCTTTTCTCGACGACTTTGACTTTACTGCAGAATCATGTCGCGATATAGTTGTCGCTCATGGGGTTACTTCTGCTCTGTCGCCTCGACAAGGCTATCATCCTACCCCAGCGTCTATCCTAAACTTTGCAGACTTCGACCTTGAGAATACAGACACTAAGATTTCCGATATCAGACACGACAGAATTCCATCCCATGAACGACCGGTAATAAACACCGCCGCCGCTGCCGCTTCATCTTCATCTTCGTCCTCTGCTAGCCCGTACGTTGATCTGCCCGAGTCACTAGACAGTGATGCTACAACAACAAGGGCAATAGACAGACGAGAGTGTATTGTCTGTAGCGACATCAAAGCTACAGATTCTTTTCCAGATTTCGTCACTTCAAAATGCACGCACACCCCTTCTATATGTTTGGATTGCATGGAGCGATCAATCCAAGTGGGCATGAAAAGTAAACGCTGGACCGATATCAGATGTGATGAGTGCCAAGAAAATCTAGAATATAACGACATTCAGCGCTTTGCCGATGAACACACAATTGCCAAGTATGAATGCGGTACTCAAACAGACGGAATATGACTAAAAACGTATAGATACGAAAGACAGGCGCTCCGAGCTGCTGTGGAAGAAGATGAGAACTTCTTCTGGTGTACCTCTGATTGCGGCTCTGGGCAGATCCACGACTCTGGGTCTGCTCAACCCATCGTCGTTTGCATTAAATGCAGTCATCGCTCATGTTTTCGCCACGGAGTCAACTGGCATGAAGATTTATCTTGCGAGGAGTATGATCGGCTTCAAGAAGATCCGGATTTCCGTGGCCACTTGGAGCTTGAAAATGAAAGGTGGTCGAAGGCCCAAGCAGCTCAAGCAGCTCAAGAAGAGGCAGATCGGGACCTCGCTAGCAGGTTCGTCGCCAAAGAAAAGGCTAAAATTAAGCGCCAAGAGGCGCAGGATCAGAGAGAGAGAGAGCGAGAGCGAGAGAGACAGAAGAGTCAACGAGAACGAGAACGAGAGAGACAGAAGTATCAAGAGAGGCGACGAGAGCTAGAGCGAGAGAAGCAGGAGAGGCAACGATTACGGGTACGAGAGAGACAGGAGAATCAGGAGAGGCAACGAGAACGAGCACGAGAGAGACAGAAGAATCAGGAAAGGCAACGAGAGCTAGAGCGAGAAAGACAGGAGAGGCAACGAGCTCTTCGCGAAAAAGCATCGGCTCAGAAGGCCGCAGAAGAAAGGCGCCAAATTGCAACCAGAAGAAAAATGGAAGAGGCGAAGAGCATTGCCACATTGAGAGCCACAACAAAACCATGTGGAGGATGCGGATGGGCTATCGAGAAGAATTCCGGCTGGTAAGCATCAAATCTTCATGTTCTACGATGGCAACCACAGTTCTAACAAACATTCTAGTTCACATATGACGTGTAAGTTCCTTGCCACCTTTGCTATTTTTTATCTTTCCGCACATGCAAGTCTTGCTATAATGCTGCTTCACTATCACGGGTACCGTGCGTTCACATAGGTCTTCCACGTTGGCCACGTTATATGGACACTAATCATAGCAGGTCGGAAATGCAATTACCAATTCTGTTGGACCTGCGGCAAGCCATGGAGCAGAACACACTTGTGTCTTGGCTTTTTCTAGCGTTCAAACTGATTAAATTGAGTAGTGCCAATGGGTCTGCACCAAGTAGCTGAGAAATGCAACAGGATCCATGGGCACTACTCAAGTTACTTGGTTTATACGGTAGGCCACAAACTTTTCAGCTGGCTACAAGCAAAATACCTATGCAGTGCTGATTCTTGTGTATTGCAGGTTCAAAATGTGGGCATGAATTCTGCTGGGATTGCGGCGCCGACCATCGGGCTATCATGAGAGGCGATAACAGCCTGCATAAGGAGACATGCCGGTTTCATCCTCGCAACCGGGGGAGTGGGTAAGATATTGGACTAGGCTTTGAGAGGATGGTTGACATGAGAGGTTTGGCGGATGGGTTGAGAGCCATGACACCCCCGGGGATGTGTACAAAGCTCTGTTCTTTGAGTTGCCTCGACTATGTATAACGCAAAGCCAGCTCGGTTGTCCATGCTGAGATTTGGCAAGTGGTTGTATATCTCAATATATCACAAACATGCAGGATACCATCAAGTGGTTGGCGATGAAGCTGTTTCAATTATTGCCTGTAATATACTACCACATCAAGAAAACACTTTACGCCGATGTCTAAGCACCTTCGAGAAAATATAGCTATATCTGTGCAAATATTCATTCATGGGTATTCGGTAATATTTCCACCAAAACCTTAATATAGGTCGTGCCGTCTAAGCAGCCGTCAACTCGGCGATGCGGCGCTCCAATTCGGGGACCTGGCGCAACCGAACCTCCAGCTCTTCCTTCTCATCCTCAAGTTTGAGACGTCGATCGGCATCAAGCTTGGTAAAAACATAGTTGCCCTGGCCGTCGAACTGGAGAATGTGAGAGTGATACTTCCACAAACTTCGACGGTGACTGACAGTCATGAGAGTGACGCCTAGAGCCTTTGCCGTATCATACATGGCCTTCTCTGTCTCGAGGGTAACGCTGCTGGTACACTCGTCAAGGATAGCGTACTTAGGGCGATGGTAGAAGAGCCGAGCCATGGCAACACGCTGCTGGAGACCACCAGAAAGAACATCGCGCCACTCAGCCTCAGCGTCCCAACCTTCCTCGTATAATTCGGGTAGGTGCTCAAGACCAAGGATCTTGAGATACTCGAGAAGGTCTACGTCCGTGACACCACGAGCACGCATCTGGCGAAGAGAATCCGGGTAAATTATTTGTTGGCGAAGGGAGCCTCGGGAAAGGTAAGGCCGTTGGGGAATGTAGAAAATGGCGTGGAAGGGGGGCTTGTAGACTGTGCCTCCATAAACAGGCCAGAGACCACCGAGAATGCGGAAAAGAGACGATTTGCCGCAGCCGTTGGGTCCAACAACAAGCAAGTGGTCTCCGTGTTTGAGAGTGAAAGACAAAGCTTTGATGAGTACGTCACCGTTAGGTGAGATAATGGGCCTAGTTGAGCGAATGGGTTAGCGTGGTAACAGGGGACAGTGATCTCTAACTTACACATCAATAAAGGTGATGTCGTTACTCTCGTGGACAGTTCCACGTCCCTTGAGAACAGCCTCGTTACCTTCGACGCCCGAAGAGGACACGAGTTTCTTCTCGAAGTGACCAGCCTGGACATCATCCATCACATCCAGTAGAGTAGCAACACGAGATGTGTAGCCCGCCAGTTCCATAACCTCTCTGTATGAAAACATGATACGGCCAAATGCGTCGGATGCAGAGAGAAGCATCCGTCTGTTGGTGACAAAGGCTTCTGTTCGATCGCCCATGTTCATCGCGATATGGCCAGGCATCTTGACGAAGACGGGAACACTGCAGAGCATCAGACCAAGTGCGCCCCAAAAGTATTTAATAACAAAATCCTCCATGAATCCGTGGTAAAAGCGTCGACGGAGGATGTAGTTGACGTGCTTGATAAGAGTAAAGTAGCCCTTGTCTAACGTGTCCTTTTCAGCGTTGTGGCCGCCGTATAAAGCGACTTCTTCGCTATAATCGATAAGGCGCGAGTGCTGGAAGCGGAATTCGCCCTCCAACCTTGCTTCGTCTGCAACATATTTCCCAAACGGCGGAGTTAGTGCTCTCATCACGTTGGCTGATAATTGGACAAGGAGTGACATGAAGACAACGCCTTCACCGCCAACGCTCTTCGACAAAGACCAGGTATATATTGTCTGAATGTGGTCAGCAACGTTGTTGTTAAGTGCAAACGCTTCAACATACCATATCGAGTAGAGGTTTGGCTAAATTACTGTATAATTCAGCCAGACTATTGGAGAACTTTGATACATCGACCGCAATCAGTTGATCTGGATTCTTTATTCTGTCATCCAAAGCCGAGATACCGTAAAAGGTTAGATTGGATAAGTATTTGTCATGTATATGCTGCGTAAGCCGTGATCGGTATTTAAGCGACAGTTCAGCTTGGTGATACGATAGCTAAAGTAGTCGTGAGCAAGTAACGAACATCTGGGAATAATCAGACTTACCATGGAGTTGGTAAAGGTCGCAGGGACCGCGATGAGCATCCACCATACTATGCGCTTCAAGAATTCCTTTCCGTTTCCTTTCACGAGAGCCTTTACAATAGCACCATCCATCTCGGCGACGCGTAGACTAATTAAAGTCCTGAGAACCAAGAAGAAGCTGTGGCTCATCAGTAACCTTGACTCTTTGCTGCGCCATCCTGGAACAACAATCTTGAGTAGCCGAAGCAATGACCGAAAGAACTCGCGATTCAGCTCGACTTTCTTTCGGGGTGTTTCCTCGCTTCCACTGGATGTGGTACCACGACGGGCTGCGCGCTGGGCAGCTTCACGGGCGGAGGCTGCCTTTTGCTCGGAGATGGCAAGGCGAATTCGATTAGCGAGGGCAGCGAACAGTGTTATCCATACAGCGCGTGAGATACGTGTGCGATTGGAAACATAGAGGGTTGTGAGTTGCGAGATGATACCCCGGAGGGTGCGATCGCCCGGCAAGGCGAGCTTCGATTGCGATGCCATAACGCGCGCGCAGACTCAGAGACTCTGTAGATTAAGTTGACAATGGTACAGTATTATTGAGCGATCCCTAGCGATGACTCTGCAGTCACTTGAAGTCGCACTTGAAGTCGAAAAGTAGTCGAGATTGGGGTTGAGCCGAGGCGTATCGACGTCACGTCACAGATCTAGCAGCTAAGCGCATGGGGAAATCGGAAGTCGAATGGTATCCAAATAAAAAACAAGCACTGGTTCAAACAAATGTCTTAGGACCAAAGCCCAAAGAGAGGGAGAAAGAATTCAAGGTGTTGAAGGGAGTAAGATTCTTGCGCTACATGACCAAGGACGTCTTGTGAGCTCCAAGATATCGATGGCAGTTTCCCCATACAGAAGCTTCCTCGGTCGATGAATCTGGGGCAGGTGTAAGCCTCCCCACACTTTCGTCTTGCGCTCGGCATGTGATTGACATTTGACTCAACAGCCACAAATCGAGCACAGCCACATTTATCAATCTGTGCCACTTTCCGCGGGGATGACTGAATTTTTGGTCGCATCGCGGGGCAACTTTTCTGAGCCTTTTGAGATAAACACAACATCACCGAAATACCTTTCTTATTCCTACCATAGCAGCCATCAACTAGCAGCCAAAATGTCCGATGACGAGGGTCTTTCTATCTATGACGAGGTCGAGATCGAGGATATGACTTTTGACGAGGCTATGGGCGTTTACCAGTTCCCATGTCCTTGTGGCGACAAGTTTCAAATCACACTCGAGGATTTGCTGGACGAGCAGGATATTGCCGTGTGCCCTAGTTGCAGTCTCATGATCCGGGTTATTTTTGATCTGGTATGTCTTGCGACAAAAGTTTGCTCGTGGCTTTCTGTTAACAAGTTCAGGATGACCTACCGAAACCTCCCACTTCAGGCACCTCGGGCGGACAGGTTCCTATAGCCGCTTGAGCGAAGCAAGAATGGCGATAGATTCATACAAATTGCGACTACCCATGCGAACAGACCCGGCACGACAGTCACCCTTCCGCCGTGAGCACGACACCCTTTGAGGAGCTTGAAGCTTCTGTGTCCAACCCAACACCCGTAAATCGGCCGCAACTTCGGAATCCTTGAAAATTTCATTTTCGCAACGTCCTCAAACCAACGCGAACAGAAACCCCTGCATGGGTAGGACAAGAGTGGTTCCAGGGTACCTGGAAGCCCGGCTGATACTGGTTCAACGTACTGTGTCGCCGCCACAATCAGCCAATTTACAAGGGCAACGGGCAGGGAGGAAGGAATTGAGGCCCCAGCCAGTTTAGATAAGAGCGCAACACAAACGGCATGCCGCAAATAAATTTGCCGCCATTACTCCGTTGGTTCAGGGTTCCTGCCAAGCTTCCAGAGATAAGCAGGAAGCTTGAGGCTCAAGTGAGCTGGGTAGTAAAAGAGACACACTATATTTCACGAAAGTAAAAAAAACCAGAAAATGGTGGTATGCGATTAGTATTAATATAGCTGGAGGTGATCTCGCTCCATTGGTCTATCTATTCTAGTCAGGACAAAAAGTTCCCGATCTATCTCCATCGAAAGTTAAACGCGCACCAGCACGGTTCCTCCAGGACTATGCATCAGAATGCATCATGTCCTCATATCCACCAAACCCTGCACAAGTTCCGTATGTCGAAATTTACAGGGCAAGGGCAACAGCGAGAGCACCAGCGAGACCGCTGAGGCCGAGGGCAGCAGCGCCGTTGGCGGGGGTGGAGCCGGAGCCGGAGCCGGAGCCGGAGCCGGAACCAGAGCCAGAGCCAGAGCCGGGCTTAGTACCGTTGGTGGCTGTTAACGTGATGTTAGTTGAACTGCCGTGAAGAGAGGATCGTGAGAAAGAGTTGGAACTAACGGGCACCGGGAGTAGCAACGGGAGTAGCAACGGGAGCCACAGGGGTCTGGGCAGCAGCCGCAACAGCGACGAAAGCGAGGACGGCAACGGAAGCGTGCATTTTGATGGTGGTTTTAGGTTGTTTGGTTGTTGGTAGAAGAGTTTGAAGAGAATTAGATCGGGTTTAAACGAGTGTTGGTGTAGCGATTGTAGTTGTAGTAGTTGTTGAGTGGATGCTGAGAATGAGGAAATGTTTGAATGAGCAGAGGAGCTTCGACTCCTATATACCTGAGAGCCTCGCAAGGATTGAGAGGAGAGTCAGTCAGTGCAGTACATACATGATACATGATACCAGCCCCAGGGGGCGGTTGCATCATCCCAACCCCAAGCCACCCACTTCTTTTGGTGTCATCGAGTTCCACCGTTGTACTATGCATGACTCCACCGCCAGGATATTTCGACATCACCCAATACCAGATGCTAGGACCTCAACGAGGAAGTTGATCCGGTGCGTCAGTTACAGAGCTGAGAGGGCCCACAATGACTTTAGCTTTCTCTGTCTGAAAATCAAGGCAGAGAGTCAACGCAATCTACAGTGTCAGTTGAGGTTGCAGTGAAAGGAAGACTCTCTGTTGAGTCATGCTGGACTACACTGGCTGACTGCAGTACAGGCTTGACGCGGCTGTACAGTGAGTAATTCGATAATCAACAAAAAATACAGACCCAGCCTCGCACCAACCGTTCCGCTGATGCTGATGCTTATGCACTACGATATATTGTTGCTAGATCAACCAACCAAGATCTGATCCTACCCGCAGCCATATGCAAGACGACAAGATATTGACTTGATGGATGCACACCACGGGAGAGACAGCCAGCTACGCATAACAGCACTGCAGAACGTTCAGGTCCAGCCTAGCCAGCCAACGCCAACCTCTAGAGATTCATGGAAACAGGAACAGGCCTCAAGATGATCAGCTGTGCAGTTCCATGAACCTACACAGTTTCACTGGGCAACAAGAGGCTTGCGTCATAAACGCAACCAAGTTTTGATTATGTGTATACTGCACTGTATCTAAACCTTTGAGGATCAGGGTACATTCATGAATGGTCGCGGTTGGGCGTTGGTTAGTTTGTTTGGGGATGGTGGAGGCGGATTGCGCAAGCTCCAGACCAAGGCAAATAGAAAAAAAACCGCTCGATTTTGCCAGAGAATGTTTCTAAAAACAACCACAAGATAACTGGAGACGTTGTACAACAACACCAACCAGCCGCTCACTGTTAATACTGGAAAGCATGGGCGGAATAATATGCAAATACAAGGAACCTGCGTGAATAGCGGCTGCCGGTATTCCCTATTTCCCCCTTCTCCCGCAGTTGCAGATGAGACCTCCATATCCCTGTGCCCTGTTAGCCTGTGCCCTGAAATCTTGCGGCTGGACCAAATGCTAGGATTGTATTTTGCGGCTCGGACTAATAATCTGTAGATCTGTGTTGGATTTTTTTTAATTGTGGTTCTGACGCGCAAGCAGAATCAAACAGCTCAGGCCAGGCTGCGGCCTTAACCGCGACCACAAAACCACCAGTCAAGGGGAAAAGGAGAGGGAGAGGGAATAAACAGGAATGATCGTCCAGCCACATTCACTCTATTATCGTTTCCTTACCGCGCATTGCATTAAAACGAAACAGCGCGGACATTCCGACAAGCTCCATCATGATCGATTGCCTTGAACTTTGTCGGTCACTTAGACCAGAGAAACCCCAGCAAAACAGCGAATATGAATGGCCTGTGCGGTTATAGTGGTTCCATGGAAAATCAAGCTCCCTCCCCCTGCCGGCTTCTTGCTAGCTTGCCCCCGGCATGCAGTCTGGCTTGTCTCCCGTCCTCTACCGCTTCCGTCGCCTGCATCGCTACCACACCGCGCACGACGCGCAATTGATGGAACCCATCAGTGAATGTATCCATAATTCCATATTTTAATCTGAATCAACGGTTGGAGGAGGTGCTCAGGTATAGTGATGATGACCAGGTCCCTTGAATCTGAATAATCCCCCCTTCAATCTTTGTCTCCTTTAACCGACCCAGAAAACTCCATATTTTTGCATGAACAAGCTTTCGGGCCCCTTTTGTTTAATATTACTGCTTGTTGCCCCGGAACATTTCTCGATAGCATTCATCATCCATTATACTGTATGTTCCCAGGGGTTTGTTACAGACCAACTGGAGATGCAGACGGAAATATTCAATATCGAATTAACAATTGCCCCCTGCCCTGTTCATGTAGCGCTCGGAGAAAAAAGCCAAAGGTAGAAGCTCGGTCGGACTGTCTGTTTCGACATGAGTAAATTTACATTAAATGTCATTGAAACGAACCATGCAATACACCAAACTCTTCTCTCGCCTCGTTGATGCTATCGACTACCCCTGTCTCATTTGAGTCAACCTTGTAAGCTCAACCATGTTCTGTCAAGTTCTGGAATCCTACTTTGCAACTTGACAATAAGTATCGGAACTATCACGATCACCGCATGACTATTATCGAATCTCGTCACTACCACTGCCACTTTGTCGGCTTACTGTATGTACAGTGGCAAAGCACTACGTGATGTCAGCGTAAGCGTAGGCGCGCACCGAGTTCTACGGACAAGAATAGCCTACCGAAGAATCCGGATTACTGGATCGAGTACGGAGTATCGAGTATCGAGGCGAGTCGAGGCGAAGGGGAGGCCTACATGGGGTTCATCAAGCTCAACCCAGATCAGAATCCAAATCACAGCAATCATGCCAGGCATAACAAAGCAAGCCCGTCTCTAGTATAATTGATCGACGACTTTTCCAATTTTAACTCAAAACACAGATCTATCGATCCACATACAGTACACACATCTGATGCAGGAACACGTAACCTCTACCGTGTACATGCATCCCCGTGTCATACATTCTATGTTGACAACAAGCAAGATCATCTCCTTTTCTTAAGCTCCTACATTCAAGCCTCAACATTTTCAAAATGGAATGTTGGCTGTCCAGGGACTGCATGCTCGGCTGCAGGTACTGAAAGCTCCACCTCCTTTCCATCTCCGAGGTTGGTTCCCTTCTTGCTGCCCTCTTCGACTGAGATGATGTGGCAAGCAACCAGGCCGCTAGTCCGCTTCAATCCAGGAACCATCTGCAGGAGAGTCTCCTTTTCGTTGAATGCCAGCTTTTGCTCCAGGACCACGCTCGCTGGCTCGCCGGCCTGAAGTCGTCTCTTGAGGTTCTGCACAAATGGCATGGCCTTCTTCATTTCTCCCATCTTGCCAATCTTGCCATTGAGCTCCTTATCGTTGACTGACTTAGCCTCCACGTTCCACATCTCCTTCAAGAGATCAATGTACTTCGCTTGCCAAGCTGGAAATTTGTCCGTGACAAAGATTGTGAGTTGCTTAGGCTTCTTGGGGTCGAACGATGTCTCCTTGCCCTTGGCCTTCTTCTTCAGTTGCAGACCCTCCGCCGAGTTGACGTTGGAAGCAGTGTTTCGTACATAGTCACGCTTCGCCGACAGGGAAGCATCGACCTCCTTAATCTCGGGGAATCGAGCATTATGAATAGTGCCCTCATTCTTCAGCACCTCAAGCCAAATGTACTCAGACCAGTGGGGAGCAACGACCGCCAGCAGCAGAGCCTGTACCTCGATATACCGGAGGGCAAGATCGCGGTGCAGTTTTATGCCGGCTGCTGCGCAGGCTTCTCGATAGAAATCGCGAGCGCTCGTCAACTCATATAGACCAGCCTTTAAGGCCAGCTTGTAGTTGGTGTTGACATACTGCTCAACAGCCTCCTTGATAACCGCGTTCATGTCGTTGTTGAACAAGGCATCCTGGAACGAATTCAACTCACCAGTTCGAAGTTGATCCTGGTCTCGAACCATATCCTCGCACCACTCCTTGAGAGTATATAATCGGAGAATGTTGGTATCGGCAACATCCTCCTCAAAATTGGCATCATTGACTCCATCGCCAGCATCCGCAAGAGCAATACGAGAAGCGTCCGCACCGTATTTCTCTGTCAAGTCTCGGAGAGTCATGAAGTTACCGGTACTCTTGCTCATCTTCTCGCCATTGAGCATTAGATGACCGTTCGCGCGGATACTTTGAGGCCAATACTCTTGAGAGAATAGGGCCAAATCTAAGAAGTGTTAGTCAAAAGATACTAAATTTGCCTGAAAAGAGGTATCGAAATAAGGAAATAGTCAGAAAAATCTAGAAAAATGTAGGAAAGTCCAGGAAAATTCAGGAAAACTCAGAAGAGTTCGGGGAAAATCGGGGAAAGCCAGGAAACAGGAAAAGAAGAAAAGGGTAACAAACGGGAATATAAGAAAAATGTGAGATGATTCGCAATTAAGTCCTGTGTAACACGTTGATTAGTCTCAGGATAGCTTAGTGAAGACACACGTCTTGACTCACCTTGCCCGAGACTCGCACGTCAAGAGGATAGAAGTACTCGAACTCGCGGCGCATGCTCTCCAGGGTCTCCTTGGGGATCTTGCTATTTGTGAGTATCTCGTCACTGAGCTCCTGGCGGCAAAAGACGTAGTCCCAGACTTCGTCAACCATTTGCTCCGGTCCAACATTGGCACTTCCCTTTGTCTTTCCGAAGATGTCCTTATGTAGAAGGTGGGCGATGGTATAGTAGGCCATGTAAACAGTCGAGTCACTCAGACTCTCTACCAAGAATTGAGGATCCCAAGGGAGCTTGGAGCCGAGACCGTAGGTTCGAGCACAAGCCCACTGGTTCAGCCAGTTCAGGACACCCTCGAAACTGTTCTTGGTCTCAGTTGTGTAAGTGTTTAGGCCATTCTCAACCCAGTCAAGTGCAGTCTTCTTCCATGACTCTTCGCCGTAGTCCAAGTACCATTGGTCCATAAGAGCAACGATACAGTCATCGCCTGATCGACTGACAACCTTGCGCTCAGGCTCAGAGTAGGCAAAGGCTTGACCGGCATCGATCATTTGTTGTCGGACCTTAGGCTTAGCAACCTCGACCTTCTCACCCTTGAACTCGCCCACCTTCAGAACACCCTGGTAGAAGCCTTCCTTGTACGCCAGCTCCTTGGCCTCCTCAAGCTGCTTTGTGTCTTTAGGAGAAGCGATTTTGAGCTTCTTGACCAGGAAAGGAGCGCAGAGGTCACCATAACTAGGTGTATCGATAATGGGGAAGATCTCAAGCTCAGCCCACTCCTTCTGAATCCCATAATAATCAGCCTTCTTGGCCAGGTCGGTCACAGTAGCAAAATCATCAGGACTGTCAGATGGCACGGAGGTGACAACTCCAGTACCCTTTGTAGGGAGAACAGTCTCCATAGGCAAGACACGTACTCCCTCTTTGTGCAATGAGAGGGGAGCATCAACAAGAGTGCCGACCATGTCAGAACCAAGGACATCAGCAACCTTCTCGACGACACCCTCGGTAGCAAAGATACCCTGGTGCGCCATATTACGTGCGGCACGTTCCGTCATGACATAAAAGTCATTGTCGTTGGCCTTAAAAACGCCATAGGTGATCTTGGGACCCACGAAACAGCAAGTTTGGCCATACATAGTTTCGGGTCTCAGAGTAGCCGCGATCTTGTAAACGTTAGCACCCTCCGGGAGCTTACCCTTCAGGGCCTCGGCAGCTTTAGGAGCCCATTCGAGAACCTTGATCTTCAGGGCAGTGTATTCCTGGGGGCCAACACCCTCGCCTTCAGATCGGTCGTGGTCCATACAGGGCTGACCATCCTTGATAGAGTAGATGGTGTATCGCTTGCCGAACTTGATTTTATTCAGCTCCTTGAGACGGTTCATCTGCCATCGAACAAAAGCGTCGTAGTAAGGGTTAGCATCAGTGGTGACAAAAGATCGACGCCAGTCGATACGGCAACCAAAATTGGTCAGGTCTTCCCTGCACAGGGGAGGGAAATGTTGAAGCCAATGTTGAGGGTCAGCGAACTTGTGGATTTCCACGGTGGGAATTCCGATAGCTTGCATGATCTGGAACTGGTACCTGCGAGTTGTATTAGTAAGTTGGAAACTTCGAGGACAGAAGCTCTATTTACTTCATCTTGACAGATTTCGCCGCAGCTTTGCCCTTCGTAGCCTTGAACTTGGTGATATCCTCCTTGATCTGCTTGACAACGGGGGCTTTCTCTTCGACAACAGGCTCATCATCCTTGTAGCCCGAAAAGTCCTGGCCAAACATCTTGACCTCGTCGACGAGCTTGTCGGCACAAGCCTTGATGGGCATACCAGTGCAGTGGAAGCCCATGGGAAAGAGGGCTCGCTTTCCCTGCATGCGTGCAACACCAGCAGCGAATTCAACCTTGCTGACAGAGAAAGAGTGACCAGCGTGAAGAGTTCCGTTCATGTAAGGGTAGGCCATGCATCCAAAGAACTTGGGCTGCTGCTCCCGAAGTTCGGCGGCGGGAATGGAGTGGAGAGGCACCTCATCCGTGGTGGGTGCATTAGCTTCGAAGACTTTCTCGTCCTGCCATTTCTGTTGATATTTCTTCTCGAGTGCGACCAGAGTGTCTCGCTTCTCAGTCTGCTCATAGTTAGAGTGGCCACTTGAAAACGGTGGAGGAAGTTGGACCTGCACCTTTGAGCTCCTTGGTCTTGGAGATGTTGAGAGCCTCCATGGCCTTGGGAACAGAATCGGTAGAAGCCATAGTCGCAAATGGACGAGACCTGTGAAGAAAGAGAAAATATTGTCAGTTTTTCCCCTGAGTAGTATGTTGAAATATGAAGGTTGAGTGAATAATACGCACTTCGAAATTCCGTGGAAATTTTTGAGTCACTGTTTGGAAGGGATTGAATCGGACTTGAGAAGGAGGGGTGAAAATCGCGGGGCACACTCGTAGTGCGTCAAGGTGGCTAGTGAGTGGGCGGTTTTTGTGGCGGTGATGTGGCGGTGATGTGGCGCCTATTGGAGATTCTCCAACACTAACGACATTCCTCATGCGAAGCTTCATGTCTTGAACCATTGAGTCACTCGAGGTCGGGAGCGACTTAATCACAATGTTTCCCACGCTGATCAGACGTATGGCCTCATCTTCAAAGGATAGTCTTCTCAAGAAGGCTCCTCTGACGGTGGCAACCAACCCTTACAGGGCCCGAAAAGTGTGGCCTCCGAACTTCAAGCAACTTACTGTCCAGCAACAACTCCGGTTTGAGAAGAAGTACAAACGTCGCATTATCCTAGCAAGTCGAGCACCGCGATGGGTGAAATTTGTCAAGACTGCTCAGCTCCTGACGATTGTTGGTAAGATTATTCTCATGCAATCATTTCCGGGCTCTTATCTAACTCAAGTTCCAGCTGCACTGATCTGGATCTGCTTCTACTCCGAGTTCGAATGGTGGGGTCAGAAGTATAAACCTTCTGAAGAGGTTCGTACATATGATTATAGAAGAACCAAGAACTACTAACGCCATCATTAGATTCGTAAGAAGACACAATATCTATTCGGCACAGTCGATCCCGAGAAGCGATACGAACGACGACCAGATGCGCCGCCTTTCCATCCCCCAAAGGACGAGCCAGAATCAAAATAGTGTATTCTTTATGTATATTATTCAATACCTGGAGTTGGGCGTTAGTCTCGTAGAGTCGAAACATATATGGATATCTCAACAGGCAGACACATCTTGTAATCCGCTCTACCATGCATTTCATTCGTCGCTCTGAATAGTCGTAAACTTCATCGCCCAGTCCAAGCAAAGTTGGCACCCATACCAAGTCCACTTCCCAGACCAGTAGGTCCTCTGCCTTCGTTCACAGGTCTCTTCGCGACCGTTCCTTGCGCCTTTACCCCTGAGACAATGCGATCCAGATTTGTCTCTATTACCACGCCCCCTATTATCATTTCCGATAAGGTAGAGTGCAGGGTTTCGAAGTTGAAGATCAAGTCCAGCTCACAGACATTCTCGAAGAGCTTGTCAAGGGCCTCCACGTAGACTTGAATCAGATCGATAAGGGCAAGCGGCGATTCGGTCGATGTGGAGATGACGATGAAATAAAGGGTCGCATAGTTGCGATATGTTACTAGTGTTGGAACATCGTTCTGTTCTTCCGAGGAGGTGTGGGAGGTGCCTGAAGCGGCGAGCAGAGGTGGAAGGGGTAGGAAGTTGCAAGATCCGGCCGGTCGATTCGAGACGAGTGTAAATATTTCGGAGATAAGGCGCTGTTGTATACTCGTTTCCTATGAGGCGCATCTGAGTTTCTGGCAACAAAGCCGGAGGGGGACAAAGCATACCAATTGAGTATAGAACTTGGTCAAACGAGGCTGACCTTGGCCGTTGAAGACCAGAAAGGCATTGATCATGATTAAGGACAGGCGCTCTTCATTCCCTCACTCGAATCAATGTAGATGACCTAGTGTAGGTAGGCAAGGTTTGGGTTTCGTATGGTATTGTAGGTAGGTTGAAGCGGTAGATGGTGGGGCATGTGTCTGCAATGAAGACGCGGAGCTGATGACGGGATGCGGGAGCTACAATCCCGGTACGTACCTCCACTGACGAAATTCATGGTGCAATTGGTCAGTCCCACCTGGCAGCTGCACTTATCCAGACCGCGGGGAGCTTGGTTGCTTCAATTCGTTCATCTTCTGAATAACAGCAATTGACCGAGCTCGTCACCGCGAATGCTATTCTGGTTTTCATTTACGGGCCCTTTCTAACCATTCAATACTATAGTCAGGACGCAATTTCTGAAAGTTGATCTTCTAACAAACAAAATGTCCCGACAAATCGCATTTCAAGCTTCCCGCTTGGCTTCGCGAGCGATCCGCTCTTCAACACCCATCTGCCGCTCAAGCTTCCGTATCGCTCCTGCAATCACACACCTTTCCATCCGATCTACCCTTTCGCAAAAATGCTTCTCGACTACGGTTTCCAGCAAGCGGGGTATCATGCCTGATACGGAGAATCCTGCCAAGCCTTTGAACGAAGCCGAAGAGATCCATCAGAATGCTGTTGTGGCCGATATTACTGAGCAAGAGTACCATGACCTTGCGGACGAGTACCTCGATAATGTTGTCGGGAAGTTTGAGGAACTCCAGGATCAGCGAGAAGACATCGACGTCGACTTTTCAGTACGTATCACTTATGCGATCATCGTCCAACCCCATCTGATACATTTATCTACAGGCTGGAGTCCTCAGCATCAGTTGGCCTGACAAGGGCACATACATCATCAACAAACAGCCCCCCAATAAGCAGATCTGGCTGTCGTCTCCCATCTCTGGCCCTAAGCGCTACGACTGGTGCCTCTTTGGCGAGGGCCAGAACGAGAAAGAGGGCACAGCTGTGGGTGACTGGATCTACGTTCGTGATGGATCCAGCCTAAACCAGGTTTTCTCTGAGGAGCTTGGTGTTGACATTGACGTTCCGAGCGAGGAGTAGAGCTTCCTCCCGAATGCCGATAAAAGACCCAGCAAGCATGGTTGAAGGAGAAGACCATCACAGACAAAGGAAAAGCATTTATGAAGGCGTTGAGGGCTTCGGTTAGCCTAGTGAGGATTGCGATTTATGTTCAATGTATTGTACATGTACTATTTAAGGTCTCTCCGTTCGGGGAATTGGGAATGCCCAAGTCAGAACGTATGCAAATAATTTGCCGGTTATTCCGTCCAAGATCTGCCATCAACCATACAACTCCTTGTGCCTCGTGTACGTAGTACAGTTGATGTACAGGTCCCTTTCATCGTCTCGATGAAGAGCCGCTAGAGGAGCTTCTATAGTACCTCAGGCCTTTGATGGCAAAATACGCATCCGTAACTCTGTTCCTTCTTTGTCTGAGAACTTGATATCTGTGTGTCCGTATTCCAAGAACTTCAGCTACCGCAGGTTTCCGAGGCGAGTCCTGGGCTTAGTGGATTGCTCTTCTTCGCATAAACTTGGGGGAGCCTCAAGTAATCTCAACGGAGACAGATGCCCATAGTTTTATTAAGCATAGCGACCGTCATATCATAATGATTATACGCAGTCGCATTCGCTTCCTTCATCTCCTGTCTAATCGCGACATAAGCACTGGCTCACTCATGAAAATTTATTCAGACTTACTCTGCATGTTTCAACGGATCATAAGCCGAGTAATCCTTTTTCCGGTATCTCATCTGCCGGACTCGCAATAAGTTCTTCAAGATCTTATGCTCCAATCCTTTCTCTTTCGCTGCCGCCTGGAGAAACCATATGGTTCGCTTGATGCCCCGTCCATCATATGTGGCACCTGGCTCGCGAAAGGCCCTCCGGAGTTGATCGCGGGCTACGAAGCGAGCAGGAATTGCGTATTGCACTGCCTTGAGAAGATTTCGATATAGATGTCGATAAGCATGTCTTATCTCGGTCGGGGTAGCCATGCTTGCAGAATTTGGATAGACAGTTTGTATGCCATTGGTGTTCCAGTTACGATGAGTGAGAAGTTATAATGGGCCCACTTTAACTATCATGGAACAAATCGAGTTCATGACAGTAAACTGTGAGAGAGCAAAACCTTACTCCGGAGTAGCGACAACACTTTCTTCAACATGATTACTTCTTTATCTGTATCAAGCCGCTTCTCTCATTATGTATGATATACAGGCCATTATCAGCCGTCTAACTCCATGAAAATTCGGTCTAAATATATCGATCCATAGATCTTCAAAGAAATGCAGCGATCCTCATCCAAAAAAACACACATCACCTTCGTTTCGTAAGTCTCCTTTAGACCCTGGCACATTTAATTGATTCTTTCCCATCAAGTGACTCCAATATCCTTCAAGGCGATCGTTGCGCTATCTTATCCTGGCGGTAACGCATCCTGCGCCTTGTGCGCCATCTATATGCAGTTATTCTTATAGACAAACTCCAAAAGACTTCATCAATAGTCATCACGTCGGCCTTCTCGGCCCTCTTCTTGTTGGCCAAGAGGAGCATACCGACCTTGCGCACTGCTGCCACTATCGGACCTGTTTCGTCCGACCACTCTTGATAGCCAGCCACCAATACTTCGTTCATCACCGCCGGTCTGCATCTGGGACTTGCTGTCATCATCGATCGCAGGGGGGTCGAGGGAAAGTCCAGGAATAGCAGATGAGGGTCCAATAAGCCCTCGAGAGGATCCTACAGGAGATCCGGCCCTCATCAAAGAACCAGTTTCAGTGCCGTGTAACGAAGGAGTACCAGCAACGGTACTGGCGTCTCCAAAGAGCGAGTCCATGTCTTCCAGGCGCACGCCACAGGTCTCCGGGTAGATAAAGTATACTTATAATATGTCAGCAATGCGATCGTGTCAGCTCAGACATGACAAAAGAACTTACCAATAACAACACTGGCCACACAGAAGAATGCATGAACCAGATACATGCGCCACTTAATCCATTCCTGGAGGATAGGCGTCATCTCACCCACAAGCCAGTTAGCCGCCCAGTTAGTTGCTGTCGACAGACTGGCACCCTTTGATCGAATGCTGAGAGGGAGAATCTCGGGAGGATAGAGCCAGGGGATAGGTCCCCATGAGTAACCAAAAGCGGCATTGTAGATCATGACGAACAGAACAACCAATCGAGGAGTCCACTTGATGTCGAGGAAGAGGAAGTAAGAGATGAGCGATAGTGAGATGGCCATGGCTGTGGCACCAGAAAGAAGAATCTTGCGTCGACCCCAACGATCCACCAGGTACCACGGAGGAATTGTTGACATAAGATATGTGAGACTGTTGAAACCAGTCATGAGGACAGCGTCATGACCAACCCAACCAGCAGACTCAAAGACGTAAGGTGCGTAGTAGGAGATGACGTTGATGCCATTGAGCTGGGCGAGCGCTTGGGCGGACATGGCAATAAAAACTCGGGTTTTGTATCGACGAAACATGTCCTTATATGTTCGCTCGCCTTCTTGGCGTTGAAGAAGGACGTTCATCTTGATCTCGCGATACTCGTCTCGAGCCTTAGGATCATGAATATCGCCACCTCCGTACAAGTTAGCAATGACCACCATCCCTTCTTCATCATGGTCGTTGTCCAAAAGCCATCTGTGAAATTAGCAAGCCATTTCGACACATACCAAATATGATTGACTTACCGAGGTGATTCAACAATGACCAGACTGCCGAGCCCAAGCAGAGCACCCATGAAACATTGCAGTCCAAGAGGAATGCGCCAAGAATAGTCACTCTCAATGAAGCCGCAGCCATAATCAACCCAGACAGATGTTGAGTAACCGACGATGTTTCCTGTGAACTCAATACATGCTAGTTTTCCTCGGTTGTGAGGGGGCGAGATCTCAGACTGATAAACAGGCACAATGGTCGAGAGCATGCCAACTCCGAAACCGGCAACGAAACGTCCAGCCATCATCATGGGCATGGAAGTAGCCAGAGTCTGGAGAGCACCTCCGACGAAGAAGATGCAAGACCCGTAGAAGATGGTGCGTCTTCGACCGATGATGTCGCCAATGCGACCGACCATCAGGGAAGTGATGAATGCACCAATCTCTAAGATAGCAACCATAGTACCAACGTATGCCTTGGAAGGGTGATCAAAGTAATCCATAAAGTATGGTCCACTGGTAATCGATTAGTCAAACCCAAAACGAGTTCAACAGGCATTAGAACTTACGTGATTATACCTGACATGACACCCTGATCATATCCAAAAAGGAAAACACCGAGTGATACGAAGATACTGGTGAAGTAGCTGGTAAAGGTCAGTCTATGACATTGCAAGTGACGAGAGTGCATAATCTTACATCAAGGCCTTGCCTGTTAGGCCATGGATTGAACCTGTACGTCCGGCCATGATGGCGCCGAGTACGCGTTCAGCGCGAGAGGGACCTGGGGGGCTGAAGTTAGGAACCTCGATAGCCTCCTTGTTGATAAGGGCAGATCGCGACTGAGAATGACGGTGGTGATGTGAGTCCTGGATGCGAACCCTCTTCTGGTTGCCGTGCTTGGGGTGTCGGCGATGAACGTTGGCCAGAAGTTCGTCCTCAACGTCTGAAGAGAGCTGTAGACGAACAGGGTCGTGCTCGTCGGCCAGCTGCTCGCCAATATCGCCGGTGTCGGTCCACGACGATTCGGAGCCAGAATAGGACGAGCGACGATGAGACTTGGCAACGTCGGAGCGGTGTTGGCGGTTATCGTCGCTATCGTCGTCGTAGTCACGATCGTGGTCGTTGCGGGACGCGAGCAATGACGTCGCTTGTGAATCCGGGTCTTGGTGTTGTTGATTATCAGGACGAAGGGTCCGTAGAGGAATGTTTGAGGGAAGACGTGAAGACTTTGAGGGAGGAATTTTGGTAAGATGGGGCTGTTAAGCAGCAGCGCCCGTCTGCAGAGAGATTGAAGGTAAAAGGTACGGAAAGAGAAGGGGGAAGGCCGAGAGACAACGAGGTCATCGGCACCTTGAACGGCCCAGCGATAGACGGAGGGGAATGGGAAAGATGGGGTCGGGTGACCGGGGTGTGGACGGTACGGAATCAGGGTCTATCGGCGTCTATGGCAGGATTCAATGGGTAAAAAAAAAAAGGTTGACTGGTAAACACAGCAAAAGATAGTGATACCTGACTGGGGCGCGGGCTCAATTGGGCGTGTGAGGTGGGTTCCTAGTCAGTTGAGATGCGCTGTATCAGGCCTTGTTCTTCTGGGCTTGTTGGGACCCCTGGTTGGTGGTAGCTCAAACTGCGTCACTCGGCAGCGTAGATTTGGGGATCAGGTACTTTGGAGTGACCTTGGACAAATTGCGTGTGCGTGAGGTTGAGATGCGGTACAGGCGGAATGCGCGGTAATAATCGACAAGCAAAGCGCTGTCATGGGCCCTTTGGCTGAATTGATGAACGATCTTCAGAAACAGAACGAACTAGACAAGATCAAACTGCCTAGGATGGAGTCGCAGCTGGGGAAAAGCTGGAGTGCAGCACGCGGAGGCAGGCTGTAGCTGGCTGGGGTCGGTGCAGTGGACGACAGGCAGATGACCACGATTGAGACAGGATAGGACCTCAAGCGGACAGTTGCTGCACCAAGTGACAAATCTCAATAATAGTCAGGCGAGACAGCAGCAGGGGCAGCGATCACGAAAATGTGCAAGCGATACGTTTGGGGGGGGGAATGATCGACTTAAGGGTGAGGAAAACGGCGCGAAAAGAGGTGATTTGATGATAGGGATGAAGGTTGGTAACGAAGGGGGGATAGAGAAGAAGAAAATGCTGTTCAAGATGAAGGAAGGGCAGCAACTTGAGGGATAGGACAAGTCGACGACTAAAACTCGATCGAGAGCAAGCAAGGGGACGGCTGCTGGAAAATAGTATGTACGGGAGTTTGCCGTTCAGGGGAGGCTTTCAGGAGGTCAAGGTCGCGTTTGCCTGGCCTGGGCTGTCAGATTGAGATGGAGGATCTCTAATTACTGCATTGCATCCAATTGTTGCACTGTACTGACTGGGCTGTCTGTATCTGATCTCCATACTTGCTACTCTATCTCAAGTACAGTAGCGATTCCACTTTACCCAATCTCTCATCTTGCCTGATTGCATGATCATCAGTCAGTTCGCTCTATCCAGTCTCAATTTCTACCGTTTTCTCAGGGGTAACAATGGCTCATCTCTGCCAGCCTTAAACTCTGAATTTCAACGGTCTTGCGGATACAGTACCTTCACGTGCTTCCAGTTTGTCAACTCGATGAGAATGTGTCCAGGAGACTCCACGTTCACAAGCGGGCACTTCTCCACGCTTTTTACTATAGACGCTCGGGGCAAGCTGGCAAGCTTGCCGTCCGTCGTAGGTCATTTCGAACTATCGTGAAGTGTGGGGTGTGTGGACGCGTTATAGAGCCAAGACAGCCATAGTGGGGGTTTACAGGCAGCTTCGTTGATAAAAACCACTATTTCTCTCAATCAATAGAGAGCAAAATAAGGATGCCACTCTGAAAAAATCTCTCCTCAGCTAAGACAAGTCAGATGAAGCGCTGCTAGATCTGACTCGTAATCGCATCCAAGGCTGTGCAAGCATAGCCAGTCACATGCCTTGTTACCCATTCAGTTGGAACTCGAGTGTGACTGTGGACGGGAAGCTGGAAATATGCAGGTTCCAGTAATTCCCTCCTGGCAGGACATGCAGTTCATGGGCTTTGTTTTATCCTCATCTGCAACTTGAGACGTGTTCGTGAACAGGTGAGCCATTGGCTCCCCTCTCGTCTTTTGTTATGAGTCTTTGAGGCAGCTCACACAACGTTTGTAACCCGATCTTGACCAAGATCCAATATTAAAAGCGGTCGGTTCTAATCGTTGGTATTTCCCCACGAAGTCAATGTTCACGAGGATATTCTCTCCACACACTAAGTAACCCCCAGACTTCATGGCACATATAAGAACTGATGTACTTATCAAGTACTTGGTCCTCCACCATAGAATACGCTATCGCAAAGAGGGAAGACTGAAATCTCAATATTCTTCGAGTTCCACTCACACAACTAGAAGTCCAGGGTAAATTCAGGTTCGCAGTGATTTGGTCTTCCGCCTATCGTCTTCTTGAGATATTGATGTTGGCGGGCCCGCTTGACTCGTGGTGGATCCAAACTACGTCACTCCATCTCCATGTAGTCCATGTATTGACTCTTGTGGGACGGGACAGGATCCATAATCGAGTTTGTCAAATGCGAGATGTTCGCTTTTGCAGATTTCGCAAAAGTTGTTGACTTGATATATTATAGCCTAATCACGGATTTTCGAAAGCAAGACGGACCTTTGCTTTAAATGGGCAATGCTTATCAGGAAGTTCATACATCCAAGTTCAATGATGGGCCGTGCTATCGTACACTAGGATGTAGCAAGGTTGAAAGATTAAAACACGACGATCTGATGTTGACCGACCCTTTGAAAACAAGCTGTCAAACTGGCGAATTACATTAGCCCCCTTGTTCCACTAGTCGCGTGATTCTATGTCAGGGTCCAGCCTCTTGTCAGATGAGACCTGGGTTCGTAGTAATCGTGCATATCGTGTTATGAATAGGTATGCATTCGCTCTGGTCAAGCATACGAAGGGAAGATATAGGAATTAAATATGATCATTGTTAACCCTGTCTTGCTTCACATGCTTGCATATATCTTCGCTGATGAGATATATCTTCCTTTATTATAATGGGCATAATGGGAGAGATATTGTGCAGTTGTCTTGAGAAAATCACAGTCTTCGGACAACAAGCATAATTTGTGAATTATAAAAGTGCATGGAATTCCTCATGGACAAACCGAAATCTTGAACTACTTGTAAAATATGATGTGGTGACTCTCACTTCTGTGAACTTCATTCCAGATCTTTTAGTTAGCTACAAGTAGGATCAGTAACAAGAGCAAGAATGTAGTAAGTAAGTAAGGTAGACCTATGGATTGTGAGAAGAGGCTGAGAACGCTCCATCATGATTTCATGTAATTTATTCCACCCCGAGCTCCGAATACCCATTATAACCTTCCGTGTGATTTGTGTCGGGCTGTTCAGAGGCTCACTCAAGTATGAGTCTGGCGGGCTAACGGACATGAAATATGTGAATAACACGATCTTGTCGTACCAGGAACATCTTCGGTATATACATATGATCACAATCTCTTATAAATCATCGTAGGTGACGTTTGTAGTTGGAATGGGGTGGTCACTGATGTTTGTGTCGCAGAAGCAATTGCCCCAGCCAGGCTCTGCTGCCTGCGGATGGGTCGTGGTGTTTTTGGACCTCTGAAAAGAAATCAATTCAGCAGAAATAGCAACCCCGACCTCATTTATATGATTAAACTTGATGCTATACGATATTCTTCGTGTTTCGTCTCGTTTGCTATTTGTTCATTGCGTGCTCGTGGTAGTTCTTGTCTTCATCTGTTCCATTGATAGGGTTGCTCTATAACTGCGAAATACCGCCAGCCTCATAGTAGATATAGCTAAAAGCTAAGGTTAGATAGCTTGAAGTACCTCTTCGTACGCATATTCATGTTTCCTGCCTTCGGCCTTCGGCTTTTTTGTGCACCCTTGGGTAGCAGACGTTTAGCTGAAAATCGCAACTTGATATCACCCAACGTCTGGTGTCTATATATATCCACACGCTCTTCAGCAGCTCAAATATAATTGCTTCAAGTGTTGGTTTTACAAGGGGCATTTAGAACTTGAACAGTGATTCTCGTAGGCTTTTCGTAGTGATAGCTCATGTAACTACATCCATGACCCTCTAGCGTACCATTCTAGTATACCTTTCAAGCCAACCTTTCGGCATTTTCGGGCCTTGAGACAGTTCATTTAGGCCATTTTGTATGACAGTTTGATCGAAAATACCACTGGTTGAAATACTGTACGTGTGTTGTAGTTCCAATGCCATGATGATATTCACTCATCAGATATGATCCGCGATTCCAGATAAAAAATCTTAGCCCCATTAGTACTACCGCACACATGAGATATTCATCAGGACTGACCGATGTAGATGCCAGTAGTTATATGCTGTTTAACTTCATAAGTTTTATTTTCTCATAACTGTAAGTTGAGCTATGTACTTTGGTTGGATACCCTATACCTATCTTGTTGTACTCTTGTATAAAGTGTTGCAAATTTTCATAAACATCCCAATTGTATCCAAGCTGATAACGAGTCTAGTTATTATGGTAACTGGAATAATACAATGCCTAGTAGCTGCTTAGATAAGGACAGTGTTTCAGATTTCTGACGGACACAGAAACTGTCTCATGAATGTGTACCAACTCGGCTACACATAGCACTTAACGGTAGTACGTATTGCTAATACCGAAGTCGAGGAGCCCGGAGGACAGGAACTAGTTCCCGGAAGATAAGAAGATTCGCCCCTTGGTCGTCAACACTACACGTATCAAGCCCAGGAACACCAATTAAGCCTGTAGCCACGGCATCACTTCAAAAGGACGGTTAAGACGTCCCACATGCAGCCACAAGATAACGAGCATGGATGATGCTGCGCCACATGCATGAATGACCTTAGTTCTCAAGGGATCATCACATCGGTAAGTTCTGGGTTAGGATATAGCACATACGGAGTGTATCTACGGGATGCATGAAAACAAGGGACTTGGACCCCAAGTGACAGAAATATTTAGACGAGTTTAGGATAGTTTAGGATAATTCAGTTGAGCTTAGCAAGCTCGTTGACTAATTAGAAAGGTGTAGTAGTCTTCTTGAACCCCTAGGTCGGTTTACGCAATGCGGTGTTGGAAACAGGCCTGAAACAAGACGTTGAAAAACCTGAAGCACCAATTACAGTATCAAGTTGGAAATCTCCAAGAGTCGATGAAGCAACTTTGTCGTGATTCTGAAACAAAGCAGGGTCTGCTGGCACAGACGATCAATTAGGGAGAAATAAGTTTAGCTGCTGACCAACTCAGCGCTCAGCTGCACGCTGATGTAAAAAGCCACGGATTCGGGGTCTGGATTCAGCCCAAATGGTGGAAAGGTTACTCAAGCAGGAAACTGGAGTGAATATCGATGAAGCTGGAAGCAAGAATAGAATGTGGGCCACATGTACGACGTGGCTGATGTTGTCGATCTCTAAAAGGCTGTGGCAACGACGTATGAGATGGAATTGAAAGCAGACCGGTATTCGCACAAGTTCCTTGGCCGGCTGTGGGGGGCATTCAGAAATCTCTTGGCAATTTGAGCTTCCAAGTTTGGAGACGTGCTAGCAGCTCAAGGGAGACATGGTCATTGGGTCATTGGGCCAAGGGCAAGTCTAGAATAAAATAATTGAGCACATATTGAGCAGGGCATGAGTTTTATAGGGCTTTGACCAACGTCTATATTCCACATATGGAGCGAGGGATGGGACCACTTAGCAGAGGATGGGGTAAAGGCGAAGGGAGTCGTCTCGCTTCGCAACAAGAATCATGCAAGTGATTGATTGTTAGAGAAGATCATTGATATTGAGATTTGAGCATTGAGCATAAAGCGCCACCAAAAAGCCAATGCCAAGACTGTAATTTGCTTTAGGCCGCAATTGGACGAGTGAAACGAAACGGCTGCACTACGACCCGCCTTCAATATCCTTACACAGCATTTAGCGTCATGTTTGAGGGCATCAGTACTCAAGTTAGAGACCAATGATGATGTGAACCATGAGATGCGGAAGCCCGCGATGCAAGACGGCCGATGCAAGCCAGAAATAGACGCTATAATCGAGTTATTTAAGATCAAATTGAGGGGTGGTTGGTTTGTATCGTAAATGAGTTCATGTGCACTGACATCTATCATCCACCCACGTCGTGACTTGCATGGTGCTTCTCACATCTCTATGAGGTACCCTCCAGACATGCTGTCGATTGGTGGGATGTGACGCTGGAAGATCAAAGCCCTATGCCAGTCTAGGTACTATTCACCGATACGAGAATGCGTAACACAAACAAACAAAGTAAACATGCCTTTCGTTATCTGAATCTCCCTTACAAACTTGTCTGCCAAATCTTGCACTCAACAACAGCTCGACCTGTGACTTGTCTAGGCTTGGATACTTGACTTCAAATGATGCCATTCCACCCTTCAGTCCCTCCCTCTCGAACAGACCGTGCGTTTTGTGAGCAAGCTCGATTCAACTTAACTTATCAACTCAGAGCACGAGAAGAGGTTGCCTCATGCCTGCAACAGCAATCTCATTGACCCCGGCTTCATCAAGCGTGGCCCATCGCAATTTGATGATCTGAGCCAATCACTAACTGCAAATATGTTAGCGTTTACTCAAAAGCCCGCTACAACAGCCACTCAGCGGCCGTTTAGCAGTAGGTACCTGCGTTTTAGTGACCGGGGAATAGCGAGCCCGCATCTTGATGGCCGTGAGCGTAGGCGTGGGGCCACCTTAACAACACAACATGCAGAAGCCGACGCAGAAACAGAAACAGAGAGTCATCAGCAGAAGTACCTTTGAGCCTAGGGAACACGGGCCAAGGCTACCGAACTTGACCAACGGAACGAATTGGAACTTGTCATCCAAGGAAACCCTGCAGAGTCCCTCCCTGCTCGCCTGCCCTGGCCTGGCGTAGACGGGGCTTTCAATGTGATGCGACCCTGGAACTGGGTGTCCTCCATCGCTGAGACTACCCAAAAACCTGCTAGAGGCCTGCTGGGTCGTTATGTTATATTGGCTCTCGCCGCCTCTTTTTCGCGTGCGTGTATGCAAACCAGCTCTTCCTGTATCAACCAGCCCGTTAACGTCACGATCTGACCTGCTTTGGATGTTGCATCTTGCATCAGAATTATTCTCACGAAAACAGCTTTATTATTAATTGTTACCTGCAGCATCTCCGACTTTGTCGCAAATTTCTACATTCTCGATTGAGGAGCTGGACACACCGCGAAATTACAGCTTTGCCGTTCCACCAGCCACCCGCAGCCCCGTCCTAGCAACGACACCGTCAAGTCAACCACCGCACGAACGCTCGCTTGACCAGGGGTCGAGAAAATCCTCTTTCCTTGTTTCTACTCTACATCTTCATCTTTGATTTATCTGTACGAAAATCCGACGAAACCTATACGATTGAACGTCCTCCCGAATTTCCTTTGTCTGTAATCCTGTTGCTCGGCCGACTCCAACCTCGAACTCAACCCTACTCTACTCTCCCCAATTGTGGTTGCTTGTGGATGCACCCTTTGATCAAGGAGCTTCGCATCCGCAATCACGATGGGGTCTACCGAATTTGGAAATTTTCATGTACGCCCTCGATTTTCTGTCCTTCAACAGAGTTCACGTTCTAATTTATGTGCAACAGGACTTTTGCAGAGACTCGACTCTCCCAGTCTGTAATGTATGTCCGACCTTCCTACCTACCTACGCCATACATCGTCATGTGGAGTCGGAAACAATGGGGACCTTACTGATCGTCGATAGCTTCTGTCCCAGAACCACGACCAGAATGGCAATTGGGGAGGCTGCGAGCTCACGGGTATCTCCCTGAGTGGAGGGCGACATCTTGGAAACTTGGGATCAATCCTCCTCGCTGGAGCTGCCATTGTTACCGCCGTCTTTCTCCTATTGCGATCCGAGAAGAAGCGGGCTGCCGTTGGTCGAAGGGAGATGCAAATGTTTCTCATCGGCTACATCATCATCAGTATATGCGAGATCTTTTCAGTAGGAGAGTTTCCACTGAATAGCACCGTGAGAATTGTAAGACCGCGACCCCTCCCCTTTTCTTCTGATTCTCTTTCGCTTCACAGTGTACTGACAAGATCAGGCTTTCTCTGCTATCCATATCGGCATGATCATTGCCACATGTTGGATTCTAATGCTTAACGCCGTTGTTGGCTATCAGATCATCGACGATGGAACGCCACTCTCGATGGCCCTAATTGCCATTTCGGCTCTTCTGTTGCTTATTGGAACTGGCTACATCGCCCTCGACACCGGCTTCTCGTGGACTGGCTACTGGGACGATAGCTACGAGGCCCCCAGGAACCGAAACATCGCCCTCTACGTCCTTTACCAACTTGTCCCTCTAATCCTCCTCGTCGCCTTCCTTGTTCTTGAGGCTATCCTTGTAATTCGAATTCTGGGCGAGACGCGTCCTATGATTTATCTTGCCGCCGCAGCCCTTCTTTTTGCCATCGGTCAGGTCTTCAACTACGCGATCAGCAAGTATATCTGCGACGGCACGAGTGGAAAGATCGATGGCGCCCTTTTCCAGACGCTCTTCACCCTGTTATCTGTTATCATGGTTTGGGTTTTCTGGTCCAGTATTACTGAGGACGACTGGCCCATGCCTGTAACCAACACCTACCCCTGATGCGGCGCATGGGCATTTTGGCGGTATTGTTCTTGGGACGGCGTTCAGTGGCGTATCTTTTTTTTTTCTTTTTTTCGGTTTCGATATCCCTCATTACACTCGGCGGCCGAGCTCACGGTCGAACGACGTACACACGTTGACGAATACGATTTTTTCTGGAGTAAAACGAAGTTGATTTTCATTTGAGTTGTAGGGCCATTTATGCGACGCAACTTGATAGACCGATGGTTGGGTATTTGCATCAAGAAGAGTTATCTGCGACTCATGGTGATATATGAAAGGAGGATCGCGTCGCAGTTTTGCCAATGGGCCTGGATTTAAGAACAGTTGTTGGGTTGTTTGGTTCTACATGCTGTCGTAGAATGACCTGTTACGCGCCAGCTTGTATATAGTATTTATTAGTTTTCGACTTCGAAGTTATACCCTGATGAGCGACTAATGCGTAAGAAATCGAAGTTAAATTAAATTGGATGAACTGTTAACATTATCCCAATATCAGCTATGTGAATAACATGCCATGTCGTGATGTTTTGTTATATTGGAGCAGTTGGTCGCCGCCATACTCCACCGATTAACCAAGCTTCTTCCTGCGACTGCGCGATTGGTTAGGTGATCAACTCTAAAACTTCAAGGTGGATCTTCTTAGGCAAGGCTGCAAACCTCTTTCAGCCTTGTGAACTTGATTCCGTCACCATCATCAACATTTTCTTTGTTCTCCTTCTCAACCGACACCGCTCCCAAAGCAAGCCATCGGCTTGCTTCCGACTCTACAACTCTGTCCTATAAAAAAAACCGCTCTCGGCCTCTTCGTCTCCTGATCAAAGCACGGTCTAAACAACCACGACCATGGCGGACTCTGACGGCGAGTATGTCGCCGACATGTCGGATGATGATCTCATGGATCACCGCGTCACAGATGACGATCCTCAAGCGGCGAAAGGAAAAACTGCCAAATCGAGAAAAGGCGACTCAGCTAGAGCATGGGAAGTCTCGAAACGAACTTGGGAGACGAATCTACCAGAGGAAGAAGACGGAATACTGAGTCTCACAGCGCTTGAGGCTGAGAAGCGGAAGCGATTATTACGCGATACGACGCCCCTACAAAGAGGAATTATTCGGCATATGGTGCTTGTGCTGGATATGTCCTTCGCTATGACCGAGAAGGATCTGCTACCTACAAGGTATCGCCTCATGCTGAGCTACGCGGCTGCCTTTGTGCGAGAGTTCTTTGAACAAAATCCTATTTCGCAACTAGGAATCATTGGTATGCGAGATGGTGTTGCTGTGAGGATTAGCGATGTTGGAGGAAACCCGACAGAACACTTGGAAAAGCTGAAAGGGCTGGAGAACGAAGATCCTCAAGGCAACCCAAGCTTGCAGAACGCTCTGGAGATGTGTCGAGGAGCTCTGTTGTGAGTTTATAACTGCGCCACGATGGAGGAACAGTCAAACTGACTTGCTATAGCCATGCGCCTTCTCACGGCACACGAGAAGTACTCATTATCTATGGCGCATTACTATCGAGCGACCCCGGCGATATCCATGAAACCATTGGCAACCTGATCACGGATCGAATACGTGTCTCGATTGTCGGTCTTTCCGCCCAGGTCGCTATTTGCGCTGATCTGTGTTCACGAACGAATGCCGGTGATGAGTCACAATACAATATCGCGATGGACGAGGTCCATTTCCGCGAACTTTTCCTCGCAGCCACGACACCCCCTGTGACACGCACGGCTGAACAGAGCACAGCCAGTCTTCTCATGATGGGCTTCCCGTCCCGGACACTTGTTCCTAACGGGACTACAAGTTACTGCGCGTGCCATAATCGGCCGTTCCGAGAGGGATATCTCTGCACCCGTTGCGGCGCTCGTGTGTGCCGCATCCCAGCTGAGTGTCCAGCTTGTGACCTCACCCTTATTCTATCGACTCATCTTGCCCGCTCATATCATCATCTCTTCCCGTTACGGAACTGGGTTGAAGTGCCCTGGACTAAAGCCAGCCGCTCTGCAGCCTGCTTTTCATGCTTAGCGCCATTTCCTGAGCCACCAAAGGGCAAAGCACCCGATAAGTCTAGAGAAGACAGTGGCGCACCAAAGACAGCCAAGGGCGTCAGTGAAAGCGGGCGATATGCATGTGAAGTGTGTGGACAACACTTTTGCATCGACTGTGACGTCTTTGCCCATGAGGTTGTCCACAACTGCCCGGGCTGCCAGAGCTTATTATCTAAGACAGATGCCGCTGCCTCATCGGGTGAGCCGAACGGCACAGCTGCATATACCAACGGTGATGTTGTAATGACATAGAGGTTGAGACTGTATGTGTGTAAAACTACGTGTCATTATGTCTAGCTTAAGAGAAAAGGGAGGTTGAAATCCCAGGAGCGAACAAAAGACGAGGCAACATTCATCCATGTCATAAATACTTACTGTGAGTAAGCATCGCAAATAACGACCTCGAAGTGGCGCATTAGGAACTAAAGTTTCTGTCAAGTTTTATTTCATTTCAGTCTAAGTATCCTATGGGCAAATGGCTCGTAGGCACTGGTGTGGTGTATCCCTGTCCAGTATTGCAATTATGACATGCTATCGCAAACTCGTCTCATGCTTCCACGAAATTTTGGTTCTCCTTGAATCCTCCCTATGCAATATGGTTATGTATCTGCATATGTGATGCAATTTTGATTTCCCCTCATTGATATGCCCCATCTCAGAGACATCCCTTTTACAGGTTGCCACGCTCAGCTTGCTCACGCTCAATAGCCTCGAACAAGCTCTTAAAGTTACCAGCGCCGAAGCCGTCGAAGTCGTTGCGCTGAATGATCTCAATGAAGACTGTGGGTCGGTCCATGAGGGGCTTGGTGAATAGTTGAAGCAGGTAACCACCCTCATCGTAGTCGATTAGGATGTTGAGACGCTCAAGAGTCTCAAATTCTTCCTTGAGCTCCCAGTTGCGACGCTCTGTCTTGAGACGGTGGCGCATGTCAGTGTAATACGAAGGGGGAACGTCGATGAACTCGACACCACGAGCGCGTAGGGCTGAGACGGCAGTGATGATATCAGGAGTTAGAAGTGCAATGTGCTGAACGCCAGGTCCAGAGTTGAAGATGACGTACTCCTCAATCTGGGACTTCTTCTTGCCGAGAGCTGGCTCATTGATGGGCATCTTAACAATGTTGTTTGGTGAAGCCATGACAACGGAGCTCAGAGCTGAGAACTCGGTACAGATCTGTGAATCGTCCACAGACCAAAACCGGTGGAAGGAAAGGCACTGCTCGTAGAAAGCGCAGGCCGAGTCCATCTCGTTCCAGGACTGGTTACCGACGCAGTGGTCGATGCGGGCTAGGGGAACATCTGGCAGAGACACAGTGGCACTGTGCTTCTTCCAGGTTCGGTAGCCAGGGAGGAAGGGTCCAGTATAGTTTTGACGGGAGATGAGGGTATGGGTGGTGTCACCATATGTGCAAATGACGGCTGTGGAGACGGAGCCATGCTCCTTGTCCTTGCTAACCTTGGGGTCTTCAACAGCAATAGCACCCTCCTGAACCGCCTTGTGATATACTCCGTCGACATTCTCAACCTCAAAGGCAACATCCTTCACAGCGTCGCCATGGCGTTCGAGATGAGCGTACATCTCCTTGAGAAGCTTTCGGTCCGACTTGGAGATAGGTTCATCGTCTGGGAAATGAGCTTCAGATCGCAAAGGCGAGGTGAAGACGAAGCGGACATCGTTGTTCTCAATGACATACGAGGCAAAGTATCGGCTTCCAGTCTCGAGCCCCTTATATGCGATGGGCTTGAAGCCAAAAAGATTGGTGTAATATGAGGCAGCCTGTTTGGCATTGCCAACCCACCAGGTTATGTGGTCATAGCCGGTGAAGTTAGGGGGCGGCTGAACCGCAAAAGTGTTGTCTGCTCGGTCGAGGGCAGAAGTGATAGGAACAGTAGTAGGCTGAGTTGCCTGCTGAGGAGGGGAGTTGGTGATGGCAGAAGGGGACATTGACACACAGACGGTTTGATGGGTGAGTCTTTGATATCAGAATGGAGTAAACGTTTGTTTGAGGCTTGTGTGTTAGGGTCAAATTGTTTCCGTGTGGTGGCTCCGAGAAGCTAGGTATGCAGGAAGTTCGTAACTGACTTGAGTTGATGGCTATGGATGAGATGGGGGGCTACAGGCGAGTATATGTAAGAAATCCCAATTTGATTGAAGCCCGGCTTAACCATGAAGCAACAAGTTTTGCTTGTTTCTTTGTCATTTCTTACACGGAACGGCTCCGCCTGGAGAAGGCATTATACGGCCCAAGACAGGCCTGCCAGGATAAACGGGAGATAGCTCATACCAGTCATATCCATCGGTAACATCCTCGTTGGCTTTCAGAGTCTCAATGAAACTGGGAACCAATGGGGTTTGCGGCGTAAGAAAGCAAAGCCATGCCCGTCATGGCAGGGTTAAGGGTCACGCGCGGGGCTTCCGCGTCAGACGGCGGTCTGATTGATATCATCAGAGAGCCAAGAGAGCCCAATTGATCGATCTCAAAGGCGGTAGTGCCGAAGGTGGTTGTTGGTGGTTATGAGGTTATCACTGCGGAACTTCCCCGGCCGAGTGTCCCGCTGCGGCGCCAGCCGCCCCAAGCCGACATTGGCCGATTACTTCCAGAAGTCTCAACACGGCTTAACGAGCACTCTATGGCGGCATGCCCTATGATGGACTGCGGAACTGTCAGCAGCAAAGCCGGCCGAAACACCCTTGCGAATGAGAGATGCACGATAATGCAGAGAACTAGTCGCCTGAGTATCGATCATCTCCCGCTAAAGCCGAGACACCTTTCAAGCAGGTCGGCTTATCCAGCATGCCCATACCAGGAATGATATTTAGAACATGAGCCAGCCCTTTTCAGCGTCATCTCTTTCGCTCAGCACGTCACATCAGATCCCGAACGTTCCAGGATTTACACCTCCTGAGGTAGTTTTCTGAGTCTATCGTCCTCGCCGAATATCAGAATCGAAGGTCTCAACAAATTGAATCACTGAGTTATCTTCATCTGCTCAGCCACTGCTCAACAACAGTCGAAATGGCATCTGTATGCTTAAGCAAACACGATATCAATATTCTCGAGAAGATCAAGGATCCGGAGTCAAACCCATATGCCGGTATCGTTCTCGACTCCTCATTACCACGGGACCCAAACATCACAGATGCCACGATATACGAGCGAGTAGTCGAGAGGGAGCGAGATATTATTCGTTCCATCCAGAGCCTTGAAACCCAGTTGAAGAGTCTTGGATCTGAAGAAGGAAAAGATATTGCTGTCAAGGGTTATCAGCAAAGCCTTTCGGCGGTTGAGAGTATGATTGCTGAGCATCCCAACTACGCCAGCGCCAGAAACAACCGTGTGCAGATCCTCAGACGGCTATACGGAGATGCGATGATGCTTTCCGATACCAAAGACAACTCCGCGCCCTTAATTGAGTCACCCGACCAGGCGGAAAGGAAAAAAGCTGTTGTCACAGCACTGAGCGATATCGAAGCATCAATCGCACTCCTCACCCCTTCATCACCAACCATGCCTATTTCCCCTCAGGTTGCACGCACTCTGTCTATGGCTCACACGCAAAGAGCTGCATTATATCTGAAAACAGCCAGACTAATGCTAAGTCGTTCTTTGGATATCGATGGGACCCTTGAAGAATCCAAATGGGAAAAGCTCGACTTTGAGGGTGCTGCATCTCGAGACCTAGCGTTTGGTGGAAGGTACGGAAATCCAATTGCAAAGGGCTTGGCCGTGAGTGTCAACCCAACGGCCAAACTCTGCGGACAAATTGTTCGAGAAGCAATGAAGAAGGAATATGGCCCGTCTTTTGGTGACTAGGTGCATGTATATAATGAGACAGAATATCCAAAAAGGCTTGACATGCCATTAAGATCTTGAAAGTTGGCAAAACCAGTAGTGACTCAGGTGTCGAAGCGAGCCCAGACATAATCACGAAGACTTGGAAGAAAGTCCAACTCGTCTATGCTGGTAGTCAGTTTTTATCTTATTTCAAGCTAGTAATTTGCGGGATTACCGTCGCGCAGCTTCAAGAGTCTGTTGAGTTGTTCGACCTTTGTCCTTTTCTTCGCGGTTGATTCTGGTTGCTGCGGCTGACAGGCCAATCAAGACACCAAAAATTGGATCCGCAGCGCGGGAGATGATATATGTTGGTGCAGGCATCGTGATATTCCTATCTTATCAAGTATATGAACAATGATGAGGTGAGGTGGCTCAATGGAGGAGCTTTGCCTAACACCCATCCCAACAATTGGAGCCGCCAACCAAGCTTAGGTAATACAGAATGAGTGCCTTGAAAAGTTCAGGGCAGGTCCTCATGCACGGACCCCTCAGCACACAGGACGCTCCGAAAAATGGAAGGCACCTTGTCATGTGACTAGCTGGGTCTCGCTTGCACACCAGCCCACACAAAATATTTTGGTGCGTAATTTGAACTTGTCTTGACAACTCCTCGCAACTTCACTAACCAGCAGACAACACACCGCCGGACAAGATGAAGTTCCTCAAGGTCGGCCGAGTCGCCATCATCACCCGCGGCAGATACGCCGGAAAGAAGGTACGACGCGCTCGACAGATTTCATACTGCTGTTCCATGGTATTACTCGAGTTCTGCAGCATCCGAGCAAGATAGCGTTGAGGGAAGGGATTGAAACGAAGAGGTCATTGGTGTTTTATATGACAAGACACGGAGCGCAGAACTCGCAGGAATGCTATGATGGGAAACGATTCTTACCATCGTTTTCTTCAAGGAAACATTTCGCTGACTCGATATGCTTCAAATAGGTTGTCATCATCCAGCCCGTTGACAACGGCAACAAGCCTCACCCTTTCGGCCACGCCCTGGTTGCCGGCATTGAGCGATACCCCTCCAAGATCACCCGCCGCATGTCCAAGACCCGCCAGGAGAAGCGAAACAAGATCAAGCCTTTCATCAAGGTCATCAACTACAACCACTTGATGCCCACTCGCTACACCCTGGAGCTCGAGGGCCTCAAGGGCGCCGTCTCTAACGACACCTTCAAGGAGGTTTCCCAGCGCGAGGATGCCAAGAAGACTGTCAAGAAGGTGCTCGAGGAGCGATACACCAGCGGCAAGAACCGATGGTTCTTCACCCCTCTCAGTATGTTATACCATCGCTGCGCCATACCACCCGAGCAGAGCTGCATCAAAACCCGCCTAGTGCTCTTGACATGCATTTGAATTAGAAGCGTTGCTAACCACCCACCACAGAGTTTTAAAAAAGGAATCGTTTCTCCATCACGGTTAGGGAGTTGGCGGGATGTACAGAGCATCGATGGCATTAAGGAACGCCGGTTTTTATGGGCTCAATATGAAGTTTCTTAAATCACAACCAGATCTCTACTTGCCGCGTGATTGTAGCGTCAATATACAACGCGGATCGGACGGACGTGTTGTCCCGACCGAAGGATACCACTGGCGGAGTTCAATGAATTGGTGCCATCAATGAGGTGTTGAATAGACCTTGAGGACTTTTCTTGACGGTTGAATGTCTACGAGGTTTACGAAATCCATAACATGAATCAAAATTTACCGTCAAAACGTACATTACGCGCAAACAAAACCTGGTGAAACGAAAGAGAGGGAAAATAGATCAATGAACTTTTGTTATGGTAGGTTTTTCTTAACCGTTTCGTTTCTACATGTCTATGGCCAAACGCCGTCTAGAGTTACACATCAATTAGACCTTTCGTGATGCGGTTCATACATGGACCGCTACCTCGCGCTCTGCGCCCAGCTCTATGGCTTTACACTTCATAAGACCTCCCTTCCCCAATCAAACAGAATATATCAAAAAGTCTCCAATCCACAGAAAAGTGCGCCAAGTCAATCCGACTGTGGACACATTCAGACCAAGTTCAACAACTTGGTTGGGCGTAATACATAAGGAAATAACGGATATAGAAAAGAGGTTCCTTAGATCGCCGTTCGCCCCGTGAAGTAAACGTCAGGGTCTTGTTTCCCATTGGCACCATATAATACAGAGCTCTAGACGTGCTGGGCATCGTTGATGCCAAAACGGTTGGACACCTCATTGGCCAGTCTAGTGGGATCAACCTCTGAGGAGTAACCAGGAGCAAGGCCACCAAAGAAGGTGAAGATTAGGAAAGCGGTGGCGATGATAATGGTGACCTTGCGGAGAATGGGCTTGCGAGCACCAAACTCAGCCCACTGTCGGTTGGCATCAGCAATGTGGCCCTTGATCTGCTCGTAGCCGAGCTTATAGTAGACCATGCCACCAAGAGCAATGGAGTAGCCAAAGAATTGGAGACCAGTAACCTGGGTGCCCCAGATCATCATAGAAGCAATGACCAGAAGAATATCCTTGAGAACACCGCAGAGCGTGAGGACGACAGCAGAAGTCTTGCCAATCTGAGAGTCAAGTTAGTATGAAGTTGCGTGGGAATTGCCAAGGGAAACATACCAGGAAGACGACGGAGACATTGAGCATAAAAGCGCAGAGACCGTTCAGGAAGAAAGTGAACAGACCAACGTGGTAAACCTCAGCCATCGAGCACCTGGGGATCTCCCAAATAAGAGCAACCACACCGTTCATGACAGCGCAAATGGGAGCAAAATAGTACAGAGAGACGAGAGGGTCCATCTTGTAGTCAGCTGAGCTCAGCAGGCGCTGGACCATGGTAAGTCGCAGAGCCTCGAAAATGATACCGCCCATCTGGAAGAGCACACCGACAGTGACGAAGTGGATTTCACCCATGGAAGCAATGATGACACCGACAACAATGGCGGAGACATTGAGGAACTGCTTGAGGTTGGGAGCAGAAACACCCAGAATCCAGCCAGAGATGAGAACGGCGACGGGTGTGGTAGCCTTGAGCATCTGAATGAAAGCAACAGAAAGGTAGAGATATGTCAAATTTCCGCAGATCAAACTCAAGCTGAAGAAGATACCGATGGGAACAACGGCACGGATGTAAACGCGAGCTGTCATCTTAACCGTCTTGCGGCCGTCAAGGTAAGGAGTCCATCGGGCCATAATCTGAGTGACGACAGTCGAGAAGGTCAAGTGGTAGGTCGTTAGAATGACGGGGTAGCCTGGGAGTTAACTTGTCAGCAAAGAAGCAGATACATCCCAATAATGTCGACAACGTACGGAAGTTGAGGGTATCAAGGAGCCATTTGTTGAACAGGATGACGGATGATGAAAAACCAATCCATGCACTGCACGCACGATGTGGTTAGCAAAGGTTCTGGCGCATCGTAAAGTCAATTTCGTGGGATAGTCGAGAAAACTACTGACATAACATAGAAAGTAGGGTGAATTGAAGCGCGAGCAGACTGTGACTTCTCGAGACCGGGGTTAACCGTTGGAAGAACAGGAGTGGTCGCACGAGGCGTCTCGCCCGAGACGCGGATCTTTTCGTCAGCCGACATTATGATTAATTTGGTTGTTGGTGATGTAAAGGATGCGATTGAAGATGGTTGAGGCTGTCGGCGAGAAAAGTCGTGGTTGTAGATAAGAGACCCCTTGAAGACAGATTTTAGGGGGGACGCGCAAACGAGCGGACGGACAGCCGAGTCCTGTAATGGAATAGAATCGGAAAAGGCGAGGGGTGCTTGATATGCAATTTGGCGGGGCCTAGGAGAGACAAAGTCTCAAAGAAGAGAAAAAAGGCGAAAAAAGGTTGAGCTCCTTGGACTTTGGTTCAAGGTGGCTTGGTTTCGCAAGGGATAAGGTAAAGAGAAAGACTGAAGAAACAAGGCAGCAAGACAAGAAGTCGTCTCTGGTACAAGAAGAAGAAAGAGGGAGGAAATGAAAAAAGGAATGAGAGGGATGGCTTGGGATGAAGAAGGGTACTTCAGTTGGTAAAAGGGGAATAGGCAATGTTGACTAGATCTCCAAATCTCATCCAGGGGGTGTGGTGTGGGCTATTATTGTTATTTTGGTTGGAGGCAAGGCAAGCTAGGAATCAGTCAAGGGTGAGGCGCGGCAATCAGAAAAATGTTATGGAAGGGTTTTCCCCTCTGAAATTAGCATTTTGATGCATACTAGTGGAGGAGCCACAAAGCTCAGCACGGGTGGCCGACCCTGCAGTGACTGACTGACTAGCACTAAGCCCTCAGCCAGTTGAACACGAACAAAGTGGATGACGGAATGAGACAATTCTCATGCTCAGGTACTGGTACCCCCAGCCGTGTGGCACCCGAAGCCTGCAAAAGCTGATTTGACGCGTGTACAGGGGCAACTGCTGTAGGGATGCAAGGTACTGTGTACAGATACTGTAACTGCAACAGGAACTGGCTGATGTTGTTCTATTCAGGGGCGTCCGCTAGTTACGGCCGAGCCAAGCCTGGCGAATCATCCCGCCCACGTTGGAAGATCGCCCTCCAATTGTCGTTGCCAGATAAGCTGAGGGATCTTTTTGCACTGTGCGCTTACTGCATTTCGATGTGAATCTGTACTTTGCGATGATGGTGAAAGTTCAAGGGAGGAATGTTTGTGGCTGAATGGCTCAATTTAAGATACTATTGGATGTAGGTACCTATCAACCAGCGACAGAAGGAACAAATGCATGCTAGAATAGTTAAGCCATTCAATCAGCACTGTTCCTTTAATAGCTGTCAGTTTCCAGAAGAGAATACCTATCTTCGAGAACTTGCTGTCGACTTGGTATCTAACCTCAGGTGTCTCCACTGTCAACTGTCAACGATGGAGACCTTCACACCCTGCCCCCCGTTGGGCGAACCTCCAACTGCCGGAACCATCTCGAATTTGGACGTTTTCGTCTAAATACAATCAGGAAAGATCTAGATCCTGTCTAGTAAAGGAAACAAACCCAAGAACAAGTAAAGTGTGGTTCGCATAATACTCATTATGAGTTCCATAAAGTTCACAAGCTATTCTCTTGAGGCAATCAATTCGGTCTATCGATTCCTCGGGCTGCGAAGCTTCATTCTTGCATTCCCATGGCATTGACGTTCTGGCCCTCACTTACGCGGTCTATATTCGTATAATACTCCTCAACCAGAAACATGCGTCACTCTAATCTCGTCTCGGTTTGCACCTTGGCCATGAGCGGCAGGGATTCAACACACGACATTCTTTCTTCCTTCAGCGGCACGGAATGATTGAGCTTATAACCTAGGTAAGTTATAACTACATACAGCCAGAACAGCTTCGGCAACCCACCTTGAATTATGGTCTTCGGTATGCTCCTTCAACTTCCTTTGGACCTACAGCTGCTGGTTAAACAGACTGTGTGGCGCGTTAAAATCCTACTCTTCACTTAAGAAAGCTTACCGTGGCCTGAAGTAACCATCATAGTTTGCTTTGTCATGTCTCCAACAAGTTAATCGGTAGATCCAGCTTGGCATAAAAACGTAACCAGAATCTCAGCACCAGTTCATCCACATATCTGCAGATCCAGGCGAGACGGCTCAGAGGTCCATCATCTTGGGCCGTTTCTTCAAGGCCCAGTTTGCCGAACTTGGCTTTCAGTTAAGCATTGTTAGGGGGCCAAGGACCCATTTTGATCGTGTCAGAAAGCCACAGTATTATGTAGAGAACATACGGAGACAGATACAGTGAGATATCAAACCGAGCTGAGGAAATGTACCAATCCTTGGAAACCCAGAAGGGGTCCCTGTAACCATGTTGAGCCACGACTCGCCGTGCATTGTTTAAATGCTGGCTCATGGTGGATACCAACTCTAGAGTTCCCATTTACTAAGGACATTAAGTTCATCCTCAAGAAAACAAACAATGGCATGAGGCATTTTACATGGTGTCCCTTGGTAACAAAATACGTCGTGCGGAGAGGAGAGATCTGTTACCGTTGTGAGTAACATCCATGCCACAGCGAGCCAAGACCAGGCTGAAGAGGGCGGGAGCTCACCCGCGAGGCGAGCCTTGCGTTGCAAGCCTCGCACGGTTGGCTCTTGATAAACATAGTAGCGCCAAAACGATCCTGATGGCTGGTTGATCTGCTTCCTGTTTCAGAGTCCATACAATGCTGTCAGAGGTTATCAAACAGCCGTACCTGGTGGAGACACTTCACAAACCGCCAGTTGATCCTTTGCTATATCTGGGCCCAGTGACGTTTCTTAACCGAAGGTTACGAAGCCTTCTGCGCGGCCTTCCAGCCCTTCATCTCGTTGCTCCAGCATGTCGACCATAGTAGTTTCAAGGTCGGTTTACATGAGCCGATATTGTGGAAACAATAGTCGCGATCATCGCTCGACCAACGGAGGTAAGGGCCAAAGAAAGAAGGGAGAGGCGAAAGCTTGTTACATGCATGTAACAACTAGTGTGAACCAACTATAGGCATAATTCTTCTTAAACGGTTGACCGCTTCGTGCTAGTAACATTGTTTTGCTACAGACTCCATCTAAGAGATTCGAACAGAGAAATTGCTTGGACAATCATTGGACATCCCGTATCTTATCATGATAAAGCTGAATTCATGCTGCAATGTACAGGTACATCGCGACTTTAGAATCCCCCACTCACCCGTCTTGCAAACTACCCCTGACATTACATATTTTCATGTGTGCTTCTCAGGCTGACCGTCAGCAACAGCCAGTGACATTTTCCTGGCAGTTGTTTGCAAGAAATTGCGAAGAACTCGGATTGCACGAAATACGTGTTATTCTGGAACACGAGCTTGTTTGCCACGTCTAACGAGCTTCAGCCCAGATCTCAGACAAGAATGATACACATACATACAGTTACTCCAACCCGGATATAAGCATCGAGTTGTGGCTTCGTTTTTAATTTGGTGATGGTCAGAAGAGAAATTGAGATCAAGTCTTGAGCGTGCTTTGGATTGGCCAGTGGCATAGAGTGACTAGGAGTGTGCTCAATTGTCCAGTCAAAGACGCTCTTGACGGTGATTATCTTATCTACCATGGAGCCTTGAATTACATCTCATCTTAGGAAATTACAGCAAAAGACTCTGTGGACCTGCTTTGTACAGTACCAACAGACTATCGAATTCATCGCGTGGGATCTTTGACCAATAAGCATGCCATTGGCCATCATTTTCCGAAGTTCTAACAAACCGCAGCAATAAAGTTGGCAATGCGTTGATTATTCTGGGAACGCAGGTTTCAAATATATCAAACCAAGGTATCGGATTAATGCAAGATCAGCCTCATGGTACTCGGAGCGCTCCTCTGATATTGGAGTTGACGGAATCTTGGCGGAGTCGAGACAACGGGAGCCACCCTGACAGTTGCTAAGAAAAGAGGCTAATTGTCCCCATTCATGGCACAGTGTCCGTTACACATAGGTCGAATAGCGTATCGATTAAGATTTCATGCAATATCAATATTGCGACTACTGTAGCCAGTTGTCATATTCGTATTCTACTGTCGAAGGCGATCTTGGCAACTGTCCAGGGCGGGCTGGTCGTCGAAGGACCCTTATAGACAGTGGAGGCTATCTTTCAGTTCCTCGCTTGGGCGACAAGGTTGATCTGTCAATGTGCCTGGCAGTGAGATTGCCTTTCACAACAGATCATCTCTAATCTAGGTAGCTACACTACAAAGTAACCGCTGCAAAACTGACATTTTTATGCAGGTCCGGTGTAAGCACATCCATGGCCCAAGCTGGATTGAAAATAATCTCCTTTACTGAGAGTCCCTGTCTTTATCATGACTCTGACCCTGATTGTGCTACCAACAACCAGAGAAATATATCACATAGATCATCCAATCCCATGTTAGAACCAGGCCACCCACGCCCACCATCTATCAGGGGCCCGTGGGTGGGGCCCCAACTAAGGGAGGCTAGGAGGGTCGAGGGGACCCAAAATAATTTTAGCCCCGCCATCTATCCGTTACCGTCTCCTTTTCTGCCAGACTCCTGAAGCCACCTCACTTTCTGCAATCGCGGTCAATATCTACAGCAACCACGAGACTTTGATCTTCTCGCTGTCTTCTTGTTGTTCTGTACAACTTCTTCTCCCCCCCGTCGCTCCATTGTTGTCGGCGTCTGCATATTTCTGTGCCTTTTGCGGTTCTTCTATCCATCCTCTTCAGCTTCATCTAATACCCCCACCATGGCCGACGTGTGAGTTGCTTAACGCCTCTGTATACTAGAAAGCACTGTTTGTTCAGGCAAAAAGAAGTCTTGCTGACATTTATCATCTTCGCAGTAACGTTGATGTCCTCGTCATTGGCATGGGACCTACTGGTCTCGGTGCTGCCAAGCGTCTCAACCACATTGTATGCGCTCACCGCCACCTTCACCTTGAGGCCGAGAATTGCAGCTGACGATGTTAACAGAACGGTCCTTCATGGCTGATTGTCGATTCCTCTGACAAGGCTGGTGGTCTTGCTGGCACTGACACCACCCCCGAGGGTTTCGTAAGTCGTCGTCTTCCAATCTCGACAAATATATACCTAACCATGCAATTGTTCTAGCTGTACGACGTCGGTGGCCACGTTATCTTCTCCCACTACAAGTACTTCGACGACTGCATCGACGAGGCCCTCCCCAAGGACGATGACTGGTACACTCACCAGCGAATCTCCTACGTTCGCTACAAGGGCCTTTGGGTTCCTTACCCCTTCCAGAACAACATTTCCATGCTTCCCAAGGAGGACCAGGTCAGCTGTATCGAGGGCATCATCGATTCTGCTCTTGAGTGCCGTGTCGCCAACACCAAGCCTAAGGACTTCGATGAGTGGATTGTCCGTATGATGGGTGAGGGTATTGCCAACATTTTCATGCGACCTTACAACTACAAGGTCTGGGCCGTCCCTACCACCAAGGTACGACCACAGTTTCGGTATAATACGGTGAAGGTGGTGTACTAATAGTCCAACAGATGCAATGCCAGTGGCTCGGTGAGCGTGTCGCTGCCCCCGATGCTAAGCTCGTTACCAAAAACGTTATCCTCAACAAGGTCGCTGGTAACTGGGGCCCCAACGCTACTTTCCGATTCCCTGCCCGTGATGGCACCGGTGGTATCTGGATTGCCGTCGCTGAGACCATTCCCAAGGAGAAGAAGCGATTCGGCAAGCAGGGTGAGGTCACCAAGATTGACGCCGAGAAGAAGATTGCCTACTTCGCCGATGGCAGCACCATCGGTTATAACAAGCTCATCAACACCATGGCCGTCGACCACCTCGCCGAGAAGCTCGGCAACCAGGAGCTTGTCAGCCTCACCAAGCAGCTTTACTACTCCACTACCCACGTTATTGGTGTCGGTATCCGAGGTGAGCGCCCTGAGCGCATCGGTGACAAGTGCTGGTTGTATTTCCCCGAGGATAACTGTCCCTTCTACCGTGCCACTATCTTCTCCAACTACTCCCCCTACAACCAGCCTCAGAAAGATACCAAGCTCCCCACCCTTTACCTTGCCAATGGTGAGAAACCTGCGTCTTCCGAGGCTAAGGAGGGACCTTACTGGTCTATCATGCTGGAGGTTTCCCAGTCTACCATGAAGCCTGTCGATGTCGAGAACCTCCTCAAGGATAGCATCCAGGGTCTCATCAACACCGAGATGATCAAGCCCGAGGACGAGATTGTCTCTACTTACCACCGTGCTTTCGACCATGGTTACCCCACCCCCACCCTTGAGCGCGAGGGCGTCCTCAAGCAGGTCCTCCCCAAGCTCGAGGCTATGGACATTCTCTCCCGTGGTCGATTCGGCAGCTGGCGATACGAGGTCGGTAACCAGGACCACTCCTTCATGCTTGGTGTTGAGGCCGTCGATGCCATCCACAGCGGTGCCGTCGAGCTGACCCTCAACTACCCTGACTTTGTCAACTCCCGCCAGAACACTGAGCGACGCCTCACTCAGAACTTCATTGTGGCTCCTCCTCAGACCAACGGCACCAAGGATATTCCAAGCCACTCCAAGGCCCAGTAAATTCACAGCCAATGGAATGGAGTTGGAAATGGAGTTGAAGGTATAGCGTGAGCAATTTATGATTGGGCACGTTGTTTGATATCTCAAGAGACATGTGTACAAGAAAACTTTGTGGAGAGCGAGTTAGCGCCTCGAGAAACGATGAGTCCGAATTTAGGATTGATGACGAGACATAGGCCGCTGCTGGTGAAGATTCCCAGTTAGCTGGACGGATGGATATAGGATTCCGCTTGACAAGGCGGGGCATGATATAGATAGATCTGGGATTTTTGCTCTAGGGTTAGACAAATGAACGGATTATCCTACACAGATACATAATAGTATACAACATACAATAGAACTTAGAGCATGTTCATGTTTCCATCGTTGGAGCCATTCTAGCGTTTCTGGGGCGTTTATATCGTTTCGTGGATGAATTTTGGTGTTTTAGCTCTTCTTCATCAGAACTGTTGTCTCACAGTGATTGGTTCCTGGATGCTTGATGTTTCAGTGATATATATTCCCCTGCCACTTACATCATGGTCTACGTACGTGGTGCAATTTAGGGGTAGATGTGAGAATGTAATTGAGATGTCTCATTTTTGTTGCCCACGATGATGAAATTATACGGAAGAAAAGCCTATTGCTTTCAGCTTCACATCCCTTGAAGGGAATGCGTGCCCAAAGCTACCCTACCAACAGATCAGTTCAATAAACAAGCGCTTGCTTGGTTGTGCTGCCCCATAAACGGCGCCACAAGGGTCCATTGCGCATGAGCCGAAATTTGTGAAGCCCACACAACTTCTTGACTTTAACAATGAGATTCTGATACAGCAGGCCATAAGTGAAGTTGTGGATGCGCCATAACAGAACATTGAAAATTCCCCTTGACAGCACGAGACTGGAGAAAATTTTCTAGTTCGTTGTAAACTTTGGCCAAAACAGAAGGGATGGGCAAAAAGAGGCACCCGGAGATAACATATTCTTAGCTTGAGTTGTTATGGCTGCCCAAAGCAGGAATAGTGGCGCTAGAAATGCTGTAGAGTTTCGGCTGAAACAAGTCAATGGGATCATGGTTACTGAGACGGTGAGGGTAAGTGAGATGAGGTTCACGAGGACAGTGGTAAGAGAGTACAGTTGTTTCTGCATGATGTTTTGAAACGGGGTCAAGTCAGCACACTCAGGCAAGACTGCTGGATGATGCATGGAAGCTGAATATGCAGGGTGAGAGGAGATATGTATGACTACCCTGAATTGAATCACAACGTGTTCTGCTTGACACTTGATGCGTCCACTTTCTTCAGCCAGAGGCAGGGTCATTACCACCAATACCAATCACCATGGGTACGAGGCCCAACTGTCAAACCGGATGATATCCTTGCTGTTCCGTCATCCACCACTAATTCAAGACGGGACCAGCTCGTGAACAAGACTTGGACCCTGTATCTTTTGGCGCACACACACAAAAACATGGGTAATTCTCACCAATTAGACCTGGACTACTCGATGGAGAATATGGTTGACTCGCCAAGATATGTCCAGTTCAAGTATCGATCAAATAAAGACTGTCTCTGCTTGGGCTGGAAAATAACTGAGTTGCAAACCCAAGGGCTCTGCTAATCTAAACAAATAACCCAGCACCCCTACGTAGGTACGGTAATACGGAGTACGTAGTTGTCTCTCACTTGGGGGAAAGCCTGGGGAGGGGCGGGAATCCACCTCAACCTTGAAAGTCCACTCAACCCAAATCTAAACCAACTTGAACCTAATCCAACTCCAGCCCACCCTGTCTGTGTTCTGTGCTCGGCGGTCACGGTATGGTACAGTAACCACCACACACTAACACAAGTTGTCCTGCATTTGACTTCACCATTTCTTCACCCAAGTGTTGCAGGATCAACGGACTCTTCCTCCTTACCCCAGACTCCCTACCACGACCTCGCCCACTCCGATCTGTCGTATGCCTTTTAATAGCGAGCCTCCACCGTCATAGACATCATATCACTTTCGACAGTCTTGAAATTACCCACACACTGTCCCGGAAGAGTTCCACCAAACACTCGGCCTACCAAACGTAGATCCTACATACAATATCCCATATCCTTCCTGTCGTTGCTTTATTTATGCACGCCGAATCTTGCCGCGCCCGACTCTCTTTCCCATTTGTCATCCTCCGACACTGAATTCACAGTCATTGCTCTGCGCCATCAACGTTGAAACCGCGGCCGATATATCTCCGATGATGGGCGCTCCATTTGCATGTGCCTAAGACTTTAATTGAACTGAATACTGACGATCGCTTCTCGTGGTCTTTCTGACCTGCTACCGACACCGATTGTGATATCCACGAGGCGCGCCGTCGTTCGCGCTCCATCATGGACGGTGCTTCTCTCGTTACCGACGACCTTCTTGATCCCCCGCCTCGAATATACGAGCGACTTCGTCAGCTAGCTGGTTATACATGGGATGAAAGCCAGCTACCTTTCCATTCTTCATACGACTTCTGGTAAATTCTCCGCTATACTCTGCGAACCTTCATCATCAGCCCTCGCACTATAGCTGGTTTCCACCATGTTCATCTCATTCTCTGACCACTTCTAGGCATGTAATCGGCACGCGGTGGGTGTCATCGGTACCTTCGCCTTCGAGCTCTCACAATGCCTCAAGCCCAGGATCCGCCCTGAGGCTACATTCCGGCCGCCCATCGCCGTCAGAACCCTACGCCCAAATATCGAATATCGACGGGTACGATACTCAAGCAATAACACCCCCAGCCTCATCGTCCTCCAATATACCAAGCGATGCCGCGTATATCGAAGAACCAGTCGTTGCTCGGTTATCATATCACGCCCTGCGAGAGGAGCGGGCTTTTCACATAGCTAAAAGCTTAATTGCCACTTCAGATCCGACAGGGGAGCACATTGTTAAACCTATCGATTTGATCAGGCTACAACCCCTTCCTGGCGATCGGGCACAGGTTGTTGTTTCTATATACCAGCATCCTGGACCCAATTATCTACTCGAAGTGCTGGACATGGGACCGGCTTTTTACAGAGCTCGCATACAAGGAGAGACATTCACCTCATTACGGAAGAACGAACCCGAACTGCACCCGCCAATTTCTCTACAATATTTTCTAGATTTTGCTATAGGTGCGACCCAATGTCTGGAGCTTCTTCACCACAACCTTGGCATGATCCATGGCGAAATTCGAGGCGATGCGTTTCACTTCAATATCGAAACTGGGCGGGTCAAAGTTATGTCTTTTGGGTCTGGGATTCGCTCGTTCGAACACGGCCTGACGAGCACGGGATGGTCAACGCTTTCCAAAGAACTCGGAGCACAGAACAAGCTCTTGTATATAAGCCCTGAACAGACAGGACGAATGCCTGCTGAGCCAGATAGTCGGACTGACATTTACTCTTTGGGCGTTTTATTCTGGACCCTGCTGACTCAGAGACCAGTTTTCGAAGGCGATAGCCCCCTCGACATCGTACAGGGTGTTCTTGGTCGGAGGATACCGAACGTCTCTACAGTGAGGCTTGATATTCCTGATGTGGTTGGAAGGATCATACAAAGATGCACGGCTAGGAATGTCCAAGACCGTTATCACTCGGCGAGCGGGCTTCGCCATGATTTGGTCAAGGTCCAAGAGTTTCTCGGTGATGGAGATTGGTTGGCACTTAAGGAGTGGAGGATTGGAACCAAAGACGTATCATCATTCTTCATGCTTCCAGCAATCATGATTGGCCGCCAGCATGAGCAAGCAGAATTAAACAAGGTCATTGATCGCGTCGCAAAAAGCCATGCCATGAACTTGAAGGGAAACACGAACCGGTTCTCTGACGGTTCAACCTTGTCAAACGATATGGCCGCTTTTGACGACATTTCTAGCGAGGGAGCGAGCTCTGTGGATGGCACGAACTATCGCAGCGGTTCTTTTACCCACACTGCTTCTTCTGACCCTAAGCTACCAAAGACCAACTTCAACCCCTTATTTTCGGATACCCAGACGGTGTCTGGCGATACAATTTCATCTTCACCATCAGGGACCCTTCCGAGAATTGCCAGGCCATGGGAAAGACACCAGTCAATTTCAATTGAGACACGCAGTCTTGTCGATAGCTCAGGACCCGATTCCCAAAATCGCCACAGCGTCGTAGAGTCGACAGCATCCAGCCTGTCAAGACAGCTGGGCTCGGCCAAGTTTAGACGGCGCGACCATTGTGAGGTTGTCACAATCGAGGGTGCAGGAGGTCTTGGAAAGAGCTGTCTTGTTCAAAGCGTTCTGGCGGATGCCAGGCGGCGGGGCTACTGTGCCACTGCGAAATTTGACACCGCAAGGAGAACAGCATTTGGACCTCTGCTTAAGCTGCTTTCGTCCCTGTTCAAGCAAGTCTGGGGTGAGAGGAACACGGAGACCCCTTTTCATCAGGGCCTTAAGCAGTTCGTTCGCCCCGTCTGGCCAATGCTGCACCGTCTCTTGGGCCTCCCGGAGTTTCTTCTCGGCCCCCCAGAAGCATCAATTGGCCGTTCGATCTCATCGTCTCTACAATTCGCCTCCATCAGAGGAAATGGAAAGTCTGGGTTAAAACGACGGGGGTCATCTCCTGGAAGTTCACCGAAGCCAGTTGCCAGGAACCCCAGCGTTGCTTCACAATCATCTTCAGACTTTCTTCGTACGGGTACATCCACCAAGACAATGCGGTTGATGAACATATTCCTAGATGTACTTCGCGTGTTCACTGCACACAAGTTCATCTGCTTCTGCTTGGATGATCTTCACTTTGCCGACGATGAATCAATGGAGCTCATATCCCAAATCATCGCTTCGAGGATGAAAATGGTCATCATCATGACCTACCGAACGGAAGAAATCACATGGGATAAAATCCAAAGCATGATTTATCTCCCTGAAGGCGAAGGTATGTACTAATAGATGCTCTAGTCCTATGAATGACGACTAATTGCTACCAGCAGAGTATCCTCGTTCGGGCGGTCCTTTGGTCACGCGTATAACATTGTCACCCCTGACCGAAGACGATATAGTTCAATACGTCTCGACAACACTTTGCCGACCAAAGGAAGAAGTTTTGCCTCTCGCTTTGGTGTTGCAATCCAAGACGGCTGGCAATCCATTCTACATGCGAGAGATGCTGAGTGCTTGCCACCGGAAGAAGTGTATCTGGTACGATTACAGAGACAGCCAGTGGCACTATGACCTTGACAGGCTTTTTGAGCAATTCCAAGGGGAAAAGGATTACGACATACTTGATACAGGCTTCATAACACACCGACTGTCAGAGCTCCCTGCAGCAGCACGGACTCTTCTCGCTTGGGCTGCCCTTATCGGCAACTCATTCTCTTTTGAACTCATCTGTCATTTGATGGGGGGTGAGTTTGATTACCATGAGGATGATAAGGGGTCATGTTGTGCGACGTTTACACACAAAACCTATTCGCAAGGAGAGGCAATTGCTGGTCTTCAAGCAGCCATACAGGCCTACATCATTGTACCTAGTGAGACCGATGATCGATTTCGATTTGCCCATGACCGATACATTCATGCTTCGGCAGACCTGCAAGAATGCAATTCTCGGAAGATGCATTTCATTATTGCCCAGACACTTCAAAAATACTATGGCGGCGAAAACCAACAGCTGGACAACACAGCCTCGCATATTTGTGCAGCGGTTGACATCATCAAGAGACGAATTTCAAATCGTTACCAATATCGCAAACTGTTGACGAGCTGCGCCCAAGCCGCCGCAGAGAGCGGTGCGAAGCCCACAGCCGCAAAATATTACAATACTGCTCTTACTCTCCTCCAGGACGATCCCTGGACAGACGGCAAAGAAGATGTATCTTACGATGAAACAATGCAGCTCTACCTCAGAGCAGCAGAGTGTTATCTTTACATGGGTCAGTATACCGCGGCGAACGAGATTCTCAACACTATTTTCAAGAATGGGAAATCACCATTTGACAAAGCACCAGCATACGTCTTACAGTCAAGAATATACGCCCAGAGTGGTGATTCCGCTTCTGCTCTAGTTTCACTCAAAGACTGCCTGGTCGGCCTTGGGGTCACTGTCGATGATGAGCCAAGCTTCCAAAAGTGCGACGAGAAGTTCGAGCGCCTGTCAATCCAAATTCAAACGATGGGACGTGGCGAACTTCTCAACTATAAGCAAGCAGAGGATCCTAGCGTCGCACCTGTCGGAGCCGTGCTGGCCGAAACCATTAGCGCTGCTTGGTGGAGCGACGGCTTACGGTACTATCATCTCACTCTCATGATGGTCGAGATGCACCTCGAAAGGGGCGCGTATCCACAGTCTGGAATGGCATTCCTCTATCTCGCGATGATCGCATTGTCCCGGTTCAATATGACACAATTTGCGGTGGAGCTAGGCAATACATCCCAAGAGCTGCTGTACCAATCTCGAGACCCTTTCTTTCTCGCCCGTGGTTTGATGCTCTACTCAATGTGTATCGGACATGTTCACATGACGATGCCCATGATTATGGCTCAGATGGAGGATGCCGTAGAGTATGCATCAGTCGCTGGTGACAGGATATCAACCATCATGAGCTACGGCGTGTCCTCGGTTTTCAAGTTTTTCAGCGGAGAAACCTGTTCAGACCTCGAAGGCTTCTGTCAATATGGCTGCGAGGAAATTCCTAACTGGTATGCTGATTCTAGAGGAGGTTCAATACTCATTGCCGTCAGACAGCTCTGCCGGGCTCTTCAGGGCAAGACTCGCACTAGCAACGCCTTGGAAGTCATGAACGACGAGACACATAACGCGGAGAACTACAAGAAATGGCTGATCAGCTGTAGCCGTAAGAGCAACCGCTCTGTCACCTTCTATGAGAGCTTCGAGGTCATACCCCTATTCCTTTACGGACATTATGAGCGTGCCGTGGAAATTGGAAGTCACGCCGTTGATCAGCTTAGTATGCTATGGTCAGCGCACAACAGTAGGTTGATACTGTTGTTCCACGGCCTCGCTCGTGCTGGATACCTGCTACAAAAGCTTCAACTTCCCTGCTCTCCAACTGAAGACTTCTCCTCGCAGGCCGAAGAGGTCATAAAGGAACTGCGCCGCTATGTGAAGATGATGGACGAGTGGTGCACTGTTTCTGACATTAATTACCTAAGTTGGATAAAGTTTCTGCAAGCACAGATTGAGGAATTATCCCTGAACCATGGAAATGCCATTCAGCACTATGAGCAAGCATTGGATCATGCAGCTGAGCATAATTCCGTTTTTGATGAAGCTCTTGGCAATTATCTTATGGCTGGTATGTTCATCCGACGAAGTGCGCGTCGATCAGCTCGAGCAGCGCTTCTTGAAGCAGTTGGCTTATTCCGGCAGATGGGGGCTCTCGGTGTTTCAAAAGCCATCGAGGAGGAACACAACCTGTTACTACATGGTCCTACAAGAAACTACCGTACTTGCGATACCGGTGTTCAAACCGACTTTGTCGCTGATGCCACCTCAGTTCAATACAGGACTGGAGAGGCAGAGGACGGTGGAGATCTTGCACGCATCCCTTCCAACACGATGAACATGGCCGACCTCAACAAGGGCGAGCGCATAGGGGCATGGCGAGGCTCAATGAACATTCAGGCCGAGCCCGGGGCGGGACTGCCTGCTCTCGATATGATCGATCTGCACGCCATTCTTGTCTCGTCGCAGGTCATCTCCTCTATGCTGCAAGTCGACGAGCTTTTGAAGACTATGTGCGACGTCATCTTACAGACTTGTGGTGGCTCAGCTACGCTGGCTGCCATTGTTGTCCAAGAGAACGACATGGATACTTGGTGTGTAGCAGCAAGTGGTGATCCTGAGAGAGGAGCTTCCGCCCATATACCAGGTATCCCTATATCAGGAACCTCACTCATTGCAGAGAATGTTGTTCTCTACTCTACCCGCTTCCTTGAGTCAGTCTTTGTCCCTGACTTGATATCTGACGAGAGATTCGGCAATGTCAACGAATCCTGGCTTCAGAGAAACCCCGTTGGCAAGAGTATTATTGCGATTCCGATCTGTCATGGCAACAAGCCTCTCCTTGGCGTGCTCTATCTGGAGGGTGAACCGGGCGCATTCACAGATCGCAACGTCACGGTCCTGCAGCTTCTTGTCAACCAGATTGGCATCAGCTACTCAAACGCCCTTGCGATGAAGAATGTCGAGAAAATATCTGCAGAAAACCGTTCTATGGTAGCCGTTCAGAAGCGCGCACTTGCCAAGGCCCTTGAAGCAGAGACAAAGGCCAAGAACGCGGAAGCGGAAGCCAAGCGCAATGTCAAGCTGGCAGAGGAAGCGGCGAAGGCTAAATCCATCTTCTTGGCCAATGTCTCCCACGAACTTCGCACTCCTCTCAATGGCGTAATCGGCAACTCGGAGCTTCTTCGCGACAGTGATCTGAATAAGGATCAGCTCGAGATGGCCGATTCGATTCGAGTCTCCGCTGATCTGCTATTGACGGTAATCAATGACATCTTGGACTTCTCCAAGATGGAGGCAGACAAGATGAAGTTGTACATTATTGCCTTCAACCCCGAAGACATGGTCCGCGAAGTCGTTCGGGCCGTCTCATATAGCAATCGTGAGAAGACGTCCAAGAAGAATGTCAAGATCGTACAAAACATCAACCTACCGCCCATGCTAATCTACGGCGACCCCATCCGTCTACACCAGGTTTTGGGCAATCTTATTGGAAACAGTCTGAAGTTTACCGAAGATGGTTCGATCACTATTGGTGCTCGACTGGACAAGGAGACAAAGGAGCACGCCACCCTCACTTTCTGGGTTCGAGATACTGGCATCGGTATTCCTCCTCAGCAGCTGGCAAAACTGTTCCAACCCTTCAGCCAAGCGGATGCTAGCACAGCGAGAAAATACGGTGGAAGCGGTCTTGGTCTCAGCATCTGCAAGTCACTCATTGAGACAATGATGAAGGGCAAGATTCGGCTCGAGAGTGAAGAGAATGTGGGCACAACTGCTTGGTTTACTGTCACGTTTGAGAAGGCCAAGCCTGATGTTGCTGCAGGAGACGCGCAGACCAAAGCTACGCCATCTGTCGACCGATACTACGCAGCAACTTCACCTGTGGAGAGAGCGGAATCGCCAAACCCTTATCTGGACTTGTCTAAGGTGCCCAAGGATGAGATTCGCATCTGTGTTGCCGAGGACAACCCGATCAACCAAAAGATCGCTATACAATACGTGCAGAGATTGGGGTACAAGGGCGTTGTTGCATACGACAATGGCCTCAAGGCTGTGGAAGGGCTCCGGCAAAAGGCCAAAGAGGGCAAACCATATCACGTTGTCTTGATGGACGTCCAGATGCCGGTTCTTGACGGTTATGAGGCGACAAAGCTAATTCGGAAGGACTCTCTCGATGCAGTGCGCACTATTTTGGTCATTGCCATGACGGCTTCTGCTATCCAAGGGGACAGGGAGAAGTGCTTGGCTGCTGGTATGAATGACTATCTCGCCAAGCCAGTTAGATCAGAGATTCTGAAAAAGAAGCTCGACGCATATCTCAGCGTTGAGGTAAGGGAAACCAGTATTACTGGATGGAATCTTCACTAACATGACGCAGCACCCACCGCCAAAACCAGAATCTTCTCCTCCACTGCAACGCGACTCATCATCCACACCTAGCCCCCACACGCAATCCGGAGTCGCTACCCAAAGATCTAACTCATCGCTTGTTCTTCCATCTCCTGTGGTCAACCCGAGTGCGGGAACAAAGGGGTTGGCCAACGTGTCTCTTGATCCGATGCAGGAAGAAGCCGTGTTCAACCAACCGGTTGACCAGACGGCTCTACAAGCACAAGACAGCCCTGTCTACAACAGAGAACAAGAGCCATCGCCACTAGCCATACGTGGCAGTTCACCGCACTCAATGAATGCCTCTGGCCTTGGCCGTGTTTCAAGTGATGATCGGTCTATAGACACGGCGTCAATCGCAGACAGCTCAATCTCTCAGTCACAGAAGCGACTGCCTCGAAAGCTTGTCAAAAATCGCCGCAACAGCGAGTCAAACAGCGAGCGACCATCGCTTAGCAACATATCCAACGACAAGTCGCGAGGTGTTCTCAAAAAACCGCAACGGCAGAGCACGACGAATCTTGTTGAAGAGGGCCAGAAAGCGGAGAACAACTCTTACAGTTTTGGAAAGGATTCTAGCAAACGCAGTAGCCTGACGTCCTCTGCCTCATCGTTGAAGGATCGAATCTTTCCTCATTAAGACAATCGAGATACCTTTGCTTGGCAAGGTCAGGCAAAGCCTCATCAATTGTCCGACGAAACAATATTCTTACAGGCTCTGAATCTCAACATAACTATCTATGGCACCTGACCTGACCTGTTTCATAGCCCTATACTACCAACAAGGCGAAGGGAGCACCAATGGATGATATGAATTTATGGTCGTGTTTAAACATGGCAGGGATTATTGAGGATGACTGGTGGAACGGAACTTGATGTTCATGGATTTGGTGGATTATGCGGGAGAAAGAAAAAGACACTCTACATGGGTGGACGAAAAGAGCTTTCTCCCGCCTCACAACCTTCATGTTATTGGGCATGATCTAAATTTTGTATAATTGTTTTTACTTCAGCGAGGAGCATTCAAGGAGGATGGGGGCTTGTGTTGAGGCGCAGGTGAGCGAGGACATTCTATTCTTGATGGCTAAGGGGGTACATGCTATATGGTAGGCTGTTTGGAGCCTTACAAGATACCTCGGTTTTGCTTTATTCTATTCTTCTCGCGGAAATCATCGATTCAGCATAGATAGCATGGTCCACTGTTTTGGGACCCGAGCGCCAAAAAGAACAGGAGAACATGCCGCAGGTTACAGTAGAGTTGAACTGGCTGGATATGATTTGTGAAAGTTTAGCATTGCAAATACAGAACGTTGTGAGGATACCTGACAATGAAATTATACCTTCTGAGCTCTCAGGAACTGTAAATGGTTGACAGATGCACAGTGAATAGTATACAGTGCCCTTCGGTTTACCTCGAACAAAGCTCCACGCCAGTTCGCCGATGCTTGACACCATAAGGATTGGAGGGTGTACTGTAGTGAATTCGAGTTGAACGAAGCTGAATAATCATAGCCATAAATGGACATGATCGACATGGAGTAAAGGATGAGACGGAGGCGAGGAGCCACATGGGGGGACTCACGCTAGCGGCCGTTGGCGACAAACAACGCATTGGTGTCCGAGATTAACTTAACTTAGATGAGACGAGTCTCCGACGACATCCATTCAAGATAGGTCAGACCCTACTGCGTGACTGCATGTTGTCGACGGGATGATGGCCACACATACAACAAGTGGCGAGGGTGTTGGGTGGAGAAGCGGAAAAGGAGTTGACGTGTAAGCTGACCAACCGATCAGTTCTCGATCAATGGCAGATCCCGGCGTGTCTGGTTGGTCAATGACAAACTTGGCTCAAGGATTCGATCTCGCGTAAAGACATGCAGATGCCACTGTGGAGGGGAAGGGGTTCTCAGCTGGCAATGTGCAAGCCCACTGAGAGTTAAGCCAGTTCAGTACCTGATTTAGGTTGCAACAGGAAGAAAACCCAGCCGTGGCAACATTGCGGCCTTTTGTCTCTGCGAACCATGCGGCGCGCAATTTTCCTCAATGTTATTTTCGTCATAGCTCAGTCCGAGCCTTCAAGCTGTTGGTACATGAAGACGAGGTCTCATGATCTAAGTCACTCTCCTTTCCAATAAAAATTTGAAACTCGGAACGACCAGGTATAGCAACTGGGAGGCAAGGGAGCATATGTACCGAGAGTAGTTATGGTCCGTGGACTAACAGATACGCGTCCTTGTTCCTTGATTATTTGTTGCTAGGCCAGCAAGCCAGACTGAAGTCAACATCTAGAAACAGCATCTCGTAATTGGGTGATATCAATAGAGGGAAAGATGATCGACAGAGACAAGGGAGCTCAGACGGGCAAATGAGATCTCTCGCCACGCAGTTGAAGTCGGAGTCATGGAGTCGTGTTGCAAGTTCTGGTACGGAAGCCGGTTTTGTTAGTCAGGGCGGGTAGGTTTTCGTCAAGTCCGGACTACCAAACAGAGAAGGACAATTCCTAGCATCCAGTGCAGCCTCCGGTGTCGATCCCTACACGATGGCTTGCCTTGAATCTTGGGGCTCGTGGGCTCGTGGGTTCTGGCACGATAGACACATGTCAGATGGAACGGGGAGCGCTAGCAGGGGAATCACTTCGCTGATCTTGATCGCCCAAATAATCAAGGGCTTGTGGCGCTGTGAGGTTGAGATGTGGGTTATCGAATCATTTACTTATCGACACGACCGGTAGCCTGGTGATCGACCATGGCCATTTCTTGTTTTGATGCGGAAATTTTTGCGGTCGGTTCGGTACTTCATACAGGGTAAAGCCTTTTGGCTCTGTAGCCAGGGTACCTGGATACTCTACAGCTAGGCCGCAAAGGCCAGTAGTGTAACGGTGCCTGGGTGCAAGTAGCCGGTCACCAGAGAATCTCGGAAGCCAGATACACAGACATTGTAGCGGTGGGCTCCCGCAAAACAAAGCCGAGTTTCGTATCCTGATTTAGTTACCCGAGACCGAGTCTGTCAATTATTCGAAGATTGTCAGTATGTGGATGTGATCACAAGTGCAGGCTTTGGGCTTCAGTATTCTCAGTCAGCCAACGACATGGGGGTCATTGGATTGTGTTGGGCCAGGCGGAATTGTCTGACACCTCTCCATACCTCAAGTTACCCCTTGACTGGATGGGTAAGGCAGGGCGTTGAGAAGGATGCTCTCACCCTGGAGTTGAGTCCCGTCTAGACCAGACCCGCACATGGATCGGGATAGTTAGATCCAAAAACTACAAGGGTATCATCGGATTGGGCCGACCACGAGGGTGGGTGGGAAAGTCGCTTAAAGGCTAGCTGCCGATCCATCAGCTCACACGGGCGAACAAGAGCTTCCAACTTCATAGGTGGCGGCAAATTAAACGAGCCTACTAAGATAGGTCCATGTATCTGTGCCTGAGCGAGCCCTGCCGCAAATCCTGGGCTGCGACTGATCAGTAAAGGATCTGCGGAATTGAGTTGCTTGATGTACAGCAAAGTAAGGCAGATTGAACAGTAATCATGGAAGCCGCAGAGCAAGTAATCGTGGTCTATCGACAGGCATCCTGTACTTGTGATCAGGAGAAAAGATTTGAAAGTCAATCTCGTTCCTTCATTGTCAAGGAAACTCCATGATAGAGCATGTCCACGTGCGCTCTTATCAGACAGACAAGTGCCTAGATGTAATGGAGCTATCTAACAAGACACCAGACGAAGACGGACGTAGAAGTTGATTGAGGCAGCCCCCCCGTCCCAACAGCTGGCATGGCGTGGCCAGTTCCTTTCACACGCATGCGTATTATTTGAATGAGCACATCATAAGTTTGAGCCAAGTTCGTAGGCGTAGGTACCGAACGAGACCAGGATTGCAAATTGGAGATCCACGACAATACCACAAAGGGATCAGTGCATCTGTTGACAATGTATGGATGCCCTCAACTTGCGGCTGAGGCTCTGAACAGCTTTGCTAGATTCGCTAGACGACATGTGTAAACGGCTAGTGTGACAACTTAGTCGCTCGGTTCATTTAAACACGGGCTCAGAGATTTGTGCAGGTGATATCGGGTGCTATCGTGCATCGGAGGCAACATCCATTGTGTCGTTCAAACTACAGGTGGGCTAACCTAAGACAAGATCGAGACGTGCATGCGACCAGTTAAAAGCGACAAGCGAAACGAGGAAGGCAAGTCCATTTTGCTTCTGTTGGGTGAAGTATGCAAAACGGAGATGATTCATCTCATATCAATGTTGGTGTCTGATGTGGTTCATTGTAGGATGATGGATCCAGACGTGCAGGAGACAAGGATAATTATGCACGAGTCCAAGTGAGGTGACAAAATGTGGGACAGGAAGCCGGGGATAGAGGATAGATGACGAGATGAGACTGAAGTCAAGCAAGGAAGGAGTTGAGAGAAGGGTCGTTGAACGAAATGAAAATGGGAGGAAATGCCCAGTTTGGACAAACTTCCACCAAAACAACAAAAATGAGGGGAATGTCGTAAGAAGGAGCTGGGCAGGGACAGGGGACTTGGTGTTTCAGATGTCCCTTTCTCGACATGGGGTTTCCAAGCTGCAGGTGCGTCTCGGGCCCGACCGACCAACTCGTTCTCTAATTGGACAGAGCATGATATTGTCCTGGGATCCCTAGTCCCTGGAACTGGGAGAGCATGCCCTGGCGGATGTTAATTGGTACAAGATCTGCACGGAGCCTCACTAGGGACACCCCTTACAGGCTAGTACCAACTAATGCACCTACATAGATGTTGACTCCAAGTCCGAGGTAGATCTGGAGACGCTGTACTCCCGTACATATCCGTATGCAATCATCGCGAAAGGATGCTTGCCTAGAATCATCACTAAGGCCAATGTACACAAGTAGTATGACCGATAGAGATGTGAGATCATCTTTGATGCTGACTTCTACGAGTCTGTACGTCATGTAATTTGCGATCCGGGATAGTACTTCAAACAGCGTCGTTCTAACAATACTGTCATTTGATCTGATATCCCAATAGCGAACAGAGGGGTCAAAACAACCCAGAAAGGTGGGAACTTGATCAAGCCTTGATTCCTCGGGTTCGTGCTGATTACCTAGTTAGTAAAGCAAGACAAATTGGGCCTTGAATTTGACCTGATTCGTACTCCAAGCGTAAAGTTCGTACGACTCGTCCAATATGAGAGACACCACGGATCTCCTTGTACAACAAAGCTGTTGTGAAGCAGAGAAACCGGACGGAATGTTCGAGAGGGTATCGGGTGCTATTATGGCAGCACCTGTGCAGGAACTTTCCATGGCTCCCGGGCATTGAATTACCCCCAATAAGCCAAAGCGTGAGAAGAATAAGCATCACAAAAGACGGGGTTAGCATCAACGTCAACAAATTTTCTAAACTTTTCTCAACTCAGAAGTATCACCGGTGACAGACTAGATTCGAATCGGAAGCCAATTTGTGCAAGTATCGCTGCATCCACTCCAAGAATCTTGATCCTCTTCCCAGGTGAAATCGTCCCTTGCAGGTGACTCGCTTCAAAGTACTAGTTACAATTCTGCAGAGATAAGGGATGAATTTCAGTAAGCCCTGTATGTCTCTACGCGAAACAAACAGAATAACATAAGGAAGCGCGCTTAGAGGCAGCTAAGACAGGTACAAGAAACGAGACCTGTACGGTCGAAATAAAAATGGATTCTGTTATCTATTTTGCTCTATTAATCGTATCTGAGGATGTCCAGGGTCCGATAACCTCGTATGGCCTGGGTTCCGTACGCCTTTTTGTGTGTGAAAAGCCATATCCTGGCTGGTGCCATGTAAACATCCGTTTTTAAGCTCTACATAGTTGATATCATGGCTGAGAGGGAATGGTTGGTTGATCCTGAGCTAGCCCACCAAACGAATTCGAGAGACTGATCAGCAATCTTATCCGCGTATGTGCACAGGTCAGAACCTTGACCTGGATCGTGGCGCACTTCCGATATCTAACGGCGCACAACAAGGAGTGGTAACGGTTTTCGAGAGGGTGGGGCTTTCCGAAAGGGTGGGGTACCGCTCGCCTGAGCTTGCTCATCTTTGCCCATTGATGACGATTGCTAGGACGGGCTCTGGCTAGCTCAAAGAAGCTTCCTGTTTCCTTTTCTGTGTCGGATGAGATCAGTCTCCCTAGTTGTGGGCTTGTAAAGCTGAGAAATCCTAGTAAACCAGACGAATCCTCCAGCGCACAGCACTACGCCACACAGGCCTGGTCAGGAGGGAGTGTTCCATTGGTCTTTCTTATGCTACCGAATACATAGGTAGCTTGGCCTTCGACTAAAGCTGCAGAGAGATTCTTCAAGCGGCCTAGTGAACCACCACCACGAGAAAGCCATGCTGCAACGTGCTTTTGACGACGGACCTGGTAAGTGTGGCTGCGTGGCGATAGGTTCAAGCCTTCAAGGATGAATTGGGGGAAGACCCCGCCCATCGCTTTGGTGAGCATTGAGCAACGCTAATCTAGATTACTACCAGGCGCCTCGAGGTCCTGCAGAAGGGTTGGTATTAGATTGAACTGACTAGAAAGAGGGTGCCAATTTTCCTCGACCAATTCATCATGACCAAACCTGGGCATCATTGTTGACCCTGATCCTGGAAGGGCTGACTACTAAGGCAAGCAGGCATGGTGGCCTCCATGGGTTACTCTGACATCTGGCCCGTTGCCACGAGTATGTTTGGGAAAGGTCTAGATCTGCAACAGCTTGAGACGGTTTTATAATGACGAAATATGATGCTGGGCTGCTACTGGAGATCGTGAGCACCGGCTAGCCTTTATATGGTGATTGACTTGTGATACTGTAGGATCGGACAATTCATGATCGGAGACTAGTGTCTGACAATGCCTCATCTTGGCCAATTTCCCTTCATGCGTAATCGTTCAGCAGTTGGGAAAATATATATCTCCCTGTAACTTCGGTAAAGTGGGTTGGCAGGATGGAGATTTGCAAAGATGAAACGCGGAATCGCGACATGAAAGGGGACATCTGTGGTGGATGTAAGCAAGCCCACACACAAAGTAATAGCTTGCTCAAACTGAGCGCCACATGAGGTCGGAAGGAGCGGCTGAAGCAACTTGGTCACAAGCTAATTGTAAGGCATTTTGGCCTAGACCCAGGCAAACCCCAAAAACCAGGGCCATTGCCAGGGTGGCTCGGGGCTCAACTGCCAGTGGAGCTTCTCTTTCCCTCACCTTTCATTACCTTTCTCTGCCAAGGCTCTACAAATATGTACGAATACCTGCCGAAGTTGGTTCATCACAGCAGAAGATGATATGAGAGCAGCCAAAGACAGTAGGAGCCTAGCCACGTCTAGGCTCATGGCATCTACTGCCTGTCTTAGGGAATTTACGTTATATTAGGTAAGGTAGGCAGAGAGGAATCCAGTTGCTTCAGACCAATGAAAACGCTATTTCGTGGACGACTTCAATGACCTTCGCAATTCTTCGACCCTTCTATCCATGCAGTGCCCCCCGTCACACCCGAAACAATAGACCACAAGCCACAGGCATTCAAGCCTAGTACTTTACTGGAGAGCGGCTTAAACCCTGCTACCACGGGAACCGCGCTTCGTGCAACAGCTTTTCTCAAGATTTCTAGCCTGGGTATTTTCAAAATTCGATCCATGCTTTCATCCACTTCCTGTGCTTCGATTAGAGTCGCATCCTTGTGACACACGAACGGCTTGAGTCTGAAGCTTCATTTCAAACAAGGCCCACGACTTCGATTGCACCATATCATTCGAAACTCAATGTTTACATCCAACGTAGAAGCTGCATTACGACCTGACTTACTCAACATGACCTGTTTCGAATGTCTACTACGGCCAAGCCCCGACATCACCCTTGGATCCTTAACAGTAAACCTTGAAGACAAGAACGGAGCAAAAAATCACAAGCAATCGAAAAGACAGGGAATACGAAGATTGCGGAAAGCTTGGTGGCCAAAGTACGTATCTGATGAAGCTCTGCACGCCCTATCATCAACCTAACTGCATTGAATTAAGCTGATGCGCTAAGAACTAACATCCAAATTATTGTTTGCCTGCCACAAGTGTCTGGCGTATGTACACTTCAGGACCCTATCAAGCCACCCGTCCACCCTTCCGTATAACAACACGATTGATGACTTTCTAATTACCGCCCAACTACCGGATTTGAGGCAACATGTCTTGCCAGCCCGCCCGTGTATCATATCAAGGCTGAGAGCCTTGTTTGGACAGGTGGTTCAGAGGTTGCAGCAGCTCGGACACTTTGCCTTGGCGCTCGTGTCATTAGCTTGTAGCTGCAGCCTGGGGTAAGGTGCAGAGTCAGTCGGTACAAAGAAAGCTTATTAACAAGAGTCCTTGGGTAAGAATGTCTGCAGCATCTGGTGCCTCGTTGATTTTCAGCATAGCTTTCGAGAACATCAAGCAACGAAAGCAAAAGGGAGGAGAAGAGAAGGGAAGAGAGAACGCTCCATTGGGCTTGGACTAATAACTTACATCTAACTACCACACACTGATGTTGTATCTGGATATGTGTTGATGAAGTAGTTCTTCTATTGCCTCTCGCACCGCAATCTACACACCTCTTTCACCACGTCGTGCACGCCCCTCCCTGGTTCCCGATGCCACTCCACTTCTCATGATCTATTCATCCCAAACTTGTACCCTTTTTGGTCCCTCCATCCTGTCTTCTTGTTGGCTGCTCGGATCCCCAGAAGCATGCACGACGCACGTTCAATTCGATGGGACCGTCTGGGTTTTCTATCTCTATGGCAGCAATCATCCCAGCCCTGGACCCCTCAGCCACTTCTTTGGTCTGCCTCTGCCACTGCCCCTACAATACCGACCCCTGCTTCCTGGGTTAACTACCTTTTTAGTGTTTTGTCTTGTCCCTACCATGTGTCCCGAAATCTGTCAAATCTCTTCTGATACACGCTTTTATCCTTAACTTTCGAAAGTTGCCATATTGGTACTTGGTGAGATGATCTAGAGCATAGCTGTTCTTTCTACTGGAACGATATTCGCTCTAGACCTTGCCTTAAATGTCTAATGCCGGACTGCTCTGGCCAGATATGGAGGTTTGAACCCGTGCTTTGGTTCATGTCATGGCCGTCGAGCTCCTAGCCGTGGTCTCTTGCCCTTTGGTCCCTAATCATTTTGTTAGTTTGAGCATACCCTGCCCGCTCAGGGCAAGTTCCCACAACGCAGCGTTTCCACTCTGTCTTGAAGAGTCTTTGACTGTTAAATTACGACCCCGATGCGTCAAGATGCGGTCCGGCAAAGAGCAACTCGGCGGCCGGCGCTTGATGATGTGCGTATAAGCAAGCGGGTGGGCGTGTGCGGGCGTGTGCGTGTGCTTTCACTTTCCACCAGTCACTCTTCCTCTCTCCACTCATACCGAAGCTGCTTAGCCCTCTTTTTTTCTCTTTCCTTTCTCTCCTCCATCTTCTATCGAGGATCATCGACTATCTTCTCCTCTTTCTATTGTTTGGGCTTCCCTCCTATTCGTTCATTAAACAGCCTTGGTCCCTGAAGCCGTTGGTCTCGTGCCATAGCTCCCTGAAGTCTGCAAGCTACCCTCGTCCCATTTGCCTCAGTTGTCAATGGTAAGCTAGCTTGAACAGGACGACCAACGACACAAGAACAGGACGAAATATATCCTTGACTGAGGGAGGGTACTGTTCGACACATTCCTTTTTCTAAACTAAAAGGGCGGCTCTGCTTGGAGACTCCAATCATCGATGTCAACAAGAACCTAGACGTACCCGTTGAGTTGTGAATAACAAGAGTGATTCACAGGACAATACACCACGCTGGCTGGTACCTGCGTCTTGAGCTGTTATCCTTTGATGCATCCTTACTCACTACTCCGTCTTTTACAACAGCTTCGCTGAGCTTAAAGCTCCAATCTCTCTCGCAGTTTTTCACTTCACCGCGGAACTTTCCATATCTGGGCCTTCTGTCCTTCATCTCGGCCCAATCCATTCACATCGATTCAACGTCTCTAGTCGTCTCTTGTCAGCCTTGGGTCTTCTCCACTTCTCACACAAACTTCCTACTAACTCGCACTCGTTGACAGCTCTTTTCTGCGCGTGCCCCCCATGTGTGCTATGTGGAAGAGCCATCCATGACTGGTTCCAAATGAACTTGGGCCTGCTTGTCAACTGGTTTCATCAGCCCCGCTCATCTCGACCTGGAGCTGGCCGACATCTCCAGCTCGCCGCCCGTCACCTCTGGCCATCTTATACAAAGCTTGCATATCCACAACCCAAATTGTACGCCGCTTCTTTCTGTTCCCCTCTTCTTCCTTCTTTGATATCATTTGCTTTATATTCCTGTCGCCTGTTTCTTCTCCCTTTTATAACTCCAGTCCCTAGTTGAGACTTGTATTAGAAGATCCACGAGACGGTTACAGCCCAAACAACAATATTTTTTTTGGCAACCCTTTCTTTTCGATGTTGTCGTTTTGCTCCCTGATTTGCTTGATCACTTGATCTGGTTGAACCGTCCTGCCAGAACTACCCAGATCTTCAAGCGTGAAGTGCAATCTTGTTGTAAAACATCGTTACCCACGTCCCCTGCCCAGCACTCAGTCGACTGTTTCTTATCTGTTAAAAAAAAAAAAAAGTCAATTTCAGCAAGCCCCAGCCTCCCAACAATACATGCGCCTTTCATATCCACGCATCTCCTCTTGCCGTACAAATGTCCCCACTGGTGTAGCCCAGCTACCATACAACGATGCTTACCGTCAAGCAGCCACCAACTTACGGCTACAAGTCCGTCCATGATCTCCCGACTCCGCCTTCAACCTCTCGACCTTCTCCCCCCTTGATATATCGAGAACCAGCAAACAATTCTCTGCCTGTCGCCTATCGGGGACACAGTCCACCATCACAGCCCATGTCGGCTCCTCATCGTGGCCTGCCTCCGCCGGCGGCCATGACTCTTCCTCCCCAGCAGCCCCCAGCAGCTGGTGCTCCTCCATCTACTCATCTCCCACCCCATCCGCCTCCTCCGCCTCCGCCACAGCCATCTTTGGGCCCTCCTGGTCACCAGCAGAGAGATTCATGGGGCCAACTACCTGCTCCACCTCAGCAATGGCAAGGAGCAGAGGAATCCATGAGACATTGGCTGCAGGCGAGGGCGGAAGAGGATAAGAGAAAGCAGGAGGAAGAGCGGACGAAGCAGGAGGAAGCGCGGACGAGACAGGAGAGCTTGCGTCTAGAGCAGCGCAAAGTTGAAATGGATATGCTGCGGACGTCGCTTCAGGCAGGTATACCTCCTCCCATGGTTCCTTTGGTATTTGCAGGCATGGGTGGCGGAGGAGTCGCGCCACAAGCCGCCCTGGAATGGGCTCAGCAGTTTATGCCTCCTGGACAGGCTCCTCCTCGTGCCCAGATTATGCCCGCACAGTGGCCTGTGTCGCCTGAACACCAGCGAGAACCCCAAACACTGTCGCATACCCACGCACAGCACCCGGGCATTCCATCTGCATCGACTCCAGCAGCCGGATATGTGTATCCGCCATCACCATCAAGGCCTCGAAGCCAGACAGTGAGTGGTGCTATAGGACGGCCCATGGGCATATCGACATTACCGAGCCTCAACACCAACGTACCACAGCCCGCACACGCTCCTCCTCCGATGCACTCGCATCAACATCCGCATATGCAGCAAGCGCAGCAACAGCAGCAAGAACCCCAGTCAAGTCCTTCGATATACTTTCACCACTGGCAGCCACCAACATCGCAAGCTAGCGGAAGCTCGAACCGACCCGGAAGTCCTTCTGGTTCGTCCAAGACCAAGAGAAAGAGAGACTCTCTGTGAACTGACATAGCTTCTGTGACTATAGGGGAAACTCCCAGAAAGCGCAAAGCAACAGGGCATCATGCCCCTTCCCCCGCCCGCAGTGAGCAGCGATATCGATCACCTCCGCCTCTTAGTCAAAGCGGCTCGTCGAGCGCAGCTTTTCGTGGATCGCGACGTGGTCACTCACGACAAAGAAGTGACATGTCACCCTTCAGGGTCATCGGGCCGGGACGGTCTCGCAGAGAGAGTTTTGGCGGACCCTTGCGCCGAATGTCACCGATACGCAGCTCAACGTCTATACCCTCGCAAGAAAGACCCGGCAGCGAGAACAAACAGTCGGTATCAGCTATATTGTCAGAGGAGCCACCGCCTGGCACACGGTATCCAGGGCCCCGTCGCCCGAGCGAAGAGCGAGAAAACCGCTACAAGCAGCCATCACCCGGAGATTCAAAGCCGCATCGGAGTATCGAGGAAACCTCAAAATCGCGAGAAAATTCAGGGGAAGGACAAAGCGCTTGATGGTAGTGCACCCTAGACGCGGTTTCGTCGATCGGCTCTGACGCTTGTGCGCCACATGCAGTCATTTCACGTCTAAGCGTGGCTGTCATTTAATTTACGATAATCCACAAATCACACACGAAAACATGAAAGAGTAATTTATTTGCCCAGCCGGAATGATCAACAATCTCTGGCGTATTAGTAGGCATACTCCAATCAACACTCTGTACTACCTATCGAAGCAAATATGCATCGGGCCGGTTGAGCGGCTTTTCCTCATGGTTACTACTAAAATTTCGGACTCAGACTCATTCAAGCTGGTCCCTTGACTTTACATCAGTCTTTTAGAAGTTGGCGCCGCAACTTTGTTTTAAATATATGTTCTCGTTGAGCTGCACTGGAGAGGGCAAGGGTTGGCTAAAGGTTAGGGGCACGGTACAAAATGGAGTTTTTGACTTTGATTTTCGGTTCAGTCTATTGGGAGGAGTCCACAGCATCAAGGAACAGCATTGGGTATAGCGGGCTCGGGCTCGGGCTCGGGCTCGGGCTCGGGCTGAGGGTCGATGGGACGAGGGAAAGAGAAACATTGGGGATATTTCTTGTTCTACGGACAGCTATAGACACCCTATGGACTTAGATTGAGGGGGTTGAAGTTTCGCAGCTTCAGGCAATGCATTACTGACATCCTCAAGGAAGTCAATTTGAGCGTCATCAAACAGACTCGGAGCGAAATGAACAAAAACAATTGTCGCCGACCGAGGAATGGAGAACACTCTCGCCCTTGTTTATTTTGAATGTTAAGCCACATTTTAAGAAGCTCGGGCACATACAAGAAGAGCAGCCTCAGTCTACTAGAAGCCTCACAGCCTATTTCTCAAAGTAGTTCCCAGGAACACCCCAAAACAGAGTTGCGGTTACTGAACGCCCATAGCACTAGCAGCACATAGCTTATTCTGAGGAGCCTCAAGCTGCATTAGAAACACAGAAATCGAAACTTGGATCCTCGTAAAACTGGGGTCTGATCTGGTCTAGTCCTCAAAGAATCCAGATGCCACCTGGGCTGCAACCCAAAGCCAGCCATGTCTTTGAACTTTAGAGAAGTCTTGAATCGAGAGAGAGAGAGGAGTCGAGAATACGAAAAAGCCACATTATATCTGACTTACCAGAAGAGGAAAAGGACCTATTGAGGAGCTCTGCAGGAACAAAGGTGCTGGGTCTTCTGCATGTAAGCCACTATGCTACTATCCTTTTCAAAAGATCACAGAAAATCTATGCTATGCTGGTTTCAGCTCTCATCATGCATGTGTGGCTTGTGCAGGAGTGTCTTGAAGGGGTAAACTCGGCCGTCTGCGCGACTATGGAAAGACGTTTGGAAGCAATCAGCAAAAGGGCATGAGAAATAGAGTAGTATTCTCTAGGGAAGCTAATATCTCGCGTCATTCCCTTGTTCGCGTCATATTATAGTCCTTCGACTTATCGTCCGGTTGGTTACATCGAAGCTAGGGTCAAACTCAATTCTGTTTTTTTCTTCTTCTTCAATAGTACCAGAAATAAGGACAGGGAACAAGCCAATGGTGTTGGCTGCTCTACAGTTGAATAGCTCAATGGATCAACCCCAGCAACTTTGGGTATAAATAACTTAACTTAGCTGTGCTGTAGACTGTGATTCCACAATTGAGGTTGGTCGCTTTGTCCTCGCGTTGGTGAGCCGCTCCCGACCTCATGGGCGCCGGTTCCCCCGCACCGGAGTTCCGGGAGGGGTCGGACACTCATGCCCAAAGAGGCAATCAGCACGGTCGAGATGGAGGGGGGCACAGACTGGTCTGCCGAGCAGAGCAACGGGGGTGAATGGATGGATAGAAGACAATAACAGCTTCAGACATTGAGGCTGACCGGAGCACAGAGATCCGAGTAACTACCTGGAGAAACAAACTTTGCTGGGTTTTGTTGGGAGGAGCCAAATGCACCTGATTACTGCTTAACAGTTACTGTTATACCTCGATGTTACCGTCTTGTGTACGACTGGAGCCATGTCACCATGTTCTGTCACATCCAGCATGATCTGATCAAGCCACAGTTAGCTGGGGCTGAGATGGTTACATGGATCTGACCAAGTAAGCGAGGCAAAGTACTGGAAATGTCTTCAATGATACTGCATAGTTACATTAACTTCGAGGCTAACAACCTAACATAGCGCCCGCTCCTTGGTTCACCTCTCGGCTCTCCTTATTCTACATCTTTTGCCCTCTCTTTATCCTCCTCATGTACATTAAAGTGCAATCGCACGCCGTATTTCCCCAAGCCTCATCAAAGCAACCCTGGAAGCAAGACAGTAAAACAAAGTGATGCCCGGAGGGGTATATAAGATTAGGTTCCGTGGCTCCAAACGCTATCAACCACCAAAAGGGAAAAACTCCCATCCTTTTTTCTGAATCCATGACGCACCCATGAACCAATGCAAAGAAAAGAATGGCCTCGTTTAGGCATGTGGTCCCTCAGAGGCCGCAGCATGAAGGGGGTATCAGCAACGCAACGCAACGCAAAACAGGAAAGAACCTTGAAGGGTATCGTGATACAGCTTCGCATGTACAAAGAGAAAGCAGACCAAAAGACAAAGGAGAATGCCCCCGTTGGACTTGAGTCATGGCAGTAAGACTTGCTACGTCTTCTTCTTGCCGTGGTGTTGTTTGTATTCCGCCTTGACCACTTTCATCAAAAGATCCTCATCTTTGACAGGGATAGATGATGTTAATGCCTTCATGGCGTTCTCGAATTCCGCGTCCAAGAGGACCTCTCGAAGGGCTTGAGCCAATGCTGCACTAGTAGCGTGCAAAACATCGTATTCCCCTGTCTGAGGAGTGTTGCTCTCGGACTTTCGTGATTCAGGCATAGAAGGCTGGTCATCACCCAATAGGAGGAAGACATCCCAGATTCGCAGCTGGGCTGGAAAGGGTACGGAAAGGTTAAATAGCGTCAGGTACCAGCGTGTACCATAAGCAGTAGTGTCAATGCACAGCTCGTCCTAGAATTGTCAGTGCCTAACTTGGGGTATCGAGAGGCTTCAGACTCACCAGTTTACTGGCTACTTCCTTGTTGAGCCAGTGCTTACTGAAGTCACCCATGGCTGCCATGAGTTCCTCAAAACCTGGACGATATAGACGGGCCAGTCCACGGAGGTGCCACATTCGCACCAGCATTACAAAGCACTTCTCTTCGTCGAAGTAGCATAGCAGTGTTGCCGCTAGCGAAGCCATGCCCTGAACATAACCTGTCTCAGGATAGTAGATTGATATCGCGTGGAGGACCCTAAACAGTAGTCGCTGGCCTCCTCGATAACGTCGTCGAAACATGATATGGCGGCTGATGGTCCTGGGCACGTCCAAGTCGATCTGTACATCGTCTGGGGAGCTTCGTCGCTGGAGCCGATGAAATTCGGCTACGATTCTCTCCTCGGAGGGTGATCCCTCATGTTCCCTCGCGCTGGTGGCCATAAAAGACCACCAAGCTGCTCCCCTCCATCGGTCGGGTATTCCTTTCCATGTCCTTTCAATCAGCTTCGGGTTTCGCATGTCGAACTCAAACTCCATGCCCTCACCCTCGCCGCCCCTACGAACAACTTTAGCCATTTTCCTCCATTTTTCTGACCTTTCCCATTCCTTGCGCTTCATAACTTCTGTTAACTTCTCGGCTTGAATCTCGTCCACGATGTCCTGAAGGCTGGGGGCTGCATTGAGCATGTCACCTGCTTCGTCCATCCACCGCCTGTCGCGATTGTGGGGCAGCAAGTTGCTGGCTTGCCGTATTACTGATCGAGATGAGCGAAGCGATGTTGATACTGATAATTCGGATGTTTGTGTGTTGAGCGACCTTGCGGAAACCTTCCTGGTTGGAGTCCGTCGGCCACTACCACTGAGAGTGGATGTCAAACTATAGGGGTCTCGTTTCTGTAGCAAGCTACGTTTTCTTGGGGAGCCCGAGGCTGACCGCGTCTCTGTTGGTGTGCCCATTCTTGAGCCAGGCGGAGGCGGTAGTGTGATGAAGCCATATCGGTCAACGTGGGCACCTTCAAGGTCATCCCAATCTTCGAGCCCTCCACCTCTAGACCGCAGGGAAGAAGAACTTCCAGATGCGGGCATTTGCCAGGGCGGAGAAAGGTGATTTGGAACACTAAAGAGGAGGCGCAGGTTAGCATAAATCATAGTCCGCAATGATTACAACAGGGACATTCAAGGAAAACCATACGGGTCAAGTTCATTCTCCTCGGACGGGACCTCGGGAGTTGGTTCAAGACGCTCGCAGTACGAGTGCCTCTTGCCAGGCTCACCGTGAGAACCATCGCCAACAGTATAGAGCGATCTCACCTTTTGAGATTCCTTCTCCACGTCGGCGGCCAAGACACGAATGTCGGGGGTTGACATCAGGCCCTGAGGAGAACCATCGCCTGCCCCCTTAACAGAATTATTCATGTCGTTGGACTCGTCGCTGGGTCGAGGAAGGGTCTGTGACTTTGGGGTCGTTGGCGTTGTAGGAGTAGGAGTGATGGAACGAGGAGCAGTAGTTGAGGGAGTGGGAGTTGGGGTGGCGCGGCCCGAGTCGCTCTCGTCATTGTTTGCGGTCGCGAACGTGTCGGCGTTTGTAGAGGTTGAGGTAGAAGAGGACGAATTAATTGACATGGTGTGCTGTTTGATAGCGCCGTCGATGGCGGCGGCGTCTTGAGCTCCCAACATGATGCTGCCGCGATTGGAAAAAGAAACAGTGTTCATGAAGGCATCATCGAGGAGACTTTCGCAAGGGATAGACACGTCGAGGGGAACAAAGGGGAGATCGTTATTAGATGAAGTGGTTGTGGTGCCCGCCAATGTAGCAGTGCTAGTGCTATTATTCGAGGTTGTGGAGGCAGAACGGGACCTGTTCCAAAAACGGGAAGAGCCCTGTTCCTTATCCGACGGAAGCGACCCAGACTCAGCCAAATCAATCGCCGTATCGGCATCAGTGGCTGGAGCGTTGACGGTAGCGTTGGCAGTGGCGCCAAGGGCTGTGGTAATAGTGGATTGTGCACTGACGGTTGGGGTACTAGACGCGCTGGAATTGGCGGTGCTAGCGGTGCCCCGCCACAAGGGTTGAATTGGGGTGTTGAACATTTGCGAAAATGTACCGAACCGAGAGGACCCTGATCTTGATATGCCCTTGGAGATTGTGGGGGGAGACGAAGAACAAGAAGTACGAGGTGACGATGGGATCGAGGAACAGGGAGATTTGTGAGAGCGAGAACCTGACAGAGGAGGGTATGTTGGGGAGGAGGGAACTTTGCCTGCAAGGCACTCAGAGTAAGGAATAGAGAAAGGGACAGTGGAAGCAGCCGTCCTACTTGGTCGAGTAGGTGTTGCAGGTGCAGGTAATGGTAAAGGTGTATCAGAGTGGGACACCTGAGGTGGAGGAGGCGGCGTGGTGCATCGAGCGTTGTACACGACACAAAAGGGATCGGTAGGTATTGATGTTAGCGGCTCAAAGATGCTATTCTCATCCACAAATGGATCTTCGTCTCGCTGCGTTGTCGTACTGGGCTGCGGCATGACGGATGATACCAGTGATGATGCGTTTGATTCCACTGCAGGAATCTTGTTTTTGCATTCGGGTTCCGAGTGGCCATCTTCGTCCTCTTCTTCGTGAATTGTTGAAGTAGACTTGTTTCTAGCAACCCCAGAATCACGCTTCCACTCTTCCACTGACACGGGAGAAGTCCTGAGAGTTGGTGTTGATGATGATGATGACGAGCCTCGGAGGGCCGGGTGCTCCTCGGCAGGCGGTGCAACAATACCAGGAGGTACAATCACAATAGGACGGTGGCGGGAGCTGTGAGATGATGCCGAAGAAGACGAAGGACGGCGTGAGAGCCGAGTAGGGTCTCGTGAGACAATGAGAATCGGAGGTTCTGCTGGTATTGTCTTCTCGTATCTCAAAGCCACTATGCTGGGATCAAGTCGTAAACTGGTTCGGCGTTCAGGCTGCTTCTGCCGCACACTCCCAAATTTGGATGGCAACATGGCGCTATTTTGTGAATTGAACAAAGGAACCAACGACGAGGATGATGTAAGTTTTAAAGACCTCGAACCAACTACCAGTGTGACTGGTTGGTGTCGACAAGGTGGTGATCTGTTTGTGTAAATAGAAGCTTGCTTGTAAGTAAGACCCCAGCAGGTTGGCTGGATGAGTAGCAAATGCAAGGGAGCAATGCTAATTCCGGGGATCGAGCACACCCAAGACCAGACCCAATAGCTCAGGTGAGGAGTCTAAGAGCAAGCTGAAGAAAGGGAGAGGGCCGTAAGCTGGTGTTATAGACAGTCGCGGCAAAGTCGAGAATCCAGAGGGAACCCAAGGGAGAGTCTTATCAAGGGAGACTCGAAAATAAGCGCCAAAATGCGGACTGAACTGAACTGGAACTTAAATCTATCGAAACTAGGTCGATCAGAATTGAATTGAGTCGAGTCGAGTCGCCCAGGTCTTAGACTTGAATGAGACAATGTAATCTCGCGGATGTCAAGTTGAAGGTTGCGGGCATGCAAAGAAATGGTCAAGGATCGTTCTGTAGCGAAAACTCGAAAGGTTGGCACAACATTGATCGAAACTGAAATGTCCCGTGTTTTGAATTTTCTTCAAATATTGGTCGTGAGACAAGGTCGTAAAGTCGTGTGCAGGTGGAAACAATGGTCGATGTAGAGTGAGATGCAGTGCGGTTGATGGAAGGCACAGATCACGGCCTCACGAGAATGATCAAGCAAGCAATGGGGAAGCCAAGCGAGGCGAACCGATCTCAAGATGGAGATGGAGTGCGTTCCTTATACACCATATCGATTCTACTACTGACGACTAGTCTTGCTAGACCGACTCATTGACAATGCAACAACAACCGAGAAAAAGATAAACAAAACCTGACTTTTTCACTCTTCTTTTTTTTCTTTGGTCCATTTACTGACAGCCACATCATCCACCGACTCCACGGTTTTCCGTTGGCTACGGCAAGAACCCGCCCGCTACATGCGGTAAGTAACTTGAGTTATGGGGTATCGAGCATAGAGCTAAGGCAAGGCAAACGAAGCGAGTCGAGACGGTGAAAACTCAATGGCTCGATGTGGTTGACGTGTGGGTTGGGCGAATCCACACCGCACTTACACCCGGCTAACCACGTACAGGTCGAAATGTCGGAGGTTGACCATCAGGTAATCACAGATAAATGAACGTGACCGGCCGGAATACAACACATCAACGCATGGTTAGTCATGGGCGCAGGAAGAAAAAGGCACTCGGAAAGGCCCAGGTGAGGCATTGATGAATGGCCGGCGAATTGCATGAATCCCATGTAAACCTTTTTACTGGCATACCACCCTCCTCGCTCTTCAGGCACAAAGAAAATGTTGGCAGCCTCCAAGATGAAGACCCAACAGAAAATATACATACAATCTGGTTTTAAGCATGGTGACAACCTCTACAGCCGGATGTACCTCATTATGAACCAGGGTATAGAGTTTGGAGGCTGCTGCAAGCAAGACACCAAACGGCCATGGCGACGAGTCCTTTAATTCTCATCACGATCTATAAGCTGTACGCTGAACAGTCCAAAAGTGCCTCCAAAGCGTTTGCATTCCTGAAGCAGGGGATCACCAAGACATGCCCCCAGTCAAAGACAAAGACAAGCACAGCACGGACAGATAAACCTCGAGTCTCACCTCTCTAACCTCTCTTCCTCAACCATTCAGAGAGCGACTTCTTCTGCCAACCAGCATCTCTTCCAACCATGCCGCAACAGGTTTCGGGGCGAGTTTATTGGGCCTCTGTGAGCTATCACAATGATCCAATCGATACCCAAGGTCAGAGTCATCCATACCGACCAGGATTAGCGATAGGGCCGCCCAGAAGAGGTAGGGTCTGCAAGGTACCCGCGACCAGACACCAAACGATGGCCATTCATCGCTCAACACAGCACACAGCACACAGCACACAGCATCACATTGCATTGAGCGAGGAATAGGACATTACGGGACGGGATAACCTGGTCTCACAGCAGCCTCGTACTCTCCAATTACGTGTTTCTTTTCCGCTCCAATCCATTGATTCAACGACAGTCAATCATTCTGGAACACATCTAACAGCGCCTCAGCCTTCAGTCACTTAGCCGAAGCCGAGACTCCTTAACAACAGCCTCAAAACAAAGACAGAACTTTGATCGCATGTCCTAGTGTGATTGAGTTAGAGCGTATTACTATGCAAGTAAACCACGCAATCGCCTTTTTTAGATCAGCTACACAATCAACTTTGCAGCCCTCCCGGAGCCTTAACGTTGCCGCCACTAATTTTCATTACACGAGAACGCGTATCAAACTCTGTTTTTCCTCTATGCGTGTCATAATCAGTTCGTCACCATGAGTTTTGCGTGCTTATACGGAGTACTGATGAGCAAATAAGCACTCGTTCATCTTTAGTCCTGACACCTACTCCTTTAATTTTACAATTGAAACCAAACCCTCTTCTTGAAATAATTATGAGTTTACGACTACTGAGTTAGTGGCTCCCTAGCTCTGGGTCAAATTCAGATGATGATCTCCCGATAGGCTGTGCTTAATTGAGACCTTTTTATGCGAGCTCTTACACTCTATCACATTCTTAACCAAGGCCCACCACGGAACTTAACTCTCCCTTACATGAAGCACCACGAAATTCAGTACTATCGAATTGCTTCTTTTCGTTTCCCCAGCAAGAACAGGAAAACCTATCTTGGCGAAGACGAAAAAGCAAATTTGGAAATTGTCTCTGTCTTCACATGATTATCGTGAATCTTAACATAGCGATCTATGTGATATCCATCTGCCCTGGGAAGATCTACCCGCTCCCGAACCTAGGGACATTTTTATGCTGGGATACATGCAGGGATCGGACTTTGTCCTGCTTTGGTGTTAAGCCGGCTAAGGGAACATCGAACAGACGAGATTCTCCTCGTTTGGCTTATAGGGAGCCTGCATAATAATGAAAACAAAAAGGAGGAAATATCGTAAGTGACACCGGGAAGGCTGCACATACCCTTCCGTCCCGGCCGGGCCACGGGGCCGTAGAGAGTCCACGTTCTGCCCATGGAATGGCTTCTTTGAACGCTGCAACTGTAGCTGTCACCGCCCTAGACCCATGTCCTAGTCTGTCGATGCCAACTCATCGGGCAACCCCTTGCTGCTGCATTTTCCTCCACTTGATCCGTCTACCGCGTGGTTAGTGGGGACTTCTTTTCTTTTCCCTTCTCCTGATGATGAGGCGGGAGACAGCAGCGAATAGCGGTAAAGGACATTTTTAATCGTCTTTTTCCTGCGCCGCTTCTGTGAATTTTCGAGGCTGGCAAGGTGACGGAAAAACCAGATGAACAAGCAACAAACGCTTATTGAGGACTGCTCTGGGACAGGTAGGGCACACAAACAACGCACAATTGGGGAAAAGAGAAAAGAAGTATCCTCTAGCCTACATCCAAACTGCCAACGGTTGAGTGCATGCAGCAAAAGACAACGCTGCGTTGTTCTGAAGTGGATACGTAACCCTTGCTAGGCTGGAGTACGGCGCATTTGGCCCACAAAGCTTGAAGCTTGCTCTGCAACCACAAGTCTGATGAGTCAAACAGTCACCGTTCGATCAGGTGGCTGGTAAACGGGAGAGCTGAGAGGGCTGGCACATGTCTCTCATGGACGGATCATGGTAGCAAAAAGCAACCAAGAATTGGCAAAACATCAGGTTTTTAGATTCTCCTTCCACGACTCCATTTGCCATATGCTGAACTATACAACCTCGCTCGTGCTTGAATCACAAATGAATACATATTCCATTTTGCCTCTTCTGCTCTGGAAACTGTGTAGGATTGGCCGTTTGCCAAATGCTCCACCGTCTGGTGATAGTCTTTCAACGCGTTGAGAACGTGGCAGTGGATGCGCGTCCGTCACCATGGGGTTTCTCCCGTCACTCAGGGCTTTTTGCCCCTTACAGGTTGCATAGGAGGCTTTCCGTTGTCTCTGCCATCACTGGCTTAACTCGCCAAATCTGGCCCGTGGGATGCTCCTTGACGTCCACGTTCTATCACTGAGTCCTTAATATCAACGGCGAGAGACCTCGCTGCTTACGCAAAAGAGTCTCAGAAGCAGCCCTCCCCCATCATTGGATCTTCCAGGTCGAGTCTCGCTGTCTGCCGGTTTGGTCGTGCATTCTTGACGGCCTTAGTGTCACTTCATCAAACTTCTTCATTCTCCCAGTCTGCTTCGCCGAACATGGGGCCCTTCCTAGTTCCGCCGCTCACCTCTAACTTCTCAAGAAACTCCGGTGGCACTGTGGGGATATACTTGCGCTCTCGCTCACGGTTAACTCCACCAAGTCCAGCGCCGTAAGTTACAAGCATGTCAGTTACCGACGGCAGCACGAAAGGCAACATCAGGGCGGGATCCAGCAGCAGATGCTCTGGCATGTCATCATCTTCGTCCCAGTCATCCTCTGGAGGACTGGCAGTACTTCCAGGAGTGGCGAGATTGTTCCCGTTTGACCGGCCCTTTACCGGTGTCACTGGCGTGCTGTCCTGGCCTGACTTTTGTGGTGAAGGTACACCACTCCGCCGTCTCTCCCGCTTGAGTGCCGCCTCTTTCTGTAGATTGATCAAGTATTTCATAGCACTTTTTGGCAATCCCTTTTCGCCCACTTCTGGCCTGTAGTGGTTGGCTGAGTGGATGAGTTGCTGGGGGCTCAGTCTCTTGAGCTGTTGTAGTGTGATAACCAGAGCCTCCATATCATCTCCATTAAGTGACGAGAAGCACTGTAGCCATTGGAGCAGCTGAATTACGGGTGCCAGATGTCTTCGAGCAGCGTCCATTGTTGACTCCCCTGAAGAGCGCATTTCACCTCCTTCAAAGTGCTCTGCCTGTCTATTATTCGTCCGAGCCCAATCTTCTAGGATGGAGATATTCATGCGGATCTGCATGGCCTTTGTTCTGGCCAAGTACTTTCGATTTGACATAATGCGGTTGAAGAGCTCTGCTCCAATCCAGTAAATAAGCTGGGAAATGATTTGCGCAGTAATCACGGAGTGGATATCGTAAAGGTCGAGTACAAATAGAGTAGAGGAGAGAAGTGAGGTGACGTTTCGGGGTGCTGGCTTTGCTCGCTGCTTCGGTGATGGTGGTCTGAATCGCTTTTCTGGTGGCTCCTCTTTGACTTCTTTCTTTCGCTTGAAGAGCTTCCACTCATTTTGGAAAGTGATATCCTCGAATCCGGGAATAGTCTCGTGTTCCAGCATGGCTACGTCCAAGACCTTGTCCAGACGTCGCTCAGCATCTCGCACAATAAGAATAAAGATCTCATTTATCAATTCAGCCAGCTGCGCCTGGAACTCACCCGTTGCCTCGAAAAGCCCAGGGTCTTTCTTCAGGTAGTGAAGCAGTAGGGTGGCGTTTGAGATCCAAAAGGCTAGAATAGTCATGTCCCACTGACACCTCTCAACAACGTCATTGATGTAATCCATAGCTGACACCAAGAGTCGCTCCAGAAGTTCGGGGCTTGAGTGGTAATGCGCATATCGTGCGCTGAGGAATATCATGTTGGCTGGCACGGGTTTCTGTGTCGGTGATCTTTGCGGCGTCATATTGGTAATAACGATATCAAGGATGCGTTCAAGTTCGTGTTCTTGAAAAACAAACATTTGATCATGTAAGCAGCGATTCCAGTCGAATTCTTGCTGCTCTTCCTCAAACTCATCGACAGGCTGTACTATCAGTCAGTCCAACGGCTCTTCACGACTTTGATTTGGACCCTACCTCGGGTTGGTCATCCATACCCACGTTTCCCAGGTCAACCTCGAGATCACGAGCACTCTCCATCATCAGCCTTCTTCGCATCTCATTCTCGGCCATCTCTTCCTCGAACCTATCCTGGGAGAACCCAGGTCGGTAAAAGTCATCCGTTCCGGCGCTTCCAATATTGTAGCCATTGTCGTGGAGATAGAATGACATCTCGCTGTCCGGGGGAACAAAGTCGAATGCTGTTCGTCCCGACGAGGTCTTTTGGTCGGAGGAGGCATTATTATCGAGGAGTAGTTTAGCAATACCCTTGTGTCGATTTGTCATGGCCCACATTAGAGCTGTCCATTGATTACGGTCTTGTTTGTTTACGTCGGCACCCGCATCGATCAATGCTTGGACAACAGGTTCATGGCCCTAAATGAAGGTCAGTGATGTATGTGCAAGATATGACGGCTCACCCACAAAGCAGCTAGCATAGATAAGGGGCGGTGTTCCATCCTCGTCTTCAGCGTCCAAATCAAGATAGTATTTTGCCTTCCCATTGAGAAGCTTTCGAATTCTGTCGACATCGCCGTTACTCGCAGCCATGTTGAGGGCCTTTTGTAGTTTCTCCTTCTTCTCCGCCTCGGACAGATTTTCACTATTCACGACCTCATCTTCGTTCTCGAAAGCAGGAGCTGCTTGGTGCGCTGCCTGGGCGGCCAGCATTTCCATTAATCGCGTGTCGCTGTCTTTGGGTCCTTTGGTAATGTCATCCTCGTATTCGGGGTCGTTTAGCGACAGGTTGCCGAAGTTAAGAGGCTTTGCTATAGCTGGTGTGGTGAGGAACTGGGACTGGCCTGTTACGAATGTGTCAGTGACGTGTTGGGTTATACAAGAAGCGCAAATGCAAATGCGCAGTGGCGATGCGACGAACCTTGCCAACCATCGTACATCTCGGTCTCGGTGATGAGGTGCTCGTTGGGCACATGCCTTCTGTCATCGAGAGATCTGGGTAGATCTGCAGGGAGAGTGCGAGGGTTTTCCTCAGGCTGTCCTTCGGGATTGATAGAGTCCCCTAGATCCATGATGGAGGGAGGGGCAGAGACAGATTCAGATTCGTCGCGTGGTTCATGGAATCTTGCAAGGGATGGTTTGACGATAAAGAAAAGTAATCTTGTTAGTTCTCTACTGTTTTGTGGATAAGTAGGCGTTATTGGATCGAGATATCGTTGGAGCTGAAGTTGGTTGCTTGTGTTGATGTTGTCTGAGTTGTCGTGGAGGGCAACCTACCCACTTTGTCCCTGATGAAGCCGTGGAGAAACCGTCATTCCGCTTAGGTTTTGGAGCAGCTCCGCTAAGAGATACCGCCCAACGTTAATTATCACCTCCTACAAGGACACATACTACACATGTCGTCACAGAGGTACAGCCACAGCATTACTGGATATAGTTTTGTACCCAATCCGGCATTTCATAAGGACTCTGCTTCAAATAAAGCCGATATGATCCATAGACATGGCAGCTAATGTTTGTGATGCGTGAAATAAGACGCGAATTGTTTGAGATTGATGATGTATCCACCTAATAATAAGATGACTTTTAATACATCCCAATCTTAGCTTATGCTAATTAATTTCATTTGTATTCATCACGAACGAACATATCCAAAGTTCATCCGTCAGCTACCCTAAACTGCTCGCTTGCCAAATGCCCGCAATCGCTTCACTCCACCATCAGGAATCATGATAAGCTTTACGTGAGTTACCAGGGCCTTCTTCTCTTTCTCTTCGCTCTCAAACTCATGCTCCTGATCGGGCCCCGTCTTGCTGGGGGGTACAAAGACTCTCCAGGCTGTGGCATCTGCGACAGGATCGCCATGGCCTGTCCACTCGCAACCTTCAATTGAGACCTTTTGAGGATAGTTGCCTCTAAAGTGCGCAGTGTCAACAACCCAATTCTCGATATATCCAGGGGCACCGAGCTTAATGATGGCGAAATCTGTATGGTCTTTTCCTCGTGATCGCTTTGTCTCCCAGCCATCGCCCATATCCTTTCCTCGGCCAGGGATGATAAGGTTGTCCTTGGTTCCAAAGTGTTCGTCGCTGCACGACACAGCAATGCCGCCATTTTGAGCTGCAGCAAGATCAAAGATGACTCCCTTGTCTTCAGGGAAGACGGGGACGGCGTGCCCATAGAGACGGAATCGTGCGATACCGCCATCGGGGTACATGTTGAGCCTCACATGTGTGTATGCCTTTTGGCTAGGAGTCTTGAGCTTCCAGGCAAATCGCTGAGAAGCACCACACTCTTGGATCCCGAGGATGGTCTCCCATTCTCCTCGACCTCCTCCCCATGAAACAACCTTGTCGTCATCTTGGCTGAAGACACCCTCGACGGAGATAGCAGGAGCATGGTTTCCGTTGAAGAAGGCTGTGTCGATCTCGACTCCTTCAATCGTGCCAGAGGCGACGCCCAACTTGATTATGGCGTAGTCGAATGGCTCCTGATTGTGTCGTCGAGTCTCCCAACCATCATACCAAGCACCTGTGAAGACCATCTTACCTGGCTGAGCAATCGGAGCTCTGGGGTTCAACAGGTTGGACGCCTCGCAGAACCATTGGTCAGAGTAGCCAAGGACTTTACCACCAAGACCACTGGAGATAAGATCTGTAATTGTTCAGCATTATTTCTACGGGTCAGTGTAAGTGAGCACATATAGGTTCATACCAATGCATGTTGAACGGAAAGTCTTGTTAATGTCGTCTGGACGAACCCTTGAGACCTCGACGCTGTCGAGCTTGTATTCGATTTCGTCAGCAATGGAAGTCATGATGTATGTGTTTATACAATGTAGAATGAAAGTATGCGGATCTAGAGTTCTCCAGAACTTGGGGGTTGAACAATTTTGTAGAACGGTCTTATCGCCTTATTTCCTTCGGCTGAGAACTATGATCTGTTCTATTAGTCGGAGAAGGGGAGCTCGGCTACTTCCGAACTGCCCACTGATATGGCGTTAATATTGGATCATGGCAAATGCTTCCGGGTTTTTGGCCTGATCTCTTATTGCTATTGGACGTTTCGGTACTGCAAATAATCTGATGATCCTCTTACGTACGATCCTTCACCAATTCCAGCCTTTGTTGCGATGCAGCTGCAGATAAGTCTGGGGTTTCGGCTGGCCGCCGGCCGTCTGGCCAATTGCCGTCCCATCGCCGGCTTCGGGGGAGTGGAGGATTGTATCGTTTAGCCGCCCGGCCGTTTTTCAGGGACCTTTAAAGCGACGATGGACCAACCAGAACATCGTTTGTGGCGGGTCAATTTGACGATAGTTGAAGAGCTAATCTAGTAGCATAAGCTGCTTGCTCGATCATATCGAGTAATAGATAATTACGCCGAATTTATGCATAGATCATCTGCCAATCCTTCAGTTCCGTTTCATTTCCTTCTTCCTTACCCTAGACATTGACGCGATTACTGCGCTACATGATGTATCCGTCGCTCTACCCCGCGCTATTGCAAAAGGATGACTTGTGATTGGCCAAAGCTCGATCGTCTCATTGACGTCAACGGTGATGGCAAATAGAAGCGAAACGAAAACACGAATCTGTCATTGTAAACTTCTCACTTACATACGTGATCTATCTGCATTTGTGAATCCCCTCCAAGTGCATGCGCAGTTGCTAAGCCCGGGACGTGAATAAGTGGCCATAGAGTTCGACTCGGCACCTCTTTACCTGTTATTTCGTTTGCAGATCGCATACACAAAGCTTGAGTCTCACGCTCAGAAGACAGCTCTTCCTGTTAGTTCGCTCACAATGGCGAGTGCTGCAGGTGTTCCGGAGCGATTTCCTCCAATCGAAGATTTGTCAGCCAGAGAAACTGAGCCTCTCCTTGGTCGACCTGGCGATGCTGCGCAAGAAGATGGCGTCCCCTTGATCAAGAACCTCGTTCTCGGTAAGCCTCGAATTTATACACAACCGACTTATAGCTGACTGTACATTGTATCAGGTACTGGGATAGTAGCTCAGCTAGGCGTGGTCCTGCTCACTATTCTGATCTGGGCAAGCGTCCTCTCTAAGCCTTTGATCCTCTTCTCAGCTCACCCACTCCTTCAATCTCTCGCGGTTCTCACCCTGGCTCAGTCTGTTCTAAGTCTGCAGCCGACTCATACGGCAGAGCAGAAGCGCGTCGGCCAGCGCGTACATGCCAGTCTCAACCTCGTGGCCTTCTTGATCCTTGTTGCTGGCGTGACCATCATCGAGTATAACAAGATTGCAAACAACGGTCCTCACTTTCACTCTGTCCATGGATATCTCGGTGTCATCACTTCTATCGTTCTTCTCCTCCAGTACGGTGTTGGTTTCACCATGTGGGCTACCCCAGCCCTGTATGGCGGCGTGGATAATGCCAAGGCTGTCTGGAAGTATCATCGCTGGAGTGGATATATCATCTTTGTTCTGCTCTTGACTACCGTCGTTAGTGCCGTCGAGACAGACTACAACCATAATGTACTCAAGATCAAGCTGTGGGCCGTGCTCTTGCTGGCTATTGTCACTTTGGTGGGTGTTGTGCCTCGGATTCAGAAGCAAAAGCTCGGCTTCCCAGGTCCTGGCTCGACTTGATCATCCTTGGTCTATATCGCTTGACCACTGCTGGAAACCCAATTGCATGGAATCTGTAGGTCATACTCCCATGTTCGATGAGTTCGCATACAACCTTAGAACACGGCGTCTGGTGTATGTTCTCAGTGTTTGGAACCATCCTGAAAGCTTTTGTACGGCGCCTCTGGCACAATTATGTGAGGAATTTGCTGGGAGAAGTCGCGCCTCTCGCTGCTATCAGCGAGTGAGATCTCATCACGTTTAATACTAGCTCTCTTTTTCCGCTTTTTTTTAATTAGGCATCGACGCTTAACTAATACATTCTGATCAATTTACCAGTCTCACGATGCGATATGGGAAATATAGCTTGCGACGAAATTAGCAACTGCGTGTTCTCGACTTCTGAGTTGTACCGACCTTAAAAGCTACAGTGTTGCATATTGACCATTCAAAAGACTCGTAGTCATAGATTCGCCCTTTCTTCAGTGCAAATGTACAAAATGTGCATAACCTCAATCTTTCGTATTTAATTATTGTTCGAGTGATATCATCTGTCATATTGTATTACCAGGACCTGAAGCCGAACACATCCAATGATCAGACATAATCTATCATAAAACACTCTGACGAAACATTTTTCAGACAACTTGAAGCTTCCATTTGGGCATGCTATAGATTTTATGATCTTCTCCATCCCACTTCAGGAATAGGGGGTTCTCTTTCGTAGGGGCAGAGAGAGGTTTAGGTCTCTAATCAGATACAGGAAAGAGTGAAATCTCGGGATTTAAGACGAAAACATATCCTAAATCAGTCCAGGAGTCTTGTTATATAAGACTGAAGTCTGGTGTTTTCTTCCACCCCTCAGGTCCTGTAGTGATATGTCCTCCTTCAAACAGGGAGACTTTACTTAATTGATAAAGGCCTGATGCTCTGCCGTCTTGTGGAAGTCGTCGGAGGGAGATAAACAATAATATTTTCTGTCAACGAAGGTGTTTCTGGCGCAGCAGCATAAGACAGAGAACAAATTTGTACATACTATGTAATTCTGATATACCCCTTGGTGATGAATTTCATGAGTAGTCATTGCTATCATTATGTGCTGGGGAGGCTGCGCAATAACAGAAGAGGCGATACAAAGCTCAGGTATACCCAGTTATTGCAGCTAGACATTAGAGAATCCCAAGATATACAATTGCTAGCTAAGCGACTCATCATATAAGAAACAGTAGTTTTAAGAATGCATATCGTTCTCGGGAGACTCTTAGGCCGTATCTGGCCCTTATTCTATCTGTATGTTCTATTCGAATTCCGACTAAGCCTACACATCCTCATGATTCGGACTTATGACTGTGGACTGGGCATTCCTCAAAGTGCCCAATACAAGAGATACTGGTATAAAACACACCACAGTGCGTGTTGCTAGCGAACCGAAATCTATACCCTAAATTTGGCATATATATCGGCTACCTTTATTATATGCCAGGTATGTTGCTGTAAATAGCATGCAATATGATACGATAGACAGCCAATTTCACTGCCCAAGTGCCGAGCCTCCTCCTAAGCTACCTTACTTACCTAGATCGTTAGATTCCCTTAACAACGCAACTATGACGGTGAATAATCGATAAGCTTTCTTAGTCCTGGCACAATCACCTACATGCAATTGCAGGTGCATATCTCTTTGATTGTCTCTCATAGCATTACTACATTACTATTTGCGATAAATATCAACTCCGCCGAAGCCGAAGCCGAACCGTTAAGTGCAAGGCTCAACAAAGCCAAGTGAAGCAGCTACTCAGTTACCTGCCTAGGTAAGGTAGGTATTGATAACGGGGTTAACTCCATGGAGAGATCATGCCAAAAGGCCTATTGCAAAGCTAAGGTGAAAGCGAGGCACAGTGAAGGCTGAGATCTCACGACCCACGGGCATACTTCGAATGAAGAAACCATGTCTCATCCATGCACGTATGGCAGGGTTTTTATGTTTGGGACACAAAATCTTCAAGTCATTCGATAACCCACATCCCACTAGACCCCAAGCTCAAAGTAACATGAGCAAGGATCCATTAGACAGAAAAACGGTCATGGCGTTGGTATCCGAAGGGCTGGTGAATCCAGGGTAACCAAGATAGGCCAGGATAGACATCGTGCTAGTTGAACTTCTCGAATAATCCCCGATTCAGATTGGACCAGGATCGAATGTCAACACTGGCTGATAGACTTAAAGTCCCACATCATGCCTAAAAATCCCCGCTTGGGTATGAGAAGCTATAATGGCACGGGAGATAAACAATCAATACCTATTAATGCAGTGTACCTAATGTATTGCATTTTCTGGTGTGGGAGGTCTATTTGGACAAAACTTACTCACCGACTCTCACCTACAGATCGCTTTACGACCTGTGATTACAAACTTGCACAGACAGTGGAAACTGGAAAGTGATAAGAACCCCAAGGGAGCCCTGCGATCTTTGAAGATCCAATATGGCGTTGACCAACCAGGCTCAGTTGATCAAATGCGTGGTATGTAGCACATGATTTCTGTTCCACAGTGATTACATTGTCATCGTGGTTGTCCAGCTCTCAGTCTGGGGTTTCTGCAAGTAATATCAGCTTCTTCTTGAAAAATAAAATAAAATAAAAATCAACAGATTTGCTATGGATATAACAAGAGACTAATCACCTGTTGTCTGGCAGTGGTTGTTTGTGTTGTTGATTGATCTTGTTGTTTGTTGTCCGAGGCGATAACAAAGTTACAGCAAAGCAGCGGGCAAGTAAACCCAGGTGCCTGGATCTGAAGCAGATGAAAACTTACTCAGGCTAGGGCTCGATCCTAAGCGATAAAAAAATCCAGGAAGTTAGCACAGTAATTAAGGTGACTCTTTGAAGAGTTTATTTTGACATCGTATCTCCAGGTCTGAAGTGTTCCTGTTCCCGGGGGTCTACTGGGAGCTTCTATCAGCTCCATACATCGGAGGCTAGACACGTTGTCACCAGAGACAGACATGGGCATGGCTCACCCCACAACTTGAGATTGGTTGGATCTCTTGTGGCGCGCTCTGTTTGACGTCACGGCAAAGTCTTGAACACACAGACGTCATGCGAAAACCCCTTCATCTCAAACCAGCCGCTGCTTCAGGCGCCGGTGGAAGCACAAGACACTGAGACAAGACGCATAATCCAATAAATGAGGGAACAAACGTAGGCCTGGCTACAATTGTGACCAACACAACAGAAGCTGAGCTTGCTGTGGAACAATGGTACAGCCTTTTGTGTAAGGAAGAGGAATACTGCCACTATTGTCACATCTCAGATTTCAGATAAGCCCACTACTTTGCGAGGTCCTGATCGAGGCACACAAAGTGCATAAATAACCGAAGGAAGAAAACCTGTCCAAATGCCAGTCGACCTGACCTCGATGAGGGATGGTACCTTTCGTTCGCGTTAAGTGCTACGTAGTGGGGAAGCTTGTTTCCTTTCAACACGGTGGAGGAGCTGATACTTCGCAGCTAGGTTTTTTGAGATGTTTCTATAGGAAAATCTGGCATTTGACAGTTTTGTCCCCATAAACCACATTTCTCTGGAAAGATTGCTAGGGAGGTCGGCTCTTGGGTACAACAGACATACAAACTGTTGGTAATTTTCAGTAGTCCGGTATGTTCATAAAAATATCCCGGTACATAATGGAGTTCATCAAGTCCTCCGTGGCTGCGTTCTCCTGCATGTCCGGCTATATTCTGTCAACCCACAGGCCCCCGTGGGAGGCCAGCTAGGCCAGGTCCTAATATGGGAACATTGAAATTGGAATTGAGGGCTGACCCCAGAAAGGCCTCCCCACTGCTGAAGGGTGTCTGTGACCAAAAAGCACCATTCGAGAGTCTAATTTGCATTGTGATTGAGTTGTCGGTAAAAACGAGGCTAGAATGAATTCATTCTGTCCATGGGACGAGCCAAATTTCCTGGGGAGTTTCCTGGAGAAAACGCAAAAAAAGAGAGAGCCAATTATCGAATTCGGTGAAGCGAGTTGTTTCCACGAATGATAACATAACGGGTAGTAGATAGGCAGCAAAAAGACATGAAATCCATGATGATGTCAACTGGACGTCGAGTGTGATCGAGTTAATTCGCTTGGCAGCGTTGGGCGAATAGGAGAGACAGAAGAAGTCAGTGGAATCATGAGGGCTGGAGGAAATCATTGGTTTGGCTGGTTTTGTAACTGGTTCGCCTAGAGAGACTCATGGTGGTTTGTTCTGAGGAATACCTAGGCGGCTTGCGTCGTATCAGAGAAGGTATCAACAGACGACTGTTAGCAGTCTGCTCGTCGAGACGCCTCGTCTTTTTGTTGACGGAGTAAATAGCATAGAGAGCCTCATCCTGAACACGATCGAAAGTCCTTGTCCCTGTCTCTGTGGCTCCTGTCAAAATGCCTAACAGAGACAATTTAACTGAAGATCGCCAATCTAGAGCGAGAATGAGAGGGTCCATTGGGAAAGGCCACCATGACCGATGATAGGTCACAGTGGTGGCTCGAGCGCTGCTTCGATCTGTGACGAAGAAGCATGAAGAATAACATTGGAAGACTTGACAGGATGGATGACTACCAAATTGGTCGCATGAATGAACAGCGCCTTGATCGCAAAACGAAGCAAATTTTTTTTAGAGTCTGCCTCCAATAAATACCCGTTAGCAAGCGGGGTGCTGCTGTGAAGGTTTCTTAGATTCTTATGAACAAGGGGACATTTCACGAACCCAGATTCTGGGTTCGCGACAGCCACTACAGCGCGCTTGATCAACGCTGGCGTATTGTTTGCCCTGGAAAAGGGTGCGTACCTACAGCAATGCTGGCAGCCATTGGATACAGGCAGTAGGGCAACAATGGACGTGGTTGTCGCTGGAAGTAAAGCTCCCCTCACCAGTGGAAGTTACCTTGCCGCTAGAAGCTTTGTCAGGGCTGTAAGTGGTCATCGGCTGGGGCTGATGCTTGGCTGGCTACCAGGGATACCAGCGGACGATGACGATGATGATGCACCAGCCGCCAGCACCCACTTTTGCAGCCATTGGTCGGTCTCCTTGGCCTTCATTGTAATCTGCGCTCAGGAGCATCATGAGCACCGACCAGCCAATCCCCTGAATGCATGTATGGATATTGATGCGCTGCTGGTACCGCTGATTATTATTAGTAACGTCATCACTGCTCGAGTCTGTTCATGTAATGCAAATGCAATGTGATTAGGATGGAAAGTGACAAGGCAAGATGGTCTAGTGTGAAGCGATTCATGGCCGTGAATATTGTGTGCGAATAGAAAAGAGAAGAGTTCCTTCTAGCCCTCTTTTCTAATGCCATTTACTCTGGGGCTGAGATTTCCATTCGGTACGTACCTACCTGCTGGCTACGTAGGTGACCAGGTAGGTGCTACCTACAGATTTGCTTCTTTCCCTGAGGGTCGCTTTCTCTACGTCATCGTGTGCAGGGTTGGCATTACTTACCCCCGTTTTGCTCGCCAGCATCGTGGACTAGTCAAGTACCAGACAAGTAGTATGTCCGACCATTGTATGCTAATTGGTACAACGGAGCCGCTGTACGCTACTTTGATGTACCTGAGTCAAATGCAAGCCAGAAGCCAACTTCGCCCACCTTGAAATCGGTTCTTCAAAGTGCCCGTTTGAGGAGTCTCCAGTCTCTCACTAACCAGGCCAGGCCAGTTCAGTCCACCTCTCTCTACCACCGCTACCACCGCTACCTTTTGAGTCTCCGCACCAAGACAGTCTGAGAGACACTACAATTCACTGCGAAGGACCGGTGTGTGGTCGAACCCCCAATTTTCCGCTCTCAAACCTCCTGCCTTGCGTTCCGGCCGCTCGTTGCCCCATTGTTGGAACATCCTCTTACGGCCCTCACACTCGGATCCTGGGCCATCCTATCCTGACCTCCCTACGGATCAATAAACACACCTCGGTCGTTGATCAACCGGTGCTAGGTTCTTAGAGACTATCGCTGCTGCTACTGTGCTGCCACTGTTGGCTTCGGGGTTAGAGGGAACAAAGCGTCGACTTCTATCCCCCCTCCTCCACCACTACCTTAGTTTGACATATCCTTAAATCGCGAATTGTCCTCAACACTACTCTTCCTGCCGGCGAGAAGGATTCAGCAGTTGGTCTTTGGACGACTTATTTTCCTGTGAGGCATGCAAAGAGCCACCTCGCCGGTTGGCGACGACATATTATCGATCCCCTCACCATCGCGTCAACAAGACTTGACGACTCTCGCCTCTTCGACACCTATATTGCCGCCGTTTTCGCTGGCTGAGAAGCTGCCCGTGAGCGCTATTAGAAATGGATGTGTGATGCCGGAATCGATTTCGAACTCGACTATAAATGCGACTGCGACACCAACCGCGCGTGACGCAATGACGACGGATCGCCACCCGAGCCACCCTCCATCCTCGCCCCTTGATGCTCAATCTAAAGAGCCCCGCGTCCACAACAACATGATAGGAGATCCTACCGATGAGAGCACTGTTTCTGTGATCAAGGGCTCGGGTAACACTGCCCAGCCATTGGCTGCCCTTGCTGGAACAGATGCATTGAGTCCTCGGCGTGTAGGTTTCGGTGATGCTCCTTCTCCCACCCAAGCGTCATCACAGAAGCAACTTAACGAATATCGAGAAAAGCTTGCACGCGACCTTGAACGCCGCGAAATGTCTGCTCGAGGCCTGATGGCAAGCCCCAATGAAAAGAACCGGGTTTCTCCTATCCCTGAAGAGAGCCTTTCCAGTGCACCGCTTCAGACTTCAGCTCTGACAACGACCTCAACTGAGTCGAATGCTACAGTCCGAGGCGCTCCCACCCCAGGGCCCATCGCAGGAACACCGTCATATCCATTTCCACGAATGGCCCCTGCTGGTTTCGTGCCGTCATATCTGCATAGACCTTTTACCACACTCTCGCCTACAGGTGCTCCACGATCTTTCAGCTATGGTTCTTTTGACGCCTTGGGCATGGCTGCCCAGGATAAGGTCCTCTCAAGTACTTCGACTCCAGCATCCAACTTCACATTTAACCCGTCCGCAATGTCACCACAGCCTGAGAATCTCGATTTTCCCAATCCTAACCTCTATGATCTTTCTTTAATGCTAGCTGCCGAGCCTGGACTAGATGCTTGGTGGTCGAATGTTGTTCAAATTATGAGAGATGTGTACAAAGCTGAGCGAGTAACACTTGCTATTCCAGCTGACACAACAGACATCGAAAATGTTCCTTGGGGCCAAAAAGCAACCTTCAATCTTCACAAGGAGGACGATCTTAGTTTGGGTTATATGGCTGCCAAACAGTCTAGTAGCATCGTCTTGAGCACAAGCGGCTACGATAGATCCTGGCCTGGTTCTAATGCTACGCCATCGATTTCTGACGATAATCTGCATGCCAAGTCTGCCTCCCGGCCAGACTTATTTAGTCGCCATTCATTTACGACTTATGAGGATAAGAGGGAGAGAACACGAACTCCGCCTAATGCACAGGCTCGGCGGCCCGCATTTCTTGCCAGGAGCCAAAGTAATTATCCCGCAGGTCCTGCCTCGAAAGAGTCCTATGTCGATTATGCCAAACTGAATAAGACGACACTTGACGAACACGATGCCATTGAGCAACAAATTCCAAGTTGGGAAGCGCCGCTCATGGGTGAAAAGGAAAGCCAGGGGCGTGTTCTACCGGTATTACAGGCTCTTGATTATGAGGCGGATCCTTTGATTGACCACAGTGGTATCATGCGAGTACTCGAACGCGGAAGAGCCATTGCACTTACTAGATCATATCCATATCTTGCTGATGAAGCCCCGGCTGAGTCGTCGAAGAAACCAAAACCTGCCGCCCCAGAACCTTCGAACGCCCCAAGAAATTTTGCCAAACCACGCTCGGACTCATTCTCGAAATTATCATCGATGTTCAACTCAGCTAGTTCTTCTCGTGTACCGACTCGAAGCAAAACTCACTCAGCTGCCGACAGAGCGAAATCAATAGCCTCACGCTTAGAGGGCCGCTTGGAAGACGATATGCCTAGGCCTCCGACGCCTAAGTACGAAGAGTTTGAACAAGCGCCACCTTCACCTTGGTCACAATCGCCAGCTCCATCACCAGCTGTACGCGCTGATCCTAAAGAAAATCCCTTTTTCACAGATGCCATGGTCGACGAAGATTCATTCAATCCAGATACTGGCACAGAGGATTACACTGGAATGCGACCGCCCGAAGCTATCGGTGTTGACAACTCATGGACGGTTCTTCACATTCCCCTCTCTCACGTCCTTCTCTCGAAACCCACTCGAACTTTCAAACTAGACAGCACTTTGATGGAGCAAAGATCTCACGCGCGCACCAAAAGCGAGGGTGTTCCTGCTCCTAGCGATGAAGGTGGCCGTAACACACCAGACAGTCTCAAGAGAGACAAGCCAGCACCGATCGCTATTTTATCAATTTTAAGCCCAATCATCCCTTATCCATCTAATCTCAAACATTCCCTGGAACATTTGGCACCTCATATGGCCACAACTTTCTCGTTATGCCGGCACTATAGTAATCTTGAGACTGAGTTGGCAGGGCTTCAACGGAAACGACCGCAGACGGCTGGATTCGGGGCGGTTGCACACGATGGGCGGCCCTTGGAGAGCATGGCTTATCTGACTGCGGATGACATTGTTCCCCACCAGTCCCTCGCTGGTAGTATGACGAGTCCGAGCGATTACTCTGGTGTTTCTAAAAGTGCTACCGGATCTCCATTGGGCACTCCTGGGTGGGACCAGGGATCTGGAGGCTTTCATGCCGACAAGCGACCACCGCCGACCTCGAGTCCTGCTGCAACACCTCAGGGAGAGGGATACTTCAGTTCCAGGCAAAGACCAGTACCCGCACGACACGAAACATTTGGCGGCATAGGTACCCCACGGGCAAGAACAAGTTCAAAAGACACTTCTCCTACTGAGAAGCGAAGTATCCGAGTCAGCGGTTCTTTTCTTACACAAGAGAGTCCTGAGCAAAACTTGGTTGCCGATAATAAAGCGACCCGTACTTCTTCTGACGAATCGACTGGCGGATTGGCCAAAAAGTCGACTCAGGTTGATGCTCCAGATGTCAGTATAGATACTCTGGATCCTACCAACAATGACAATACAGCTGAAGATTTGGCTGACTCTACCAAGGCCGGACGTGGCACTCGACAAGGGCACAGCATGCTTCATTCATATGGTGCAGATTTTGCTTCCACTTTCCAATCTCTTCCGCCTAGCTCTACACTCTCAGCCAGACCGACACCTGTTTCTGCACCTTCTCGGAGTGGCTCATTGACTACTACAGCTGTTGATATGCCACCGCCTTCAGACAGACTCAAGGGACTAATTTTAGATTCCCTACCCGCGCATGTATTCGTCGCACTTCCGCAAACCGGAGAAATTGTCTGGGTCAACAGCCGTTATCTTTCATATCGAGGCCAGACAGCCACCGACCTTGCCGCAGACCCATGGGGTAGTCTTCACCCTGATGATCGAGACGACTACTTAAAAGCATGGGGCCATTCTATTCGCACGGGCGAGCAATTTTCGAGGACTGTTCGAATTAAACGATTCGACGGCGCATATCGGTGGTTTTATGCTAGAGCGGTTGCGTCAAAGGATAAGAGAGGGGTTATCATGCAATTTCTTGGATCGTACATGGATATCCACGACCAGCACATTGCTGAGCTAAAAGCGGCGCGACAAGAGGAAATTGAGGCATCAGAGGCTAAACACCGATTACTTGCCAACCTCATCCCTCAGATCATCTTCACAGCGACCGAAGACGAAGGAATCACTTTTGCCAATGAACAGTGGCTCTCGTATACAGGACAAAGCTTCTCTGACTCACTTGGATTGGGTTTCATGGACTTTGTACATCCGGACGATCTTGCTAAATGCCGTATTCCCTCTACCCAACCTTCAACACCCGGCGGAATAAGACGTGAAGGTCATAGCAAGATATACCGGCAGGGATCTGCACAGTCTGAGGCGGCGTCAACTACCACTATTCAACCTCCCAGATCGCGTACACCTCAAGACTCGCCTCTCCGTAATGTGCAGCAAGCCCTGTCCCGAAATAACAGCTCTAGCAGCAGTTCAGCGTACGAATGGCCTGCTGCAGACTTGACTGAACTGGCTCGAAAGGGAATAATCAAAGTGGCGACTGATAGCGCTGGCCGAGTCTCATACACAACTGAGGTTCGATTACTGTCCAAGACTGGAGAATACCGCTGGCATCTGATTCGATGTGTCGAAATTGACACTATCGATTTTGGCAGTGGTGCTAGCTCCTACTTCGGATCTGCGACAGACATCAACGACCACAAGCTTCTTGAGACCAAGCTCAAAGAGGCCATGGAAACCAAGGGAAGATTCCTGAGCAACATGTCCCACGAGATTCGTACTCCTTTGATCGGAATTTCAGGCATGGTAAGTTTCTTGCAGGATACTACTCTGAATGAAGAGCAGCTCGACTACACCAACACCATACAGACCAGTGCCAACAGCTTGATCATGATCATCAATGACATTCTGGATCTATCTAAGGTCGACGCTGGCATGATGAAACTAAAGTACGAATGGTTCCATACCAGGTCCATCATCGAAGACGTGAACGAGCTTGTTTCGACAATGGCCATTGCGAAACGACTGGAGTTGAACTATCTCGTGGAGGCCGATGTACCTGCATGGGTCAAGGGCGACAAGGTGCGAATTCGCCAAGTTCTCCTCAATGTCACTGGCAATGCCATCAAATTCACTTCAGAGGGCGAAGTCTTCAGTCGGTGCCGTGTATACGTCGCGGAGGGTTCCCATGTCGACGAGAATGAGATCATGCTGGAGTTTTCTGTTACTGATACAGGTCGCGGATTCTCGAAGGAGGAGGCGGAATTGATCTTCAAACCTTTCAGTCAAATCGATGGAAGTAGCACCCGACAACACGGTGGGAGTGGACTGGGCCTCGTCATTTCTCGACAACTTGCTGAGCTACATGGCGGTAGCATGACGGGACGCGCAACGCTGGGCAAAGGCTCTACCTTTACCTTCACAGCGCGGTTTGGCCTCCCTACAGCTGATGATCACCCTAACCTGCCTGATAGCCCTCCTGCTACCGGTGCTTTCACGCCTAGGCCGGAGATGGTTGATAATGTTCCCAGCACTATCAAGCCTCTCCCTCCGCCAAAACATTTACGAAACGCCGAGGGCGCTAGCCCTGGAGGTACAACATCAGAGTTTACGTCGCCTGGAGGCCTTTCTGTTGGTAGCTCCAACCCGTCTGTCCGTTCAGCTAAGTCGCAAGTCACCGACCGATCTTCAGCAACATCTGTCACCGGTGGTCTGGCCCGATTTAGCGAGGCGGCTAAAGCTAGTGGGCAAGATTTGTCTCAGATGAAGTTGGAGATGCCCTCAGGGCGCAGCTCTCCTGGTACCCATCTCTTACCTGGCAGTGGCTCACCTGAGGACTTCCGACCACCCATGTACTCAATCCTCATCATTTGCCCGCAGTTCCATAGTCGCGAGGCCACTACTCAGCATATTGAGATGACTCTGCCGAAGGATGTACCCCATCAGATCACAGCCTTGGCAAGCGTGAATGAGGCACAAACATTAATTGGTGGCGAGGACCCTATCAAGTTCACACATATAGTCATCAACCTTCCCTCTGCTGAGGCCATCATTGGTCTTATGGATGACATTACGAAATCACAGACAATCGATAAGACGACCATTCTTGTGTTGTCAGATTCGGTGCAACGACAAGCTGTCATCAAGTTGGCGGCCAACACTAAATATGAGCAGCTCCTTTCAGATAACATGGTGACTTTTATCTACAAGCCTGTGAAGCCGTCTCGATTTGCTGTCATATTCGACCCAAACAAGATGCGTGATCTTAGCATAGATCGTAATCGCTCTACGGCGCAGCAAATGGTCGAGAATCAGAAGGCTAGCTACCAGGAGATTGAACGGCGCATGGGCAACAAGGGCTACAAGGTGCTCCTGGTCGAGGACAATCCTGTCAATCAGAAGGTTCTCATGAAGTACCTCAAGAAGATTGGGGTTGATGTCGAGATTGCCGTTGATGGCGCAGAGTGCACCAACATGGTTTTGTCAAAGCCACATAAGCACTACTCGTTGATTTTGGTATGTTGCTCTACACCACACTCTCCAGTCTCCAGTGAGGATTTTAATAACTGACACATACTTCTTAGTGTGATCTACATATGCCACGAAAAGACGGCTACCAGGCGTGCCGTGAGATTCGACAGTGGGAAGTTGCCAACAATTTCCCCCAGATGCCTATCATCGCCTTGTCAGCCAACGTCATGTCAGACGTTCAGGATAAATGTGTCGCAGCGGGATTCAGCGACTACGTCACGAAGCCAGTCGACTTCATCGACCTCAGCAGAGCTATGTCCAAGTTCTTCTGATCACAACACTCTTGCCACTCTCTTCCTCTCAAGCAATGCTGGCGCACAGTCACCCCTCTGCCTCTTCTTCTTTTTGAACCTTTTACATTCGACGACTGTTCACGATTTCCCTCCTCCGTTCATAATGATACTTATGGCAGCTTCTATTTTAGACCGGACAGATCTATGTAGGGCCACCTTGGTCTTCTGCTGCCAAAGCTAAGCCTTGTCGCAGCTCAGTGGGGCTGACATAGGTCGAGGCACCTGGCAAATGACCTTATTTCTATTGGCATAGTTTACTTCAGGGCTATATGACTTTTTATACCAACAACAATTTTCCTGCCTCGGTCAGGGAAATTGTCTTCTGCATGTTGCTGGACGTTACCTATCGCATTGGCGCAGGGTTTATAATGGGTACTGGCGATCTTTCAGGCGCCTGTTGTCTGTTTCGTTTCACTTTTCACTCACCTGGGTTGAATGACCTGAGGGGGTTTCGGGAGGGCTCGAAGACTGGATATGGCGTCAAGGAGTTTTGTTTGCATTGTTCATGTCTTGCTACCACGGCCTCATTGAATGATTCATTTTGCCATATGTGGGTTAAATGCACGATAGCCAAGAGCGGCAGGTACAATGAGGATATACATTTTTGTTCTTTTTCGGTAATGTTTTTGGCGAAGAATATGGGTTATGCATGAAAAGTGGACGAGCAGGATAGGTTGAATCTATTCAACATTGTTCGATATTCATTTATACTTAGATAGAGGGACGCCGCGGGAAAGAGGTGGCGGCGGGGGGCATTTCCAACACGGTGTTATACAATACTCATGACGAGGCAAAAAATAAAGAAATCAATCTAAATTATAACCATTTCAAGAACAATTCTGCGTGACTAGAACATCTGAAAATAGAGGAACAAACATGTTATTTTGTGATGTTATGCTAACACAAACGTTATCATAGCCCCCAAATAGCTCAATCTCAAAACCATGCCAGCATAGTTGGTCATTCTATCCATTGCTTTTCCGTAATCCGTTCCAAAATCATTCGTCATTAGAATAAAGATATGAAAATCATCAAAACAATTTGCCTCGCCTTGGCGGGCTGGTATCCGCTGTTCCCATGAAATTCAAGTCATAAGAGAGTGAGAATGCACCCATCCAAGTAAGAATATGATCAGTACACACTACCCCGAATACTTCGATCCTCCTTCTCAGCGCGATCCAAATCCTCAACAAGTTCAGCGTCACCGTCACAAGAGGCATCAGTAGATGCATCACCAAGACGGTTAGTCCGTGCATATTCATCCGGGCTATCCTTATCGCTCGTGTATGCTAGATGTTCGGGTCCTGCTTTGAGGAGGGGTTTTTGATTGTATGAAGGCTTCTCGCTTCTTTCGCCAACGGTCCTGTTTAGTTGCGCGTTCAAGGAGGCAATGCGGTGTAAGCTTATGTTCTCATCCTCTGACGAGTCGTTGTCAGTCTCGGCGGCAGATGTGTGACCAGAATAGCTGCCGCCCCCATCGCGGCCAATATGTAAGTATGGCGACTGGATATACTCGCTGGCAGAGATAACTGAGGGGGTATCGTTGAGGTCAGAAACGGATTTGCCTTCATGGTTTGATGAAATGTCGATCTCCGGTCCATCTTCATCATGAGCTCCCAAGGTGGCGCTCTCACTATTGGTACCAATGCAGTCTAATTGAGCCTTCTGCTTCCGGCTGACGATGGTAATGATCTCGTCTGTGTTTGTAATTTTGCCGTAAGGCTCTGGCCCGCCGTTCTCATGATCCTTTTTGCGCATGATCTCCAAATCCTCACGCTTAGCATAGTGGCGACTATGGTCACAGCCATTGGGACATCCACCCCATCGGCGTGTAACAACAAAAGTTTTGGTGCGTGGGAGTTTCGAGCTGTCCTTGTCCTTGTCCTTGTCCTCTTTGTCTTTGCGTTCTCGCCGCAAATCGGACCAAGTTCGTAACTTGTTCTCTAGAAGGTACTTATTGTTTTCCTGCTTGCGCATGATGAGGAACTCGCAGTGGTTGATGTTTCGGAGATCTTCAAAGTACTCGACAGTGAAATGATACCATTTCATGAGAAAGACACGGGACATGAGTCCGTGGGTCACTAACAAATGTACTGTTAGTAAAGACGCAAAGCTGGTTGGTGAAATACGTACCCAGTACACAGACGCTGGGGAAATCATCTTCACCAAATTGTCGCCAGAGGCTCTCGTTGAATCCGCTCACACGATCGTAAGCATCGGCAGCGCTCTCTCCATTAGGTATACGGTAGAAGAAGTGGCCATAATCGGCCCTCTCTTGCCACATACGTTCCATTTCAGCGCTGCATGGTTGGAAGTTACCAAAATCCTGCTCACGTAGCCGAGGCTCTTCGTACACCTTGATGTTAGCTCGGCGGAAGGGCGACGGGGAGCCTTCGTCCGAGGTCAGGCTCTCGAGAATTCCTTCTGTTGTTTCACGTGTGCGGCGGTATGGAGAGGTAAAGAACTGTAAGGTGTCGTCGGGACGGAGGAGGCTTCGGAGACGACGTCCGGCATCGTGGGCTTGGTTCCAGCCTTCTGGCGTAAGTTTGACTCGGTGATCGGGAACGGTCTGATGAATTTCGCGGTTCTCTTTATAATTGTCAGCATGTGTTGAATAATGAGGGACGAAAAAGCCAGAGCATTAACGTACTATTGCCTTCGGACTGGCCGTGGCGAACTAGAATGATCAAGCGTGGCTTGGTCATGATGCTTTGGGTATGTGATATAGAGGGGTAGTCTTTAAGTGATTGAGCGTGTCTCTGATAACTCAAAGGATGAGTTTGATATTTTGGGGTCCTGGGCGTATTCACAATAGTTGTATAAGTTGAATGGAGGTTTTCAAGTTGTGAGACAGGTTGGGTTAAGACGGGATAGAATATGGCGGAGTAGGGGATAGATAGTTTTGCAATTGGTCAGCCAAAGCATAGGCAGGAGTCACCAATTATGAATACTAGGAGAGAAGAGGATGGAAGTTTAGGAGAAAGAGCAGGAGCTAAGCGTCATAAAAAAAACAAACGAAGAAAAGCTAAAGGAAGATGAAGCGTGGAACGCAACGTCTTTTTTTAGTGAGGCTTGTCTAATCCCGTAGTCGTTGGCTCAAGCTCACGAGACATCCTGGCCTGAAGCATCCATCAGAGTGAGGGCAAGTGCAAGCCCATGCCATGCCATGCAACCATGTTTCCGAAAAAAAACGCCCCGCCAAAATTGCCGGGATAACCCCCCACCACCTCAGCCCAGCTGGAGGAAGGAAGGAAGGAAGGAAGTGTGCACCTAGGTAGGTATCTACCTAGGGACTATGTATCGTGCACCTTGAACCTTCCATCCGAGCGGAGAGGTGGCGCCGGGAAATGGGAGGAGATTCCAAGGGTGCTGTACTTTCGAGGTAGGTACCAGCACCCTCGTTTGGGGGCCGGAGCCGCCCCGCCATCTGTCGACCGAAGCAGAAGAAACAGCTTCTCAGTCGTCAACGGTCAAGCCTCCAAGCACACAATGATTGACCAATGACAATGGAGGCCATATTCAAGCTGGTTATCACACAGAGACAGAAACAGCCCATAAGAGTTCTTGGAAGATGGACTAGTCTCAACCAAATCTTTCCGAATCCCTGCTAATATTACGAATGAAGCAAAGGCACCAAGGGGCAGCTCCCCTCCCCATGGCACGATCTGGAGGAGGGGCCCGCAAACGGTTCTTGCTACCTAATCATGATTAAAGCGAAAAGCGTGCTGGGACAATCTGGCGATACAAGTCCGAAGACTGATACGATTCGGTGTTTGACGTGTTTGTGACCTTGAGTTGTTCCGCCCGCGGACGGACATCGCATGGCGGCGGACAATATCCGCTGATATCAAATCATATGATTTACCATTCCCGTCCCCTTGGAACTGACTTGGTCCTTTTCTGCTCTCCCTTGTCAAAGATACTGAGAATCTGGCAATCTGGTGTTGGTTAGCCAATCCTGGAGATCTGCAGAGCCAGATTGAGTAATCCCGGCCGCTGTAGCAGACAGTTTGAGTCACGACGGCACCCAAAGTTCATGTTCATGTCTCTCCCATGCATGCATTTCGTTTTGTTCCTTTTCCATTTTCTTGTTTTCTTTCGGCCCTCCCGTGGTCATGATCATATTAATCTCGTGGTGTTTATTTATGTTGCGCCGGCTAATTACCATCTATCGGATCTAGACGGCCCCTTGCTTGTCTTGGACCATCTGGATTCAATCTCATCACCTGAAGAATGACGGCTACAGCGGAGCATGGTGAGGTGATGTGATCTGCAACGGGAAGCGCCCAGCCGCCGATTGCAACATCGTCTCTGGATAAAGTCATTCAGAGACGATCTGCTACTAACTCTGAACAGTAGCTTTTGTCTTGCATTTTCCCCTTCTGCTCCCGCCTGCAGTACTTATGCATTCTGCAGCGACAATAGTTGCCTTTCCTGATTGCAATCAATCACATGTTCATCACGCAGAGTCTCTTTGTGGCTTGCTGACGCGGCTTGGAACTTTTTTGTGCCTGAGATGTCAATTCAACTGCCGCGCGCTTATCAGGCGACCCTCAGACACACCCATTCCGGTGCGATCAACTTTTTTCCCCCAGCGGTTGCTTAGGCTAATTCTTGGTAACCTTGTACCCAAATCAACGCCACTCTCATCAGATCCTGGCTAACATCCACTTCGATTTATCCTACCCATCAACACAACCGACACAACCATCTAGCATCTGCCGGCCATTGCTCTCTTCACGTGCCAACCATCTGACCGCTCCCTTTCAGATGGTTTCTTGTCTCAATCAATCAATCATTCAACGGACTTCAATTCACCCGACGATCCTCTGCCTATTCAGGCTATCTACCGCGCCCGTCGACATCTCATTCTCACGCGTGCCTCAGCCCATTTTCATCTTACCTGAGATCAGGCATCGGATAACCAACATTTCTTTGACTCATTCTTTTTACCTCTTTTCTCCAAAATGTCTGCTCCTGGTCCTGAATCGGTACCAACGTCGGCCGATCCCCGATCCCATCGCCCTACCAAGAAGCGCGCTCTTACGCCCGTCTCAGCGCAAGCCGCCTCGGTAGAGGCCCTCTTCTCAAAGCCCGACCAAATCATCCGTATCCCCGAGTCCTCTACCTCCGGCTCCGGCAGTTCTGCCTTGCGTTCCGCCCCTCCGGAAATTGTCACCAACGTTCAAGGATCTAGTGCAGGTGCCGGTTCAGGCGAGTTTCATGTGTATAAGGCGAGCCGTCGGCGCGAGTATGAGCGTCTGCGCAGTATGGATGAGGATCTTCGCCGCGAAAAGGACATCGAGGAGTTTAACAAGGACAAGACTGAACGCGATCGCAAAGACGAAGAACGCACGCGCAAGAATCGCGAAAAGAGGGAGAAGATGAAGGCCCGCAAGTCTAAGAAGGGCAAGGGCCCTGCCACCACTGACAAAACGCCCAACGCGACACAGTCCAAAGATGACTCCTCACTCGCGGAGAACGATGCTGAGAAGGACACTGCTGATGTTGATTCTAAGACCAAGACCGAGCATGGTAAGGATGATACAGAATCAACGCCATCGATGCAACCTGCAGGACTAGTCATTCACGACGAAGACGACTAAACAAAAAGGAATACAAAAGGCCAGCAGCCCAAGAAGTCGTGCCCAGTTGCACCGAAATGTCAGGGGCGAGAAGGACGCTTTATCGGAAGCAGACTTTAGACCTAGATTACAGGAGGAGGATGGCTCGCAAGGGCATCGTAAGTAGACGCAACAGTATTCATCGACCAGGTAATTTTATATGATACCCATTTCTTTCCTTTTGAGAAGAGTCACCGGAGCTATATCATGCTCGCTCCGGCGCCCATTGTGTTCATATTTTCCTTGTTTGTCTATTTTGCTCTTTCGGCTAGTACAGAGGGGTATGACCAGTCCATCCAAACAGACATTCGTATAAGCAGTCCGAATTACACGCCTGCCTATCCTACTATCGCTCACTCACACACAGACACATCAGAATTGTCATCTACAAACATGCGCTTTCTCTTTATTCTTCACCACCCCCGCCGCCACCAATCTGCGCAGCCTTCTTAGCACTGCAAATGTCATCAACTCGGAGCAAAAGGCAAGCAGCCTGTTCAGATCGTCAGTATCCTCTTCTGTAGTTGTAAATGACAGGGAATGTCGTGAAATGCTTACCTCAATGGCGGTCTTGATACTCTGGAGCTTGATAGCCTGAGGCTCCCACACTCCGTACTCTTTCATATCTGCGATGGCACCTGTGTCACCGTTGACACCCCAGGTGCTCTTACCCTCGGCCTGCTTGGCTCGGAGATCTGTCAACACACGGACAGGGCTCTTGCCAGCGTTCTGGACGAGAGTTCGAGGAATAACCTCAAGAGCATCTGCTACAGCCTTGTAGGGCCACTGCTGGACACCCTCAATACTCTTGGCGAGTTGACCCAACCTCACGGATACGGCCATCTCTGTAGCACCACCGCCAGGCGATAACCGAGGAGAGAACATAACATTTCGTGCGACACCCATGGCATCCTGGAGGTTTCGCTCGATCTCGTTGAGGACATCCTTGGAGGGACCTCGGAGAAGGACTGTGCAGGCCTTAGGGTCTTGGCACTTGGTAAGGAATGTGAAGTACTCGTCTCCGATCTTCTCAATCTCGAACAAGCCACATCGGGTACCGACATCGGAGTCCTGGAGATCCTCTACTCTGTTGACGATGGTGGCACCGGTAGCGCGGGCTATTCTGTTGTTATCGGTCTTTCGAACTCGGCGGAGAGCTGTGATGTTGGCCTTCATGAAGTAGTGCTGGGCAAGATCTATGACAGAATTAGTAAGCCATGCTCCTCAGGAGTCATGAATTCAGAACGCACCAGACACTCCCTTCTCCGTAATGACAAGATCAGGCTTGACGGCGACAATCGCCTCGCACAAAGCCTTGACCTGCTCCTCCTCAATCTGCAGAATTCGATTCCAGTCATCCTCCTTGGTAATCTCGATGTTGGTTTGAGACTCGCCCTTCTTGTACTCAAGGGGGCAGTCGAGGAGAACGATTCGGGGGTTCTCAATGCGCCGGCGCATCTTGGGATGTGTGATGTCCTTGTTGAGCATAAGACCGTCAAGAACTCTGCTGTCCTCGATCTCACCGCCGGGTACCTTCTCCACTCTGGCATATCGCTTGATGTCGACTTCAGTCTTGCCGTTACCAGCCTCCCATGTCACAGTGCGGACAGCCTTAAGGGCGAGGTCGCACATCTGATCCATCCATCGAGAAACGAATTTGGTGCCAATCGAAGAAGAGATGAGCTGGTACATGGCCTTGTCGTCGTTGACATCGATCGGCAGAGAGATCTCCTCGATGATCTCAAGGGCGTCTTTAAGGGCTCGCTTAAAGGCGGAAATGATGACGACAGGGTGGATGTTACGGTCGAGCTGGGGAAGAGCTTGGGCGAGAATCTCACCAGCTGTTCAGATGATGTCAGTGATATGCTCAGCTAGCATTGCAGTATAGCCATGCTCTCTTACCCAAGATAATAACGGTTGTGGTTCCATCTCCAACTTCCTCGTCTTGTGTCCGGCTGAGCTCAATCATGCTCTTCGCGGCAGGGTGGGAGACCTCGATTTCTCGAAGGATAGCATGTCCGTCATTTGTGAGAACGATGCCGCCCATGGGGTCGAGCAGCATCTTTAGCATGGCCTTGGGGCCGAGGCATGATCGAATAATGTCGGCAACACTAGGATCGGTGGTTAGGGTCGGGCACGCGACTCGAGGTTAGGGACAATGGCATACGTTTTGGCAGCAGCAATATTGGACAGCTGGGCTTTTCGGCCAGTCTGCCTCTCACCACTGTTGGTGTCTGTAGAATCTCGGTCAGCCTCGATTCCGAATTGAAAGAGATACCGAAAGCTCCCCTCTCAGGCTCAGGGCCCAGGGGTTCGCCCTCTAGTGTGGGGGTTGTATATTTTGTAGAGGTATAGACTCACTCATAACCACCACCGGAGCCTGCATGATGGGCGAGGTTTTTTAGTGTTTCTTCGGCTCAACGGTATAATTCTCTTTCAAGTGACGGCAGAAGATTCGATCAGGCGTGGTTCGAAGAAATGAAAGGTGCCGGGTTGTCGGTGTCGGAGGGGCAAAAGGCTAAAAGAACAGTTGTTGAGGGGCGAGCGCGCACATACAGAAAAGTTCAGTGGTGGATGTGGATATGGAGGATTTTTGGCGGGGACCTGGAGGCTCCCATCCTGCTTGCGCTTTCTCGGCTTTGATATTAACCCGCCCCGCCTTGCGTTTGCTTAGTAGCTCCCTGTCTACGGATACCTGTGGTAACTAATTGCAATTTTGACCAGCTCATGACCTGTCAGAGAATCCCCTGGAAAACGAAGGCGACCAATCATAAGCCAAGAGCCGCTGAGCTTTGGAGCTCCCCTCCATCAATCGAGCTTGCAGTTGGAGAAGTCAATTGTCCATGATACAAAACTTTCCCATTATTATTGTGGCTGTTTCGAGGTGTCTACTACGTACTAAGCTACTCCAAGACAAGGCATAAAGCAGTCCAAGACATTGAAACACAAAATTAACCTCCTTCTTGTCTGAGTTGACTCTATTCTGGTTCATTGCCATCCAATTGCAGTACATGATGGCTGCGAAGAGAGCAGTCCAATCCATTCTGCCTAAATCACAGCCCCCAACTTGGACAGCCTCAAAGCGCATCACAGAGTTCATAGCACACGTTGCCCCTGTAACATCTCCATCACAGGCCAATTCCTACGTTGAGTCTCTTCTTGAATCGGACAAACGTATACGCAACGCAACGCACAATATCACGGCGTGGCGCATTAGAGGTGAGGGTATTGGCCATCAACAATTCAATGACGATGGCGAGACGGGAGCCGGATCCCGACTCCTGCAGCTGATGCAGTCCATGGATCTTTGGGATTCTATGGTCGTGGTCACACGCTGGTATGGGGGTGCCCATTTAGGATCCAAAAGATTCAGATTGATCACTTCCGTGGCCAGTGACGCCTTTGCGAGAGCTGGTATGTCTGGAGACAAGAAGGATGATACACCTAAAGGGAAGAAATAGAAGTAGTGCGAAATGCTGGGTTGCGCTGGCTGACTATGAAAGAACATGCCAGGTCTGTATTACCTGTGTAAGCCATCTAATTCTCTGTCAAACCTATTTATATGCTAACATCTTCACACCAGTTACCAAGACTAAGCCTCAGTCTCTATAGGGCATTCTGTTTCCCTTCATTCAGTGTCTAAGTCTGGTCAAATGCCGCCTTCACTCCAATCTAATCCCAATACGTATTGTGGCGGTGACATCCATGTCCGTCTCACCTCAGCGCCTGTAGCAGGCAAATGCCGATGATCCCTATGTCCGACTTGATATCAATCTCTGCCGGTCGATCATGCTCAATCTCGCTGAACCTCATTACGCAATCCAGATGCTGCCCAAGCTGTCTTAGATCGATGGTTCCCGACACCCGGATTGGACATCGATGTTCGCCCAGCATTGCCCTTCGATACTTGAGGTGCGACTTTAGTCCATTTACCTCCTTTCTTGGACTTGGCCTCAACGAGACAAATGTCACCTGACATGAGTGCTTGAACATAGTGCCAGTGATCCCGATCGCTGATGGCTTTCTCACCAAGGCGATCCCACCAGGATTCGTCGGCAGAGTAGCTGGGAGCATCCTCTATCCAGAGAAAGTCTGGAGGGAACTTCTTCATGAACCATGGATGGGGCGTTACTGCAAACGTTGGAATACCCTTCTCGCTGTATCTCCATTCGAGCGTCAGTTGGCGTGTCGCTTCTTGGGTGTAAGATTCCAAATCGAGTCGCCCGAAGTCCCCAAGATGTGCAAAGGCGTCCTGCTGGGACGACCCTTGGCTTTTGGCTTGAGGAACGGCCAAGGGCGGGTCCCATTCTTCCTTGATCTTCTTGATCTTAGACGTAGGAATGGCAAACGCCATGATGGCATCGGTCGTGTGATACTTCTCTGGCACAGGGCCTTTGATATCAAGAAGCGGCTTGACAATTTTGAACCATGTCCATCTCTGTTGCTGCAGAGGGCTTCCGCACGTGCTTCAAATTGGCAGTCAGTATTGTGCTCATATTCACCCCTGAAGTTAACTCACACGTTTGCCTCATATAGAGTGATGCTGCCTTTTCGGGCATCTAGCTTGAGGGCATCCAAACTGTCTGCGATCTCAGCCGATACTGGACTGTGTGTACCCAGGCTCACACTCCGTTTCAGCATCTTGTTCCTCACCATGTCATGCTTGAAATGAAGTGAGTCAAGTTCAAGTTTCCAGTACCCGAAGCGGCGGCATGCCCATTCAAGCCACGCCATCAATCCTTCTGAATTTAGAGGAACAATGAGAGACGAGTCGTTTTTGTTGGGAAAGGGCTCAACACGCATGAGGCACTCTGAAGGAAGATCAAGTATCGGGAAGGGAGCATAACGATTGTTGTTGGCAGATCCAGTAATGACATGGAGACGCTCACTAGCTACTCGTCTAGGAAAAATTGTAAGTATGAACTACCAAGACGGATATATGATGATGATGGACACTCACACCGGAACCTCACGGGCCCTGATATGCTGAGACCTCTTCTTAAGAAATTCGGCTCGGCCAGTGGCTCCAGCCGCGTTGTTGATCAGCTCATGGTTGACCATCTCCACCCCCTTGCGATTGTTGACTCCTTTGGAGTGAAGACGAGAGAGTTCAGGCATCATATGATGATACACATCCATTTTCATCATCATTCCACTGATCGTCATGGTATCCATGGGTTGTAGTCCCGGGTTTCCCTGTGGGCCTTGTTGAAGCACCTCTTGCGTGGCATTCGTGCGTGCTAGGTTATTGGCAAAACCCATGGCGATGCCCTTTCGGAGCTTCTCGCGAACAGACAGAGTGCTAAGATGTTGCTGGGAGAGATCATGGTTTGTGTATCGATAAAGAGTGGCCTGGTCCTCGTCTCGTTCCTCTTCTTGTTGTTGCGAGTACGTTCTCTGACGGCTGGCGGCAGGACGAAGCGGATAACTAGCAGCGAAGGATCCAGTAGTTGGTCCCGGGTCAGGTTCCACGATCTTAGGAACTTTGGCCTCATTTGACTTGCGCTGCGTAGCGGACATGTTCGAGAACCTTGGCCGGTGGAATGCTGCAGGGTCTGTTTCTCTCATCGTTCCTCCCGGCGACTCAACAACATATATAGCCCGACACCTCTTGGTGTTTTCGGGTTCAGGCCGTGGGCTAAGCAAATGCTTGCCCGTGGTATTTAGCAAGCTCACCATATTTGTAGCAGCGGAGGCAAATGGAGTGTTGGAAAGTTGTTTAGAACAATAGAGTTGCCGCGCACACTTGTCTCCACTATAACACATGCGGTATGGGGATGAAGGTATCACGAATGTGCGAAGATGAAGAACAATGGGATGAAAAGATCGGCTGAATAAGTGACAATGGATGGAGGAGTGTGGAGCGAGGTTGCCTTTCGAGATGGAAGGCACCTTGAAGATGCGCTGAATCATTCATTTCCTATCACTGCCCCGGGTGAATGAAGGCATTCATTACAGTGACGAACAACTCCGTTACCTATAAGAGCGTGGTTATGATAGAGTTCGTGAACCTGCAGAAATTCGCCGCTACCTCTTGTTTTTAAAGAACACCACCACAATGTTTTAAGTATCTAATCGGCCATCTGTGTCCTGTAAAGTTGTCTTGCGATTGTTGACCTCCTCGGTTAACCCACTGAAGCACTATACAAATGCTTCAGAGTTGCCTCTGTTGTGACGCAAGTCATAACTACCTACAATCCTCTCATATGTTTGAACAAGACAACTGCAAAATCATTGCTCTGCTCTAAAAGCGTAAATATTGATGTTGTGGTCAAACGGCGTTTCTTACTTTGCTAAGCATGGAGTCGATGAGGAAATGCCACTATCCGCAAAATGTGGTTACACAAGATTTGTTTGACCAAAAAGCCCAAGGATTCACGTTGACCTTAAAGAGGACCGATACCCCACTATGGATTTTAATTGTTATTCACGGTCAAAAGTTGCTAAGTGAACATACCAATCTACCTTAGCACTGGAGCTGACACAATGTCCCAAATTATTAGGTTGTAGAAACAATATAATGGCTATTTGCTTCGCAATACACCTTAGGCAATAGAGCACTCATTTATAAGATATCTTCTGAACTGAAATAGTGACGGTAGTAATGAGTCATTGTTTAGCCAATATCTTAGGTTCAGGCTCTGAAAAACACGAGCTGGCCCATACATCGTGACAGTAAATCTCTTTCAGGCGATTCTTTGCTAGAGCATTTAACCAAAGGTATCCTCATCAGTTCTTGAATAGAGCAGCGGCCACTTGACAGCAAAATATATGTCTGCACCGTCAATGCAAGTCGCCAAGCAGGCCAATTTGGACTCGTCTTGGCAGAAAGCTCACCGTGATCGGAGTAAAGTTCCTTTCTCCCCTCTGAACTGATGAGAATCTCATGGATCTTCAGAAGATCTTGACATGTAAAGAGCGGTTACAAATGCTATACACTCTGCAATTTAGCTTGCTTCGGAAGATTATTCTCTGAAAGCAGGGCATCGGTACAAGTGCTATTCATTTGTTTTATCAGGCATAAACATGCAGGAACATCGCCTCATCTTATTCTACAAAGCTTCCCTTGCATGACTGCCGTCATCCGGCTTGGTTGTTTCCATTGATGGAAGAACTTTTAGCCAAGATCTTGACTGATGAAAATGATATAAAGCGTCAAGAACCAGGGTTTCGGGATAAACGGACGACAATGGACAGGCTCCACAAAGGTCAAGCTGACGTAGTTTATTGCCACGTACTTGAATAGAAATTCATGTATATTGACCTTGGTTAATTTGTTTAACTCCGAGGGCTTCTCTAGTTATACGGTTGGAGGAACTTGAACAGACTCAAGGTAATACGTGGGCATGACGTGGCACAAATTCAGTGCCTTATCTTCACATAAAAGAGTAAAACCAAGAGCACCACTCTCAGATTCCATTCAGATGAGGTATTTAAAACCCAGCCATGCCATGACAACAGTGCTGAACTAAACGTCTTGATGCCTGTCGATCCCCATCTGATAACTTTCAAGAACAAGCTTAATGTTACCCTTACCCACCAACAATCCACTCAGCGCCGGCACTTATGCTAGATCCAGCAACCATATGTGGGGAGTTTATCAATCTCATCTAATCTCTTACAAGATCCTCTGCCCACGATGGATATAAAAAGGGCATTGGCGAGTCTTCAAGACTTGCTTTTCAGGCCATTTCCTCTTTGTCTTTGCCGGTTCTGAAAATGAAGTTCGCCACTATTATCGGCTCGGCTCTGCTGGGCTTTGCTTCTGCTGGTAACACTACTACCCGGAAAACCACCTACGACTACATCGTAGCCGGTGCCGGAGCGTCGGGTCTGGTTGTTGCCGAGAGACTTGCCAATGCTGGCCACAAGGTTCTTCTTGTTGAGCGTGGTGGTCCTTCATTCTATTCCACGGGTAACCGTGATGACTTGATGAAGTGGAACAAAACCGTCACCGCATACGATGTTCCAGGCATGGCCTACTACACCGATATCTCACCGACCATTCAGTGGTGCACAGACATTGCTGCCTCAGCAGGTTGCTTGCTCGGTGGATCTACCATGTTGAACGCTCTCATGTTTGTCAAGCCCCGAGCTGCCGACTTTCAGGGCTGGCCTAGGGGATGGCAATGGGAGGATGGAGTGTCCGATGCTGCCAAGAGCGTTTTTGAACGTATGCCCGGGAGCATTCTTCCCTCGGCCGATGGAAAGCGCTATGATGATGGTGCCTTTGAGGTTATGTCAAAGTTCCTTGAGAGCAATGGCTGGGATGAGGTCAATGCTCTTGAGAACGTCGAGGCGAAGGATAAGATCTTTACGCACCCTCCTTGGCTGGTAAGTCCGATCTCTATACTTGCTAGAAGACTCTAACATCACTTAGATCAGCAATGGACTTCGAGGTGGTCCCGTGCGTGATATTCTACCCGCTGCACAGGCCCTCGACAACTTCAGCTTGCAGCTTCACGCCAAGGTCATCCGTGCTGTTCGCAAGGGCCCTATCATTACCGGCATCGAAGTGGAGCATGACGACGGTTCTCGTGAGATCATTAGGCTGAGCAAGGGTGGTTCCGTGGTCCTCTCATCCGGCACCCACTCGACACCTCGAATCCTCTTCAACTCAGGCATTGGACCAAAGAAGCAAATCCGCATTGTCCAGTCCGGCTCTACGAACGTGAAGCTCCCTCCTGCCTCCCAGTGGATCGACCTTCCCGTTGGCCAGCGCCTGAAGGACCATCCCATTGTTGTCGTGGATTTCCAGACCAAGAATAAGCTTCAAGCCCTTCCCAGGGAGGCATTCACTGAGCCTAACGATGAGACTGTTGAGTTGTTTGCTGAAGGAAGTGGCCTTCTCTCGCAGTCAGCTCAGCGTCTTAACTTCTGGAAGAGCGTCGAAGGCAATGATGGCGTGACCCGCTATGTGCAAGGCACAGTCAATGCCCCTGAGAATAACACCATCTCAGCCAAGGTCTATCTCACCCACGGTCTTACATCCCACGGAACCCTCGAGATTACTCCTGGGGGCAACACCAACATCACTCAAAAGCCATTCCTCAATACCGAGGGTGACCGCGATGCTCTCAAGACCTTTGTCGCCGAACTTCTTAGCTACGCGCGTAAGCCTGGTAGCGTTCTGAGTGTGCCTAGCAATGTCACCGCCGACACTATTCTCGAGGTTTCGTACAGTGGCAACCATCACCTCGGGTCGGCTAATATGGGAGCCAAGAACGATGGCAAGAGCGTCGTTGGGCCTGACACCCGAGTTTGGGGAACCAAGAACCTGTTTGTTGTCGATGGTAGCATGCATCCTGAGGTTCCAACTGGAAATACCCAGGCTTCCATTATGGTTGCTGCTGCACACGCTGCTAACAAGATCTTGGCTGTTTCCTCCAAGCGACACTAAAAGAATATTCATGCCCTTGTGGTCAGGGAAAACTGAAGAGTGTCAAATGTATCAGATGTATAGTACAGTTCTGTGCCCACCATTAAGAAATAGACAAAAGCTAGATATAGAGCTCACAGCTGTGGAGCATCAACCTGATAGAGTCCACGGTCTTATGGTGAAGAAGCAGCCGTTGCGTAAAACTATCAAGAGCAAGGCTTTATAGAACTATCTCTTGCGCCGTTGGTCGTGATTCGTAAAATGCCAACTCAAATGGCTTATTTCAGAGCCATCCCGCCAAATACTCGGTCCAATTCTGCACCTTGGTCCTCTGTCGCATTCGTATTGGTTCCGCTCTGAGTGTTTTGATGCTCTGGTACGTTTCCAGCACCTTGTTGCTGCACCGGTGTACTCCTCTCAGGCTCCAACATGTGCATCTCACTATCGAGCCAACCCGGCGCAACTCTCCTCTTCTCCGCGAGTTCACGCGCCTTGATCTTCTCATCAAATTCTCGGAGTTCACGCTCTGCATCCTCTTGCATCTTGGTCACGTAAGCTTGAAGTGCGCGGCATGAGGCGATGATGTCTTCTGGATGTGCCGCATGACCAGAGTTGGATACCACGTATTTAGGCTTGGTTTGGCCTGCGGGGTTATCTGATGCTGCCTCGATGCCCAGGGACGAGGGTGGGATGTTTGAGGGCATAGTCTTGTAGTTATACGAGAGTGTTGTCGCTGTTGGAAGTGACACAAATGGAGAGACTGTCAAAGGGACTTGTTCCAGAAGGGGATGGGATCCTGTGGTTGAATTAGCTTTATATCGTGCATCGTGCATGAGTGAAGCCTACGCTTGTTGTCATGCATATTGGCAATTATACGCAATCTTGCTGTATTAGGATATCGGCTCAAGCGCTTTTATATGATCTTGCAGATATCTTTCTCCCGTAATATTTAATGATAGGTCCTGTGTATAGAGACAAGGGAATTTGGAATCGTGTAAGGTTGGATATGTAAGTCAATTTGAGGTTGAGGTCAAGCGACGCGCCCGTCTGGTCAGTCATCACAGTGCGATAAGCTTATCGATAAGGCTCAACCTACCATAAAGCTCTCCCACCTTCGCGATGTACATTTTCTTCAGCTGCCTGGTGAACCCCTCCACTTCAAACAAACCAGTTCACGCCAAACACCCAATCATGTTGCCAACGACAATCCGCACACCGCCAAAGGCCGAAGACTACACGCCTCTGGCCGAGTACCAGTCAACAACACCCGAAAGCTTCGTCAGTGGAAAGCCTGTCCTTCACTACCATCTCGAAGGCGCAAAGGCATGGATTCCCAAGACGGAATGCGGTAGCCTAGCTCTATTTCCTGCCGACTCAAACGAGAAGCCTAGTGCTCCTGAAGGCGACAGCATAAATGGTGATGTCGAGGAGCTTGTGGAGCAGGCAGTGGATGTCTTTGTGAACTCAGAGTATGTCTAATGTTTCAAATGGTATAACTCAAACTAACATCGCAAAGGGCCTTGACTATCTTCAGTCCCAAGGTTGAGGCAGGTGTCTCAATTCCTTATCCCTCGATATCCATCCACGCGATCAAACAGCTAGGTCCCGAAACAGATGCGCCGCGCACCCAAGCCGTATGGATGCAGCTTGAATTCTCAGACGGTGGTGCCGAAGACGACGATTTCAGCACAATAGATCTCACCATCATCCCACCCAAATCAGATTCTGAGCCCAGCGCCGCTAAGCAACTGTACGACGCCATGGCCAACTGCTCCGACCTTCACCCTGACCCCAATGATGGCGAAGAGGACGAGGACGAGTACGACCGTATTGTCTTCGAGGGCAGCGAGGAGCACCAGGCCATTGAGGGGTTCACAGGCGTTCTGCGTGGTGCTAGTAATGGCGGTCTACCGCCTCCTATGCCTGGTAGCGGCGGCTGGATCACGGCGGATAACGTGAACGAGTATTTCGACGAGGATGGCAATTGGATCGGGCCCGGCGCTGAGGGCCAAGAGGAAGAACTGGGAGAAGGCGCAGGAAGAGTGCGAGATCGCGATGAAGCCGAGGGCGCTGATGCGGTCGAAACCGCAGCCGCTGATGATCCCGAGAACAAGCGACCACGAGTGGAGTAATAGATGATACCTCACGAGAGAACATGGCAGGGCGTTATGGTATAAAAGACAAAATTAATCGATGCATTACGAGTTTCAGTTTGATATAGCAACTCAAGAAAAGAACCTTTTTTTTTTTTTTTTTTTTTTTTTTTTTTTTTTTTTTTTTCACAGTGCAGCCAGTATAAATACGATCTTCTATTAAGATTACGTCCGAATGGTATATATCCAACGAGCTTCTGCCTAAGCTACCTACAGATCAATCCAATAAAACTTACGAGTCCAAAAGCTCCCGGTAAATCCAATCCCCAGTAGAAAGTGCATAAATTAGCCTGCTGATGTTACATGAGATGATGAGTCCTCGACAAACAAAAGAAACCTAAAAGAAAATGATGAAGGAAAGTTAAAACCTTCCATTTACATGCGTAGACATCGTCCCTTCGCATCCACAGGCGAACTCTTCAAAAATCCATCCGCGTCGTATAATCCAATCGAATCCACGCTCTTGCGCTTACTATCGCGTTTGCTTTCAGCGATGAGCTCACTCACAGTTCCAAGTTTGGTCTTGCTCGGTGCCCGGCTCAAGTCGCGAGTATCGCGTCCCATATTCGCGCTCCTTCGTGTCTCTCTGAGCCCACTTGATGTCGACGATGGTTCTTGATTCTCTTTCCCCTCATCAATATCATCCTCGCGTATTTCAACTCCTAAATTTGAACGATTGCTGCGGCTTTGTGGTAGTGGACGAGTTGGCATAGGTGGCACAACTGATCCCGACGAGTTCTTGTTAGGACTTCCGAGATTGAGATAGTTTTGGCGACCAGACATGCTAGCTCTAGGCGTGACTGGATTTATAGTTCTTCGTGAGAAGCTACTGGTCAAGTTCAACATCGGCAGTGTCGGCGAATCAGGTTCGTTGACAGAAGATCCTAATGAGTTACCGCTGTAAGAACTAACCATGCTGTTCATCCTCCTGAGCTCCATGATCGAATTTCCGAGGGATCCCATGCTTGGTACAGTCGGCGGTGCAAGATTCGGCATATCCTTCTTCGAGCGTGAGATGGAACGACGAAGGGGTGATCCTGTAGAAATCGCGCTTGGGGAGTCCACCGGTGGCTCATCATGATATATGGTATTCGCTGTTGAGGACATTTGTCGCAGATGCTGTGAGAACTCTCGTCTCGGCATTGGCGATACTGGCTTTGGCATGACGATCTGGTCGACTTGGGCGATATGTTTTGGTGGCTCAGGGAGTGCTCTCTTGGGTGCGGTGCCCATTAACAACGATAACATATCCTGCTCATCAAAAGGCGAAGAAGTCATTGTCGAGGGGCTCGGTACTGTCGCCACGCTATGTCTGTTCTCTTGCAACAGTGGCCTCACACGCTCCGGCACTTCAGGTTTGGGGCTCTCGCTCATCCTGTTTCCAAGTGAAAGTGTGCTATCTCCCTCGGTAGTCGTCACAGATGGTGTCAGGATGCTGGTGTATGAATTGCTGACAGGGAACGCAAGAGCAATACCATCTTGATCGCGTGAATACGTATCGTTGCGCTGGAATCGCTCTGGTGGCGGTTGCAAGTATGAGGAGATAGGAGGGCCTCCAACAGCTTGTGTGCTTACAAACGAAGGCCGAAGTTGTCCTGTTGTGTTGAAGATGGATTGTCCGCCTGGGATCGATATGCTCAAATTCCTTCCCCTTTTGTGTGATGCTCGGTTTCCAAACAAAGATCCTCTGCTTTCTGAGCTCATAAATCCAGGTGTCTTCCGCTCGACAAATGGATCTGGCTGGTCCTTTTCTTCGGGGTCATTGGCGCTGTACAGTGTCGAAAGTGAACTTGATGCCTGGCTGTCTTGTGAGGCCCGTCTATCGGGGCTATCTTCTTTTGCAGACTGCTTATGTGAAGTCTTCTTCTGAGGGTTTTGCTTCTCGGGGCTTGGGTCTTCCGGGGCGTCCCATTGACGCCCTCTCATTCGACTTGGGCTTGACAGTCCTCCTGGCAATACGAGCTCTTGCGTCGCCTCGGCAATCAAGCTGTTTGCAGCACTTCCAATCGAGCTAGTAGAAACCTGTCGACTCTGCGCATCTGTAGGTACCACATGGATAGTAGCTCTCTTGGTAGGGCTCGGCGGGATCCTCGAAATGCGAACTGTTCCAGTTGTGTTGGTTGAGTCCTCAGATGATATGGTCTTGTGACTATGTGGCGTTTTTGTAGGAGAGTTCTTGCGTGGTGTGCTTCTCACTGATGAGATCTTCTGTGGTGAACGTTTTGTTGGTGAGCTGCGTGAGTTCTTGCTTGGCGAACGACTCGTTCCGTCTCGGAGTCGCTGTTCTGTACTTCGAAGGATATCTCGAAGATCTGTATCTGTTACAGAAGCTCGTACACGAGCTCTTGAGGGAGCTCGCACGGGACTCGTCTGAGCCTCATCTTCTGGCATAGGTAGTTCAGGTGCAGTTTTGCTTGGCTTGAGAGTCTCGGCACTTTGTCGCTTTTGAACTTTGATCCCTTGCTCAAGCTCCTGACTACCCTGTGCCTTTTCTAGGTCATCATCCGTCATGAGAGTTGGGATTGTTGGTGCTCTTCCCAGCCATCCATCGCGACTAAAGAGACTATCGCGACGACTCCTGCTAACTCTTGGACCATGGAATCTATCCTCTTCAACCCAGCTACTCGATCGTCCTCGTTTTCCGTTTCCACCGAAGAAGGTAAAGCTGTTATATGTCGGAAGTGGTGGTAATACCGGTGGCAGCGAGAGTGAGAGTCGACTAACTGATCTTGACATGGCGTATTTGCGCTTGACCAGCCGCTTTGTAAAGATCGATCGTCTATGGTCCTCGACATTCTCCGACACTTGATATACAGTAGTCGCGTCCTCTTTATCTCGAGACTTGACGCGCCAAGTAAGAAGAAAGCCGATCGCCGCAAAGAGAAGGATTGCACCACCAATGGAAAATGTGAGGATCCATCCGAGACCAAGTCCACCGGCTCCATGAATGGCTCTGCGTGAAATATTCGAGAGATCCATCATTATTTACACTGCCGTAGCTGAATCGTGAGAAATCCTTAGCCAGCAGCAGTGCTTCATGAGTATCGAGAATCAATAAGTTCAGTACACGAGGCTTGAAAAGGACAGACAACGTGAGATGACGGAAACCAAATGAAGGAGAAACCCTTCAAAGGGAAAAAGCCCGCTTTCATCTTAATTCTTGAATTGCGTGTCGACGTTTTTGCTGAGGTTATTTCCAGGGTCTCAGTTCAATATCATGAGGAATGTGTTGCTAGGTGTTACCCATTCCAGCCTCAGCAAACCACGACACCGGCTTCACGACACTCTAAGATAGCTGCACCGCCTTGGCTTCGGAAAATTCAAGAAACCTTCAATTAAGTCGTCATTTCGACCGGCATATAATCATGATGTATAGATGGTAAACCGTAGAGTTACAGTCTGCTTCGAAACAAGGAAAACATATGGGTTATCACACAGTTTTTCAGCTGGGAATATCGGGAATACGTAATCACCAGGGAGATTACTCCTCGAAATTGGCTGTACGAGTTGTGATCATTCATCATTCCTGTATTTGTAGCAGGTTGTTTCTCTCTAAGTTTACATGTTCCCAAACTCGTGGGCTGCCATTGTCCTCCTATGAAGAAAAAAAACCTCCAAGCCAAATGCTCCTCTTCCAATCATGCATAACATACGAACACCTGGAACCAGCCAGACAATAGAAGCAGATGTTTTTGTCCTTTTTTGTTTTCCTTTTTAATCTCATTTTTAAATGTTAGAAATATCGATGTCCATGTCCATGCCCATGCAGGTGAGCTCCACGACGTCTCCTCCTGGGTGGCGCTGCTGCTGGTGCTGCTGAGGGTGTGACAACAGCAGTTGATGTAACAGTAACAACCACAACTTCCTCTTGGAGATCGGTCA